GTCTTTTCGTGGGTTCACATTTCCAGCGTGTGGGTACGTTTTTAAAAAAATATATATTTCGCTGGATACTCGCATGTGAGCCCGAAGTTTCCACGTATACATTTGTCAAGGAAAGTAATTCCCGAAGGTTCCTGAATGACAAGGAGCCTCTGAAAAATATCTTTTTTTTAAGAATTGACAAAACAGATTAGGAAATTCGGAAGAATCGAAATCATTGACTTTCTAAGGACTTTCGCATTATGGCAGTTGGGTAGTGGAGCTGTGAGAACGTTTGTCGACAAGCTGGGCGTTTGCTGGAATCCTCAAATACATATATGACAAAGTGAAACCATATCTTCTTGTGCTCAAACCATAAAGTTTATTTCCCCTGAGCATGGTCCACTGGAACCTAAGTGCAAAGCAAATATACCACTAAAGTGAATAATGCCACCATATTTTATAGGCGTTTTATGAGAGCACTACTGAAAGCTAACGTGGACAGTGCCGCATTCTCTGTGTGTACTCAAGCCCATTGGTACGTTTGTTAAGGGTATCTGACGTTGGAAATACTATATTTCATATCGGTTAACAGAGATCATATCTCTGCGGTTCAGAAGATAAAGGAATTTATCTCTATGGGTAACGCAAACAGTTGCTTGTATGAGAAACAAAATTGTTTTTCGTGCCCTCTATGCTACTTATCTTATCGACCTTTATTATTACAGTTATCTTTATTATATTCTTAAGGGTGAAATACTGTAAATATACCTACAAATCTAGGGACCCTGGTGACCAACAATTCAAGGTACACTGGTGACTGACAATTCAAGGTACACTGGTGACCAACAAGTCAACCTACCCTGGTGACCAACAATTCAAGGTACCCTGGTGACCAACAATTCAAGGTACCCTAGTGACCAATACTTCAAGGTACCCCAGTGACCGACAATTCAAGGTACCCTGGTGACCAACAATTCAAGGTACCTTGGTGACCAACAAGTCAACCTACCCTGGTGACCAACAATTCAAGGTACCCCAGTGACCAACAAATCTAGGGACCCTGGTGACCAACAATTCAAGGTACCCTGGTGACTGACAATTCAAGGTACACTGGTGACCAACAAGTCAACCTACCCTGGTGACCAACAATTCAAGGTACCCTGGTGACCAACAATTCAAGGTACACTAGTGACCAATACTTCAAGGTACCCCAGTGACCAACAATTCAAGGTACACTGGTGACGAACAAGTCAACCTACCCTGATGACCAACATTTTTAAGGTACCTTAGTGACCAATACTTCAAGGTACCCCAGTGACCAACAATTCAAGGTACCCTGGTGACCAACAAGTCAATCTACCCTGGTGACTGACAATTCAAGGTACACTGGTGACCAACAAGTCAACCTACCCTGATGACCAACAATTCAAGGTACCCTAGTGACCATTACTTCAAGGTACCCCAGTGACCAACAATTCAAGGTACCCTGGTGACCAACAACTCAAGGTACCCTGGTGACCAACAAGTCAACCTACCCTGGTGACCAACAAGTCAACCTACCCTGGTGACTGACAATTCAAGGTACAATGGTGACCAACAAGCCAACCTACCCTGGTGACCAACAATTCAAGGTACCCCAGTGACCAACAAATGTAGGGACCCTGGTGACCCACAATTCAAGTTTTCCCAGACCTACAACAACTGTGAGGGACTAAATTTGTCCTTCACAATCCTGTTTCACAACGCAATGTGGTTACTCCCATAATGTAATACAAAAAGGACTGTTGTTTTGTGAAACAGGACTCAGAATATATAGTCTTAAACATGCATTTAGACACAAAGAAAGACCAAACATTTTAAACATACTGACCCAGTGTAGTTAGATAAGTTAGGTATGAAATCTACACACTGATGCCACAAGAGAGTAACACAAACCCCTCTCAACTGGTGACACACAGTTGTGTAGGTCTTGCTGTCCATGGGGCGTTGGGATAGCCTAGTGGTTAAAGCGTTCGCTTGTCACGCTGAAGACCCAAGTTTGATTCCCCACATGATTACAATGTGTGAAGCCCATTTCTGGTGTTACCCTCCGCGATATCGCTGGAATATTGCTAAAAGCGGCATAAAACAATGCTCACTCACTCACTGTCCATAGCACATTAAACAATGAAAAATACCATTCAACTTCCAATAGATTTATTTCAACACAACAAAGAGTAAAATTGGCATAAGCAAATCTAGCTGGCATATCCAACACCAGGGTCAGTACAAGGATCACAGATAGGAGTAACAACTAGCAGCCTGCATATCATTGGTTCACATTTCCTGTCACATGACCACTAGCTTTAAAGGCCACTGAATTCATGAATAAGGAACATCACAGGACATGTAATACTTAAAGTTCATAAAATGACACAAAGTGATAGAAAGTCAATGGAAACATTTTATAATCTGAACTAAAACATTCATTTATATTTTATATTAACCCCCAAAACTTGTTTGATCATTGACAGATATATTCAAATGGGTCCACAGAAGTAAACATCAGCAGTGAAGGAGTTAGGCAATGCCGTCTGATTACCTTGGATGACAGATTCACTTGAGTGAAACCCATATAGGTAGAAATTAAAACATTTTTTAATTTTTAATTAAATCTTGATCTGCACCTGACATGTAATGTTTTTGTTTCAGTTTGACAAACCTATATTGCACAAAAGAGAATCTGGTAATCAAGACACATCCTGCCAACCAAACCTTCCAGAACAATCACAATAGCTTCTTCAACAATAGGAAACAATGGTAAACATTATACAGCAGTGAGGCTATAGGAATATCTACAACAAGTATTTTGGCAGAGGATTCTGAATAGGAACAATAAATTGCATACCTAACTAAAGTATGCTTTACAGCAGATGCAACAAACAGTATGTAATGGTCAACACATATCATTCACTGACCACCTCCATAGCAATCAATTTGAGCAAAACAATTGCAAAAATATACCTGAACATTTAACAGTTTTGTAATGATAAATATGGCAACAGCTTCAACTGTTGCATATGTTCTTTCATTCAACAGCAGTACATATTTCTACATGCTTCACAGATATAATACAGCATCTGGCGTGGCGTCACAATGATGACACAATGCTATAATGACCTTAATACATGTGGTGGTCAATAGATACAGATGACATGGCATGTTATTATGATATATAAGATACAAGTATGATTAATGGTCAACACATGCTTTATACATGGGAACAGTCCTTGTCTTATTGTTCCATATACACATTCATTTATAAATACGCCTCTGTACATTTCTCCATCAACAAAGCACAGTTCTAAAATCCAATTTGAGTAAAACATTATATGCATAATAAAATATACCATGTCAACATCTATTGACCACCATGACAGTTTCACGTAACGATAAATTATGGCAACAGCTTCAACTGATTGCATATGTTCTTTCATAAAAAGAAGATCAACAGAAAATCTCATGTTCATCAAATATCATCTTCTAAAATGCCAATCAAGCATCTAGGAATATTTCTACCAATATTTAAGTCAGAGACTTAATTTCTTGTGTCTATTGATTTTCCTGGGCAAAATGCAAAAAGACTGCACGAAAAACAGGAAATTTCAACAAGAACAAATTCTATCTGACAATGAATTCCATATATTCACTTGTGAAATACTGGCAACTGATGCTTTCAGAATATTTATTGTTTTACAAAGACATACATAGATATCCAAAATATATTTAGATCTTCCTCTTGTTTCTATAAACAAATCAATTCCAAATACATGGGTTGACTGACCAGCTTTGATTGTTGTTAATTGACCACATTGAAGAAATCCAGCAATATTAGGACTTTTCCATATACATTGATTAACAATAGATTTCACCAAGGTTATTTCCCTGCTCATCAATACTAAATAATAGATTGTGTTATTGTGCACCTGGTCACTGGCAGTTCAACCACGGAATAACACCATTAACTACTGCTACAGGATGGGCAGGAACTGGTCCATTGTGTTTGGGTGAAGCTGTAAACTCGAGCTCTGTATACATGAATGGGTGGTACGTAAGTCTGGTTGCTGTGGTGACCAGTAACGCCAAGTTGTTGTCACAAGAGGTGGATACAGGCAGCAGTTGATATGAATGAAAGCAGTTTGTAAATAGTAACAACAAAGTGTGCGTGCATGTCATACCTGACTGACAACACTAGTTAGATAGTGTCATCTACAAATTGAACTGTCTATCAAACCTTTCACATCCTGTTACATGTCATTATAGAAAATAAGGCAACCTACAAAATGCTCTGTCAGTCCATCTCATCTAAATAAGGGCAATATTGTTATTGCAGCTTTCCAGGTGGATTACCGAGGGCTCAACAGTCTACAAGTTTACATACATACAGAGAAGGTTATCATTGATACAACTGATCACCTCAATACATTGACAGACTGTAGTCAAATTGTGAGGAATTGCATGCTATCAAATATCCTTCAGATGACTGAAATCATATTTCATACTTTCACACTGTGTGATATCCTTATATCTGGTAATTCCGTATTTTCAAAATATACATCTTGCAAGCATTATTCCCAAAGTACATTCATTAGGCTGTCCATATTTTTGTGCCTTCCATCTCCCACCTGCTGTGAATTTTCACTGCAGCGTGAAATAATTAACAGTTTTGTTATCTCAATTTCTCCTGCCTCTGTGGTAATAGTATACTTTTACTCTCCTGGCATCCTCATAAAAAACCCAGGTCAGCTTGACCTTTCCTCATTTACATATATTGATATATTGTTTCTAAAGCAAAGTGACTTCATCTCAATCATAAATTAATTCAAAGACTATTACCAGGTGACATATATTTTAACATATCATAAAACATGTTACACAATTAGTGAAGAACATTATTTTTCACCCATCCGCTCTCTTGCTGGTTTAGGTTAGACATGAGAAACACATAAATATACTGCTTGCCTTATAATCACAACATTCTACATATGTCCTTACCCTGTCTGATAAATAAATACCCAGTCATGTATGTACAGCTGACAATGTCTCACAACAAAAGGTTCAGATAAACAATGAGAAGGAACTCCGCTAAAAGATTTGTCACTATTTTACATACCAGGTAACCACTACTAATGATGAATGTCAGATATCCTATGTGAACATTATAATGTTCAATTTAAAATGTTTCAAAATTATATGTTATATTTTCAGAAAATTTTATACATATTTAGGGTAGGAAAAGAAAGGTTATCATTAAGAGTAAAGTATATTTATGGCTACTTATAAGTATGCAGTTAAACACACTTATTCATTTAGTTTTGTTGTAAACTATAAAAAGAAAAAGAAGCCTTATTTCTGATGGTATATCATTTGTTTGTAAACATCAGTGTTAGACACACTGTCTCAGACAAGTAGTACTCTACTCGCTTTGTGTGATGGTTACTAGATGCCCTACTAGAGAGTTTGGGATTGAATCCTGGGTGGGACTCCACCAAATAAGATGCCATAATTTACTATGAAAATATAATTCAAGATATAACCTCTTACCTTTCTAAATGGCATTGACTATTCACAACACGACACCTTGGTAGTAAATGATTACTTTTTGTAATGAATATTAACAACATAGTGCAATAAATGTTTATCTAATAAATTACTTCCCTCAAAAAGATTGCAAATATTAAATTGGTTGCCAAGCAGCATGGACAAATACCGACTTATAAGCACCCTGTAGTATTACAAACTATTCAACTGAAACAAATGCAAACATCCCAGTGTTAGCTGGATAGGATGATGAAAGTGACTATAAAACTGCAATTGTTAAATAGTCTTGTGGTACTGGTACTGGTAACCTGATAAGACATTAATGTCATTCATGGAAATACACATTCACAGCAGTTCTAGTTCTTTACCATTTCAACAAAGATATTTGCAAGAACTTCATAGAAACTTATGTTTTATGTGTATTAGTTTTTAATGTGTATTTGATAGGGTTTTCTTAAAGTTGTACCTCCCCTTATGGAAATTCCAAGGAAAGGTCTATTTTTATTTATGACATCTAAGGCATAAAAAAACATACTGGTATTTTCTTTGTACAAATTTAAACAATCTCGTCATTATCACAGAATGTATTACTGGCACTCAGGAAACAACATTATCGGCACTCTATATGCAAATATATATCTCAGAAATCTTTACTGTCCCATATACACAAAATCACTTGCACATGTGCTGATTAATGAAAGAATGGACTTATCGACGAGGTCTTGCGCGGCAGTTGGGTATATGTCTCTCAGCCGTATTGGGGTTAAAGTTGCGATTGCACGTTGGACAACGCACATAGTCTGGGTTAACAGTTTTAGGGGGTGGAGGTAGATTCTGTGGTTTCACGCCTTGTGCTTCCATCTCACTGACCTTCTTGGCATAGCGGATTGTCTCAATGAAACTCTCATGTTGAGCACGCCAGTCTTTCTTTTTCTGAAAACAAAACAAAATTATTCAAATTACAGAATCATTTCTGAGTCCTGTGATGAATTTAAGGAGACCTTTTTGCATTACAATTTCAGTACGCACATGTCTAATTCAAAGGATGCTTTCTTCCCGCCACTGTACAGATTATCAGCACATATATATTACTGACTCTGCAAAAGCCTTCATCATGATGTGCATGGATATACAGTAGAAACAAACAATATGGAATAAAAATATTTCCATGCATAATATTCTTACATTGCTTCATGCTTCAACCTGACCTAAAATCATTTGTTTCATTTCATGTCTTTCACCATCTGAAAATGTGTTTAACAGATAACTTGGTCTAAATTTATATTCTTATAACAGTAAAAGTTTTCTTTAAAAAACAAAACTTGTAAACTATTTGTAATAGATAAGAAGTTCTTTTGTATGTACATGCATACTTGTCTGGAAATCGGAGTTAACGATAACAGTACCTTAAATACAGTACCATCTGATATTTTTATATGATTCTAGTATTCTTAGGAGATATTATCAATGATTTCTTCATTAATACTACAATAAGTGACATGTGGACTTGCTACAAAAAGTATTGTTCTGCTAATAATAGAAATTACGTTTAAATAAAGAAATGAGTCATAGAGGTCACATTGCTGATTTAATGACTCAGTGTAAGTTGTAGAGAAGCATTCGTGACTGAAATAAATTACTACAGGTCTTTCCTGTTGAACATGCAGGTACCTTAATTCAGCATGCATGGATAAGGAGACCCAATCTGTGATAACTAATCATACTGAGAAACCTAGTCCATCCAGTCTTGTATTAGTCTCAGGAAATAGGGAGGTATCTTTGTCTCAGGAAATAGGGAGGTATCTTTATAGGGAGGTATCCTTGTCTCAGGAAACAGGGAGATATCTTTGTCTCAGGAAATAGGGAGGTATCTTTGTCTCAGGAAATAGGGAGGTATCTTTGTCTCAGGAAATAGGGAGGTATCTTTGTCTCAGGAAATAGGGAGGTATCTTTGTCTCAGGAAAAGGGAGATATCTTTGTCTCAGGAAATAGGGAGGTATCTTTGTCTCAGGAAATAGGGAGGTATCTTTGTCTCAGGAAATAGGGAGGTATCTTTGTCTAAACTCAATATATTCACAATGTCAATTAATCAAAAATGTCATCATTTTCAAAACATCTAAACTTTTCAATAAACATCTAACAGCTATAGACAAATAGAAAAAGGGAGCTATTGGTATCAACCATCCATACTAAATGAGATCCAAATTAAAAAAACATCTCTGAATCACAAAAAATAACTATATAAACAATATAATTTTCTTCTAATGCTAACCATTTCAAAGATTACTGGAGGGCATACCCAAATATACATAACAGAACCTTCAAAAAACAAACTTGAGACATTTATAGATTAATTTAAATCAAAAATTATTTTTTCTCAACTGTTTTATCCTGTCATCACACATGTAAGGGGATTACCTGCTTGAGGAAAATACTACAGGTATTGTGTAGGTATGTTCTCATTTTGCCTACATCCCAACTCGTCTACAGTCTTAAAACAACATGTCGTGGTCTGTTGACTGCTGATTATGCAATGGTGAACTAGTGGCACCCATGAGTCAAAAGTGGACTCTTCTAGTTGAAGTAGTTGAAGGACAAAAAGAATATATATTTTTTTCTGTTACTTGTCATTTTCTAATCACAATGAAATGATAATTTATTTATCACATCATATCATCTTCTAGCTGAAGTAGTTGAAGGACAAAAAGAAACTTTTTTTAAAGAATTTATCTTTCTGTTATTTGTCTGTTACTTATTTATTCTGTTATTTGTCATTTTCCGATCACAATCGTGACATTGTCCATTCTCACTTCATCTTGATAAGGTGACCAGCTGCGTCGAGGAATTGAAGGGGTGATCTTCTCCCAGAAGCAAGTTGCTCTCAAGTCTGTCCAAGCGACTCTCCAGGTTTCGGTAGATCCTTGATTTGGGGCGGACAGCTGCTCCACAATCGATCTGTCTGCGTGCCAGTCTGTTTCCAATTTCTTTATAGCAATGACGAATTCATATATGTTCGGGTGATGCTTTCTGACGAGTTTCTTGAAGCCGTTGTGAAAACCCTCCAAATGATTGTTGGTTCTGGGTCCTGTATTTTCATGCTGGTTCCAGATACGAGGCGGGAATCTTGCGTCGTAGTCTACCCATGTAGAGGTCATGTAGTCGTTGAAGGCAGCAATACCCTCAACATCTGGAGACGCAGTACCTGTCTTCCTCCTCTCTGAGACAAGATGAACCCAGCCCTCTGCAGGTTAGCCATTGTGACTGTCAGTGCTTGGCAAACGCTCCATTTTAAAGGGTTAAGTTTTAAAGCCTATTAGTAGCAGAGAACTGAGTATTTTACAGCGAGAAATTAACTACATGTCATCATTGCTTTTACAATTTAGCTTGTTAATTATATTATAACCTTGTTTGAACTTCTAAATTAATCCTCTTTACTCAACTACATATCCTTATAACAACTCAGTATTTCACAGTGAGAAATTAACTACATCTCATCATTGCATGCATTAATCCCTGTCATTTTATTTTAACCCTGTTTTAACTTCTCAGTGGATGCACTAATCCTCTTTACTCAACTACATATACATATCAAGACTCAGTGAGTCAGGTTCATTATAAGAGTTGGGGTGCATTCTCTAAGCCCAATTCGACTACATTGTTTATGTAGGCGAATTGAGACTAAACCATTGTGTATGCTTAATGATAAACCTGGTGCTTGATTATTAATTTTATCCTTGATAACCTCTGCACTCCTTTCTGTGACAAATGGATTAAGCATATTACACCAGGGTCTTAGATTAAATGTAAGCTGATAACACAAAATATATACCAACCCTCTCACTTGTTATTCAACATGTTTAGACACACTGGCTCTAGTCAGTAATGCTACCATTCTCAACAATATCCCCTTGCTTGTCTTCATTGTAAGAAATCATGTTATTTATACTCACACCATACACAACACACTTCTTTTCACTAACAAGCAACATGGCAACTCTTAACAGCGGCGGGGCACTCACAAAACACCAGGATTAAAGACCTCGCATGGGGTGACCCTAAGTCCTTTATCGCCCACCAATCTTGAAACAGGAACCTTTGTAGGGTAGTGTGTATTTTCGACCTGGTGTCACAACAGACTGGTTGAAATAGTTACAGCCTGGATAATCAGATACTGGGTGACCAAACAATATCACAATACGTGAGATCAAAATAATCTTCAGTCCTGTTATGAATATGTATTGTATACTTTTATCACAGTGCAAAATGTGTTCTTGAATATAAGCATGTGGTCCCATATTTCAAGTTAAAATTGTAACAATCTTGTAATGGTTTTAAGGGCAGGATCCAATGTTTAGCCAGTATCCACTTAACATGTTATAAGTTTGATAACATCGTGTTTATGGTATAATTAAAGTTGACAATATTTCAACTTAAAGACCACAGCTCCTGTGGAGAGGAATGTCATAAATCTGGAAGGACAGGTGGGGAAACAACGACACACTTAACGGTGACAGGTTTATGGATTTTGCTTTACATATCGGTATTAACATCTGGACATAAAGACAAGTGGTTAAACATTCACAGACTTAATGTGCAAAATAATTTTCACTGTGGATTTTTACATGGACCAACCAATAGTATCGTGAGTGAGTGAGCATAGTTTTACGGCGCTTTTAGCAACATTCCAGCAATATCCCGGCGGGGGACACCAGAAATGGGCTTCACACATTGTACCCATGTGGGAAATCGAACCAGGGTCTTCAGCATGATGAGCGAATGCTTTAACCACTCGGCTACCCCACTGCCCCACCAATAGTATCAAAAGTCTATCCCTTTTTCTACAGGAACCAGTGGTTGAGCACAGACCACTAAAATAAGACATGAATATCATGTACACCAACAGCTTGCCCATACCAACTGTGTTAACATAAAAGGTATCCTAAGGGCTAGTGAAGTTTCCAACACTTAGGAGTCTACCACGCTTCATTCCTGTAGATGTTCTTTGTTAACTTACACCCCTGATAACTTTTCACGGCTAATTCCTATCCCAAGGCAATTATGCATTTACACGACATCAGGGAAAGAAGTGTCAGGTGAGTAGAACAAAATAAATCCAACTGATTAAAAAAAAGTTTGTTCCAGAAATTTAAAAAAAATACAGACAATATCTGTGATTCGAGAGAAAGAAGCTTGTCCTGTATCTTAAATAGTCTGATATTGTTCATGTCAAGTTTCATTAGTTGATGTTCATGTAATCTTCATTTCTTTATGTCTCACAGTCAATAAAATGTATACCTTACTGAATTTAGTTACAGTTTCTAAGTAAACTTAGACTCAGTATTATTCGTTACACTGCTATACTGAGTTTAACAAAACCTAGTAGAAGGTTAACCTTTCCAACTGACCAATCAGAACACAGCTTACCAAATCCCGAAAGTGGACATTCGCACATACCTTTTGAACTTTTACCTCGAAAAAGTTTGTACCCGAACGATTCCGAATGCTATTTTCCGTACGATCGGTTCCTAGTGATGCACGCCACAGCAGTGAGTAAACATTCGCTGAAAATTCGTTTGTCCGTATTCAAGCATGTCAACTTGCGGAAATATTAGCTAATGATAACCATATCAACAGAAACCCCAAAGCGTATATACTGCAGGTGTTATATGCGGATGTTCGTTTGTTGGGAGATCAGTGTTGGCGACCAGGGACGAGAAAATCCATTTTGTAAGTCCCGACGAACCCTAAATAGTAGCCGTTGTCTGATTGGTTAAATCCGTTCTGCCGTCTAGCCTTTGATTGGACGGTCATAGTTCGCTCAAAGGTTACCTGACGCGACCTTCCACAAGTTGTTGTTAGACTCAGTATAGCAGTGTAACGAATAATACTGAGTCTAAGTTTACTTAGACTGAATTTAGTTAATGACTAAATAATGTAAACAGATCATGTATGATTCATAAAGATTAGAAGAACTCCTTTTTCAACAGTTATTAAACATTTTGCCAAACACCAAATTCATGCAAGAGAAAAATTAACACAATGTAGGAATTAAATGATCTTTTCAATGTAAGATTTTTTAAATCACTAAAGACTTAGGTACTCATGGGAGTCATGGTTGACAAAGAGGAGGTAACGCCACGCATTCAGATCAGTTAATTTCCTATAACACTGATTGAATGTCATCCAAAATGTCCTAATAAAATAATATTGTGTGTACTTATAATGTGCTAACATCCCAACACAAGGTGCATATCCCACCAGGTACCCATTCACTGCTGAGTGAACAGAGGCACAAACTCACTTGCCTAAGGCAGGACCACATGTGTTACATTAAATTTTGATTCATTGTAAACCAGGACTGAAGTCCTAGTAACTTTCAGGTGTCAAGCTGCCATAGTCACCTATCAAAGGACTCTCAACAACCACCTTCAACTGATATTTTACCTGGGCTCTTTGCAAAGGACCACACACCACCACAGAATAGTTTGGTTTCGTAAAGATACAGGGGAATGTCCTAACAAAACAATCCAATGTCCTACCAGCTGCAAACTGTCTTTTGGTAACATTTTCTTTCACCTTCAGTCTTATAATATGGAATGTCATGAGGTGAGTATACCAGATGCAAAGATATTTTACATGAATAGCTTCATACAAGTGCGTCTCAATATGGCTGAAATATTGCCGATGTGACGTAAAATTTTGACTCACTCAGTCTCACAAGTGGTGTAAATCATTGTTTGCCTCATGGAGATGGGCATTTCTTCACAACAGTGGGTTGACCATGCTTATAGAATGCTCGAACCTCACATAACAGCAAAATGTCAATTACAAATACTTATGTGAAAGCAGCCTGGACCTTCCTCAGAATCAAACCCATCCTCAAAGCAATCACAGTTGATACAACTTACCGGTTGTTTCCTCGGTGTCTTGGTCTTCCCGACATACTTGGCCATCTCAGTCCCTTCTGTCCGCATCTTTGTGGGATCAAACGTTTTCCTCTTCTTGTTGGCATTCTTACAAGCAGCCTGATGTTTACCAAGTCTGTCAGTATTGAACCTTCTACCACAGATCTTACATGGAACAAGCTGCCCCTGTTCTCCCTGGGCCTCACTGTCAATGGCGGCCTGAATGTAGAAGTCTACATTGCTCTCTGGAACACGGTAGTCATCCTCCACAGGTGATGGTGTGCGTTTTCTTGGTGGTGGAACTCGCCGCTGCTGTTGTTGTTGTTGCCTACGCCTGTTCTCTGCATTTCTTCTCATTTTCTCTTCTTCTCTTTGAAGTCTTTCTTCTTCCTTCCTTTCTCTTTCTTCTTCTTGCATTCTCTTCTTTCTCTCTTCTTCCATTTGCCTGTTGAGCTTCCTTTCTCTCTCTGCCTCCCTCTTCCTCTCCAGCTCCACTTCCCGCCTAGCCTTTTGGCAAAAGAAATGGTTGGTATGATCATGATGAATAGATTTGAAAAGATTTCATAATCATTAATCTGCAAAATGAACTATCTTGAAGGTTCAGTAAAAAGATAACAAAATGAGGCCTTTCAAATGACTCATGTTTAGAAAGTTGTTTTGATTTACTGCAGCCACATTTGATAAGTGATAATCTTGTTATTAACCAAAGACCTTATTCTTGAACAACATCAAAACTATGTTTAAAGGTCATCTGACCACAGAGTTAAATGATCATGTATAAATCAACTTTTTTTCACAAATGATGGAAGAAAACTGTCAATTTCCAAATGAATGGTCAATTTGAAATGTCATAATGTTGGAGATCAGAAATCTGTTTCTTACTGGTGAACACAGAAAAGAAAAAGGTGACTATATTCTCCTCAATGAATATGCATGAATGCATAATCCAAGGGTGATGGCTTGGCTTTACATGTAATTGCCAATCTCAAGTATCACAGGAACAGACATGAGAGGAACTCAATATTGTTTAATGTTCCCTTAAAATATATATCAGGTAGTATTTCCCATAAATGTATGAATGACACAACTGCATGCCCAGAAGCTGATCAAGGCAGTTACATAGTCACAAGTTGCACAGACTAATAACTACTCAGTCAGCGGTGAACTCACAAAGCACATATTACTCCCACAAGTTCAAACCTTGAGCAGGTTAAACAGTTCTGTGTTAGTAGGGGCTGTACATAGGTTAGATGAGGGTTGACATGAAGTGACTCACCCTTCTCACCCTTTTTGTGAAAATTAAATACACACCTATCACAGATTTCAAAGACATTGTGGAAGGTTGATCCCTTTTCATTTATAAAGCTCCTTGCAGTAATCAGAAAATTGTGAAGTTCCAACCTTTATGGAAGAAGATTTTGACAATTTGCTTACAGTTTATTGCCTTCAAGTTTTGAGTGTTGGATAATGCATGCAGTAAGTCATACATATGAATTTTCTATTCACGTGGTCACAGAGACCTGGTTTGCTCTTGTATTTTCTCTCTCAGCTTATGTCAAATGTGTTTCAATACAAATTGCTTTAAAAAATTCTTAACAAAAATCCAATCAATTCTGCTTGGGCGTTGGCACAGTTCCCTCTGCATTGCGTGGAAGCACTTTGAAACAGACAAAGAGGAACTTGACAATGGTGTTTACTTGTACTACGTGAGTCTATAGATTATGAAGCTGGGCTGGGAATAGGGGACACCAACGAGAATCAATGTGTGTGGGTTCCCATGGCAATACGCACATTATGTTTACATGAAATGCCAGGCTCATCTCTACTAATATGGTAAACATGTCATCCAATTGATTGGGCAGACTCTCGTCACATAAGGTGTGAATATAGATTGAGATTGAAGCTTTGATACCTAAGCTTGTACGTACAATATTCATGCTGATGGTGTTACATGGATATGTGAAATAAAGGAAATGTTCCCATGGAATTGTGTTTACTTATGTACCTGCACAAGTGCTGCATGTAATGATGCACCTTGCATTTTGCAATTTATTATTAGAATGTTTTTCTTCAGTAACACTGACTAACTAGCATTTTGCAATTTATAATTAAAATGTGTTTCTTCAGTAACATTGACTAACAAACATGCAAAATTAGCACAAAATAACCAGTCTGTGCCAGAACCTTTTTAGAGTACAAACCAGTACTTGGCTTTAGACTCATTTTCAGTAGATATTAGTGTTATCAATAACAATGTCTTCCCCTCTATTTAAGCAAACACTTACTGGTATTTCAAAAAGAAAACATACAAATCTAAGAAACATAAACTAAGGTAAACAGAAAGACCTTGAATTTGATTCATTACAGGACTTCATTGGGACTTGTCACAGAAGCTCAAGCACGCACCTAGCTAGTCTCATGACCTACAAATATACCTGAAGACCCCAACTTCAAGTCTTCAGGTGATTGAAGTTCATTAATAATATACACATGTCATGACAAAGGCACTTCTAGCCCCACTCTACAACCCCTGGATATGTCAGTATGTTAATAAGCTAGAACCCCCTGACAAGACAAGCTGCTTTTCTACAGACATCGATTTGTGTCAAACTAGTGAGACCTGTCAGTATTTACAGACACTTTACATACGAATGGTTTTTCAGGGCAATGACATCACAACAAAACAATAAACAGTATTTTTATCTATATTTGGCACACTATCAAGATGCTGACAATTGACAGTATTCCCTCAAGCTGATAACCACTGATGTAGAACAATTAACGTCAGTATGCCCTAGAGAAATCAAGTGTCCCACATCAGCTAAAAGACAATGCAGGCAAATCAGCAGTTCTGTCTTTGGGTGTGGGAACCAGGACCTAAGTTCTGTCAAGACAAAGGTAGCTTTAGTGTTTCTAACATATGACATTTTGTAATGTGTGAGTGGCAACTGATACAGATAGAAGCGTATTAGTGACACCATGTAAAAACATTTTTATCATACATAGGAGTTACTTACTAGGGTTGTTGCGATTCATTCACATATTCGGTGAATCAAACTGTATCCCTTTCAGAATTTAATTTGTTATTTGCATTCACTAGAAATCAAATATTCATGATTTTTTATAATGGAGTGTTCTTACTTGAATTTGGGTGCAAACAATATATTGACAACATTCCTATATATCTAATTTGACAGTAATGTGGTCACTGGTCATTGTTGTGTTGAATTACCTCAGGTAAAACATGTCAAAGGACCTATTTCTTATTATTATCCATATGGTGTAACATAACCAGTGACATATATATCATATGTGCACATGTGCACATATCACTTTTGCCTAGCAGCCATTGTTTCTGTATTTCATCATCTGTGACGTCATTAAAGAATTAGACGTGACATCAATGAACAGGGCCGTCACACTTGCTTATCGTGTTTTACTGCACAAATGACTACACGAATAAAATGGATAATAAAGAAATTATTACACTCGAACAAGTGTGTCACTTGACTTATGCGAAACTCGTGCAAAATTGTGTATTACCCTCGCTCTCGCTCTGGCAATACAACATTTCACACTGGTTTCATATAAGTCATATGACACACTTGCTCGTGTAATAATCTCTATTTGTTTCACAGGATATAATGAACAATACATCAACTGCTGACTGGTTATTGTATTCATTACCCAATATTCATGATATGTAGAATATCTGCCTTATAGTGGATTCATTGAAGCTCTAATTCTTACGTCTACATAGATGATACTTTCATCTATGAAACTGATCCTTTCATCTCCGTAGATCATAATTATATCTCTATAAATGATATTATAATCATGAAGATAAATATGATTTATTTAAATGTGAAGTAATATGGTTTAAACTGTGCCACTCACAGCTTCCATAGATACAATACAGGCTGTTTTCAGTTGTTTATTTTTATGTAAATCAGTAACCAATAATAAACAATTCAGCTCAGTCTAAGTAAACTTAGGCTCAGGATTATTCGTTATACTGCTATACTGAGTCTAACAAAACCTAGTAGAAGGTCGCGTCAGCTAACCTTTTGGACTGACCAATCAGAACACAGCTTTCCAAATCACGAAAGTTAACATTCTCACATACCGTTTGAACCTTTACCTAAAAGATTCGAACGATTCCGAATGCTATTTTCTGTACGATCACTTCCGAGTGATACACAATGAGTAAACAGTCACTGAAAATAGCATGTTTGTCAATATATGCAAGGATGTCATCTTGCGAAAATATAAGCAAATAGTAACCATGTCATTAGAAACCCATAAGCATATATACTGCAGGTCAAATATCTGTGTTTTAAAGTCTCGCCGAACCCTAACAAGTAGTCGTCTGATTGGTTAAATCCGATCGTCCGTCTCGCGTTTGATTGGATGGTCATAGGTCACTCAAAGGTTACCTGACGCGACCTTCTACTAGGTTTTGTTAGACTCAGTATAGCAGTGTAACGAATAATACTGAGCCTAAGTTTACTTAGACTGCAATTCAGCTGAATATGTTCTCCACACAAACTTTGATTGAGTAAATGCACTTTCAGGTCTCAGCACAGCAATATTCCAAAGCAAGTGTATTAGTGAAGTCTGTAAAAAGCCAGGAAAACCAGTGGTTGATAGCATGAGCAACTCTGCACACAGTCATGGCACAATGACACCCTGATGTACAAAGTGTGCCCATCGGTTTTTACATGGATACCTCCATAAAATGTGAAAGGACATTGTAGTCAATTCATATTTTAAATACAAGACATATGGTTATAGAGGATAAACTATCTCATAAGCTCAGATATCCACATATTTTTTATGAAAAAAGTGAGTAAGTATGGTTTTACGTCGCTTTTATATATCACTGCAGGGAACACCAGAAATGGTCCTGACACATTGGTGGTGAATCGAACCCGGATCTTCAGGGAGATTGGATGAAATAAAATCATACCTGAAAAGACTCTTTATACTTTTCGAACCTACTGACCAGTAATCTAAAAAAGAATTCTAAAACCCAAGACATACAAATATTTGGTCTTACATCTGAACAAAACATGATATAAGTGGATATATACAGACAGATACAGGATGGGTCATGTAACTATAAAATAAATATAAAATCCCTGACATAACTTAGTATGTCAACATGTAATATTTGTCTAAAATCACCTAATCTCCTCAATGGGCTTCCATATCAGCCCATGTTGATATGGCTCCAATTGCTTCGAAATAATGACTGATAAAGGCCTCCAAATGTCAATCCCTAATATGACTAGTCAAACACTGACCCTCTGGTTATCTAACCAGTGTCACTTAACAAGATACAGTCCAGGAAATCAACCCTTTCTACACTTGACCTATATGACTGGTTTCACATAAACATTTGTGAATCATCATATTCAGCCCAAATTAATGTATTGCCTTGTTCAGGCGACAAGGTATCCTCAATGTTGATAAAGTAAAATCTAAGGGACCATTCATAATTTATGGCTTGGGGGAGGATAATGATTTTTATGGAGAAGCATGTACAATGTCAATTACCCCCCCCCCCCCAAATATATGTACAAAGTAAGTGGCCCCACTGCATGTCATGTACAAAATTGCTGACCCCCGAGTACATGTGTACAAAATTGCTGACCCCCTACCCCCAGAACAAAATGGGCGACCACCCTTAAAATCATCATCACCACCCCTAGCCATATATTATGAACTGTCCCTAAGTTACATGCTGTAACGTAAAAAAGATTTTTGTAACACCTCGTGTCTTGTTCTTTTGCTAAAACCCTTACTTGCATAGGTCTTTATGTCACAGACAGACCATCCCTTATTAAGCAAACAAACAGTCAAGCACCACTGTGTCGAAGCTAAAGGGATCTGTGCAAGTACTTTGAATTATCCATTGTTTGACACAACATCAAGATGATGACTAAATAAAGAATATGCAAGGACCAAGGTTTTACTTCGTGACAAACATACATTTGACACATCAAGGTTCGACACGATAGTGTTTGACTGAATGAGTATCAGACAATGGCAAATTGGTTCAAAAATTCTTTGGAATAAGTTCCTGTTGCCTCACTCTTAACATTATTATCTCTATGGAAAAGAATGGAGCAAGCTATCTAAACTGATGATATCTCATGGCGAATGGATTCCAGCAAGTTTAAAGTCATCTCAAAATATTTTAAAGGATGCCTTTGTATTATTCAACAAAAACATTTCTCTCCCTTATTTAGCCATACAGAAAATATGTGCTTTTCCTATTTCAACTCATCAAAAAAAACATGGTTATTGTGGGATTTAAGCTGACGGTGTTGTTGGTGGGTATTTTTAGAGTGGTAAGAGTACTTCAGTATTAAATATAAAGGGTACTTTCAGTGTGTCAGTTAAATCTGGGGGAATAGTATTGGAGGCAGGGGATAACCCTGATGTTGGAAGAAACCAAGTATCATGAACTCACCTCTTCTTCTTCCCTCTCCTTCTTTCTCCTCATGGATTCCAGTTCTTGTTTATTTCTCTCAATCTCCTCCATGATCTCACGCTGCTTCTCCTCTAGGTCATCCTGCACATCCTGGTTCTCCTTGTCTCCATCTGTGCTATCCCCCTCCCCCCACTGACCCCCTGGTGGACTGTGCCCTTCCTGCACAGACTGATGATGTCTGTCTAGTCTCTGCTCTCTTGCCCTGTTCTGCTCCATCTGCCAGCGTTGAAAGTCTGTTAGTTTTTTAGTACCTTCGGATTCGTTCCTCTTTGGAGGTGGTGCACCTAATCGTTTTCGTTGAAAATTTCGTAAAGTGTGTAAATTTGGAGGTGGGCTACTGTCATTACTACTAGTTCTGCTATTGTCTTGTCGCACGTCATACTGTCCATTAGGAGTCTGCACAGCATTTGCATTATTATGTGCATTCGGCCTTTGTCTAGCAATTCTAGCTTTGGTTGGCACGGGGGGTGTTTTTTTGTCATTAAGGGGCTGTAACAAGTTAGCTCTGTCCTTCCCCGCACTATTTTTGCCATGCCTTGATGAGGAGTTTGATGCATGACTACTAGCACTGCTGTAACCCCCTGATGAGTACCCTCTCCTCATCATACGATAGTGTTCGTCAATTGGAGGAGAGTTATACCCCTGTTGTTCCAGCTGACGTCTCTGCTGAAAGAACTGTCGAGCAGACGGACCTCCTGTGGAACTGTTTCCACTATTCTGGCGCTGACCAACTTTTGACAACGCCCGTCTCTGTTGATCTTCATACATCCTTATCATTTTCTCTTCTTTTTCACGGAGCAATTTTGACTGAAAGTCTGCTTGTAGCATTTCCAGCTTCGAAGGCTGTTTGTTAAACTGTTTTCGACTCATCCCTATTGGTGTGTAGTGAGGTAGTTTTGATGGAGATGTATCTCTGTAAGAGGAGTTAGGAGGAACTGCAACTCTGCTCATTTTGGGTGCAATGTCCTTGCACTAAGTCGTGAACACTGGAGTGAAAATAAAAAGCAAGCTGTGAGGTGATGTGCGACACATAAAAAGCAGCCTACACAAAACAGACTAGGCAGCCCTAGAAATTCATGGTTTTTCAAGACTACTGCAAACATTATTCCATCTATCTTCAGATGCATGTCCTGCTTGAATGATACAAAAATGTTAACTATTTACATCTTCTGTCTACTTTATTCAATTTTCAATTTGTAACAAATTTGAGAACTTGTTCATAATTTTAGCCCTCAATGCAAGTAGACAAAGAGGACTACCATGATTGGATTTTTAGATTTCCTCGGCACAAATGAGTAGTCTTGGTCACCAGGACAAGCATGCATTTCAAAGGCTTCTAAGGCTATCTCAATACACCCAAGTCATGTTACCCTTAATAATGATGAACATTTATAATGTCTTTCCTTTCAAAATTATGTCAATTGATATGAAAAACAAGAACTAAGGCTAATCCTTAGCATGAACTAATGTTTTGATGGAAATAATCATGTAGCATTTTAATGTAAGGAGTCCAAGGATTTTGAGTTTACATGCCTAGTACTTCAATAGAAGGACACCAGAATCTTCCTTTTTATACAAGTGTTACAACAAGGACCCTTGACTTTCACAGTGTTCACGAATAGCGTCTGACCCTCTGACAAATCCGGCAGATTTGCCAACGGTCCGATAGAAGTCTACAACCCGCCGGCCCCAGTGTCTGACTGTATATTTCACAATGACTTTGACTGAAGTTGTTATATGGGACATGTGACACCTGTTTGCTGTTTATAAATCTTATGTTTGTTTATAATTTCAGTGCCAATTATAAGAAATGCTAAATCTGAAATGTGTGTTTAATTTTATTCTATGGGTCCTGTGAATTTTCAATGGGTCAGACAGACATCTGAAACTTACAGGACCCAATGTCCTGTTCCTTTGAAACACGATTCGTGAACACTGCTTTCATGCTTAATTTTGAACAGTGATGTCATCTTGATAGAACACTAATTGATACATGGTTAGTATGAATACTAGGTTTGTACAATTAGGTTAAATAAGCGCTGTTTTTAGACCTGTTTAGCACATCAGTAGCATCAAAATTGAGAAAAGTCCTAGGGTCTTTGCTGTTTGCTGCAATAGCAATATCAACACAATCATGACATTCATGTATATCTGCATAATATGACTCCTGAACATGACAACACCTTACAAAACCAACCACACTTAATGAGTTGCTGACTTAACTACAACTACAAGTACGAGGCAAACAAACAATGCAGGTGCTAATATTTATCCTGTGAAATAAATATGGATCATATTTGGCATAATGGTTATGTTGATTCAAACTAAAATCTACATAACATAACAACACCATCAGCACAAAACTATTTTACGTCAAGTACACTTCGGAAAGAGTTCCTTCCGTTCCCCCAACTCTAAACCAAACTCTAAACCTAACCCTAACCCTAAACCTAGCCCTAACTTAAATTTTGGACTTTTAATCATTTTGTGAGTTCTCTAGTAATTGTTGTGTTAAGTTTTGTTTATAATTCTAGAATATTTATACATATTATTTGGGATGGGGGAACGGGGGGAACTCTTACCTACACTTCACTTACCTTGAAATAAATGACTGAGATATTTTTCCAAATATGCTGGGTATACTCTAGCGATATATTCAAACCGAACAGTACGACAAATTACGTGTCGGTGTGTCCATATCGAAGAGATCCTGAAAATGCATGTTTACGATCCTTCCGTGAATATACGTAATCACACAAGTCTACCAAGTGAACTCAAATGTAGAATACGCACAGGTATTGTCACGATTAACAGGAGGCTGAACACACCCCTAACTTTACAGCATCCTATCAATAAATGTCAAGCAACTGCGTGGGTTGGTCATGCGTGCGCCGCCATGTTGTTTACATTCTCTGGTGCTTGGTAACGGTCAATACCACCGACCGAGTTTCATGAATGACAGGTTGTTATCGCACGCCTGTAGTGTGTACCGAATCTATTGTTTTACCATGGTGCTAGATGAATCACTACAAATTACATGTACAAGTTAGGGTTCCACCTGAATAGCTTTCCTGAAAGAGTGTTTTCTTCCTTCATGTTTGGCCCTTTACTTCCGGAATGTTCGAACCGTTGTGCTTACGTAACAACATATCGCAAAGAAAGTAAAAGTGGGCGGAGCCTCTTCTGTGATAACCATGTATGGCAGAGGTAAATGTTGGTTAAGTAAATGTGTTAGAACCGCATAAAGATTAGAAGTTGAATTGAAGATGATATCGGTATCACACATAAATGATAATATGTATACTAGATCTAATTACAACTTGCAGATTTACACTCGGTTTTTGTATGTCCAGTGCCTTGTACAGGATAACGTCACTAATGTTATAGGAAGAGCAAACTCACAGACGAGTCCGAACCATAATAAACGATACACGGTGTAATCGAGAAAGGTTTCTAGTACCCTAAGCAGAAATTAATAAGTATAAAAATATTTCGTTTAACTTCTCTAGCCTGATGGTATGCGGGTATGCATTTACAGGATAATCATCTGCTAGTGAGCGCATTCACTGATGCAGAAAAGGTTAAAGGTCACATGCAACCAAAAAATCAAACATAATTAAAACACAATTATCACTTATTCATGACATATAATATACATTGCTGGTTATGAAAAAACATATGCTTTCAAGTATCGAACTGAGAAAGTGACTCGGTAAGAAGAACGTGTGGTGAAATAGACAAATGAAAAATATATAAACAGTTAATTTACTGTCATAACATATTTATAAAAAGCTCGTGCCTGTGAGATATCAACAAAACATTAGAAAAATAGCTCACACCAAAGCCTTCACCGAGTATTCACCGGACAACCCGCTTCCAAGCTGCGCGAACCTATTTCACTGCGCACGTGCTATGAGCGCAGCCCAGCTGTTGAAACCCGTTTTCCCCGAAAAGTCGGGGGAAAATTAGTGAAACGTTTGAACTCCGATTTCGCGCGGTTTTTTTCATCGCGTTATTTTTCAACTTTATAAGTTGAATTTGCATTTTTGACGATTTGTTTCGGTAAGTCCATACCAAAAGGTATCAGAATCTGCAAAGTTGTGTTTTACGTTGCATGTGACCTTTAATTTTTTTAGGAAAGAATACTATATGATATTTATATGAACACTCTTGCCAAGATGTAGACGAATGTGTTCGGCTGTTGGGTTTACGAGTTGCACTTTCCAATCAAAGTATTAGACTTTTTTATAATACAAATTCTCGGAAAATATATCCTATTGAAAGAAGCAAGCAACCATTTTTTATTGAAAAGAAGCCCCAGTGAAATAGGAGCTTCAAATGAAGACTTTCTTCATTTAGAGCTACAGAAATACAGTCAGGTATGAAAAAAGAAGAGAAAATTGTACGGTGACGGGACTGTGAGGCAGACAACACAGATATGTGCCCAACGTTTAAATTGTTGATTCCATGTTTATAAATGGGCCTTTGAGTTTCAGTCTCAGTTCAAACACATTTGACTGACACAAAAAAGTTCGATTACGAGCGAGATGTTATGAAAATATCGTGTTTGTGGTTGTTGTTTGTTTGTTGTTTTTGTTTTGTTTTGTTTTGTTTTGTTTTGTTTTGTTTTGTGTGTGTGTGTGTGTGTGTGTGTGTGTGTGTGTGTGTGTGTGTGTGTGTGTGTGTGTGTGTGTGTGTGTGTGTGTGTGTGTGTGTGTGTGTGTGTGTGTACTAAAATATACCTCACTGTGTATATATTAACGCCGTATCTGTTCTTGATATGTTGATACTGAATACGAGATATCGGGTTTACATCCTCTTGTAAAAATGTGCTTGAGAGAACGGTGCTAGCATCAACACCTAAACGTCGCATTCATGGAAGTTGACTATCCATAGAACTTCATTTTCCTTCATCTTTATACAACTTTTAAAATGCCTCTCAAAGAAAAAAATCTGTTACGCATATTTTTTACGTATTAGTATTTATTTGTTTGGAGAAAATATGCATAGATATGCATGCTATATATCACTTGAAGCATTAAAGGTTTTAACCTGTGTCCACGTTGCCAATATACAACTAATTGCTCTGTTGTTTTTACAGTTATTGCCATTGTATATGCACAATAAAACGAGAATTACTAGGCGGTGTACTCAACTAAACTCACTCACTCACTTTCCAAGCAAATGACACCACTAAGCTTTCTGCCACAGAAGTTTGGTAGCTTTATTTTCTATGCACATGACATTGAAAAACTTAGAAGAATGATAAATAGAATAACTCAAAGCTTCATATGTATGTTAAGACATTCTTATGTACATATACGTACAACTTTGGACACATCTGTTTTGAGCTGAGTAGGATAGTATACAGTTTGAACATTTCAGATTTCTCCACAAAGATACTGCACGCCTAGTATTCAACGTATGACCGTGTGACTCAATTTGAGCTGGAAATAAATAACGACGTAAAGCGCCTGACAAAGAAAATTACGAAATATATCCCTGATTGATAACTGGTTGGAACTGGTGTTATATTTTAGACAACGTTTCAGAGTTACGTCTTGCATGCGACTTCATTGTATATTCTTTGGGTATTAAACATATCCTATGTTATATTATTCTTGGTCTTGGGGCAGGACATTAAATCCTAACTCTATATGAAGAGACTCTGTGGTTTAAATAATCGCGCCTTCACCCTTGTGGTTAAAGAGCCATGTCCAGACTGCGTGTCATAGGGGTCATAATCCATTATTACAGAGTCGGAATGTTAAATACACTACACAAATCTGTTGGATTCAGCAGTTAATACCTAGTAATTATGAATTCAAACCACTGTTTAGCGGATTGAGCGTCACATGGCCAACAGTGGTATATATCACCTTCCAGGAATATTGGTCTGTCCGAGACACCACCTACTGCAAGAATGCAATTATAAGCCAGATTAACTGACTTGAGTACACATAAATATACAATTCGGTGTGCTCAACCTGTCACGTGGCAGGCAGTTATGTCTAAATAAATTGGTAAAGCCAGCCATATTAATCTCAGTTTCAGTCATGGTGGACCATCCGTTCCACAAAGTGATCATAGCTCTGTTATTGTTGTAAGTCTATAATAATTTCCAGTGATGGAATTACGATCGTCTTTGATATGGAACAGGGCCCAGTGGATGTTTTAAAGCTCAAGAGACTGAACAAATGTTTGAACAGCAACTTTGCACTTGACTCATTGGCTTCAATCTTAGAATTAAGATGTTGATTTGTCTGATGACCGTTGTTGAGTGATTTCTGGCTGAAATATACATTTGGCGATGAATCTCCAGGAAAGATTTTTTCCATCCGTCTCTTGTCCATTCCTCTTGTCTTTTTTCGCTTGTCGAACTTAAAAAAGTGAAGTCCCAAGCAGATGTTTTAGTGACTGGTATGGAGGTGGTGGGGTAGCCTAGTGGTTAAAGCGTCGGCTCGTCACGCCGAAGACCCGGGTTCGAATCCCCACACGGGTACAATGTGTGAAGCCCATTTCTGGTGTCCCCAGCCGTGATGTTGCTGGAATATTGCTAAAAGCGGCGTAAAACCAAAACTCAGTCAGTCAGTGACTGGTATGACTCTGTCCTTCACTGGTGCATGTTTGTCTAGCAGCTCAGATAAAACTCTATTGTATAGCAGAACGAGACTCTCAGCAGCAGATGGTGGCTCAAGTAAAAGGTCTGAGTTTAGCAAATTGTCTTTAAAAGTATCCATATCCAGGGAGCGCATGTTCCTACAGCGAGTAATCTTCACATTTGGACTGGGTATTGAGAGGTCCAAGCTCACAAAGATATGGAAATGGTCAGAGAGCTGTAGGTCCTATACAGATACACAACTGACACAGGCGTCTGAAGCAGGGGTAACTATCCAGTCCAGAGTGTGTCCACCTCTGTGGCTTGCCTCTGACGCAAGTTGTACAAGTTGTGGACTTCAAGAAGATTAAGTATTTGTTTAGTGTCATGGTTATCCTTGTTGTCAAAATGGAAATTGAAGTTGCCTACGATGATAAGAGCTACCTCGTCAACCTATCCAGTCTGTGCTGAGACGGTGCCGAGCAGTAACTGCTGCCAATGGTGGCCATGCAAAGTGGACTCAAGTAAACAGAAACACAACAGTAAAGGCTTTGTCTATAGACGTTTGAATTTTCACCTTTTTACCATTAGGATTGCATGAAATAATTGCTCTTAAACTAATGCAAGAAATTCTTCTAAAAAATGGCTTATGCGTTTCTTTTCTTAAGAGTATATTTCTGGGTCACAGTTTCATGTAAAGACCTTCTATAGTTGATAAACAGGGTAAGATGTATATTCTTTTTTCACATTGTACTAGTTCTATATAAAATATATGCTTTGTGCAGAAATGGGGGGGTTATTCATCATTATGACTTTTAGAGCTAAAAATAACTCTTTTATGTAAATTTAAGACTAAAAGCAAACTAAAAAGATCTGGTGACTTACAGCATATGAGAAATATATTCCTTAACCAAATATGCATGGTATTTGATATTGAAACCATTGTTTTGTTCCGGGGTTTTGCAACTTTTTCAGTTCCCAGTTAAATTTTGGTGGCCATCTTGGATTTTGAGCTAAAAATAGCTTTCGCATTAATATTCAGATTGGAACCAAACATTTTTTTAAACTCCTTTAACATATAAACACAAAAGAATATACCATTTGCTTTCATCAAAACACTTTCACAGAATCCCATAAGCTACTTGACTATTTAGGCCAGATTCAATTATATACAGGTCACTGTGGCATTGCTAGTATGTTTCTAACTGCATATGTTTAATATGCACTAACAAAATCATCAACAAATTGCAAGCTTATTACATAATATTGGAATACCTGAATCTGATGTTAGAGAATTGTAACATGCCAATCAGAGTTATCTCCCTTTCAATATGGAACCCTTTCTTGCAACATCATCATTTACATTGACTGCAGCAGGAATTGTAGACTAACAGCTAGTCTCTGAAATGAACATATTTTACAGAAAAAACAGTTCATAATAAAATAAATAAAATACAATAAAAAAGGAGCCCAGAGACTTCCTTCATTTTCCTGAAACTGTGGAAATCTAGACTTGCCACACATTCTACACCTTTATGGGCTACATTGGGTAAATTTTGTTTCAGGGTCTATATGACAGACTACAGGAATAGCATATTTGTAAAATGTTCTGTAGAGCAAGCAATAGTCTGTCATACAGACCTTGAAACAAACATATCCAAGAAAGCCCACGAAAGTCTTCATTATGAAAATGAGTCTCAGGGCTTCTTTTCATTATATTTTTTTAATTTTATTATGAACTGTTTTTTTTCTGTAAAATATGTTCATTTCAGAGACTAGATGTTAGTCTAAGCAAGCAAGTTCTCATTCTATGTAGGCCACTGAGGTTCTAAGATCGGAACCCACTGGGAATTCTGGCACTACAAAGGGACACAACTGATCAGAATGAACTACAGTGCCTGATATATCACTTCCACCCCAATATTTGTTGAAAGCAAAATACAGATAAACAAACACAGATCAAATTTGCGAGAAGATACTTTATTTAGTTATTATTTGTATACTGAAAATGTTCTTTAGCACTAAGAGCTACTAAAAGGTCTAATAGTAAGATATACAGGGTGGACACCTGATGATTTAATAAAGAAGAGACTGGCTTTAGACTTAACATGTAGCCAGTGAGACAATGACACAACAGTTAACAGGTCTTCTAAGCTTCAGTTCCCACACACATCATCTTAATAAAATATCAGTTTACGAGCCAATAGAAATCATATTCAACAAATCACATTCTCACAATATTGGCTTTGTTAAGTATTGTTTTCTACCCATTTACATTACCCATCAAACATTTACTATTTCATGCTTAGATTTTTATGAACCGAAATAACTGAAATGAGAACCTTGCATATTCACTCCACCATTAACTCTTCTACTGATATCAGTGTGAAAATACCACACATGTGTACAACTACATTGTATTTTATATATCACTGTATATGTTGTATAAATAAAGAATCATGAAGTACCTGGTGGTCCATCTTACCCATGCATATGCAAACATATTCTATCACATTTGTCAATGTATCACTACTGTATGGAAGAAAATACTACTCACTATTAGAAAAAATACAAAAGCAACAAAATATATTATGTTTGGGCATTATGAAATCATACAAACAATAACAGGATCAACAGATCAAAAGATAAATATCGATAATAGTAAGTGTATATACATGATGTATGTGAAGTAGTTGTCAGTATAATACTATACAGGATACAACTGGTGAACATGGTATGGATTGGGACAGGTTGTTTGAGGAATAACAATGACAGGCTAGAACATTTTAGACTTGTTAGTAAGCAAAATACATTAAATATGTATGAAAAAAAGATAAACAATTATATCATGAACTAATGTACATAAAATCAGTTCATTTACACAGTAGGTATACCTCTTTGTGTGAAGACAAAAATAAAATTTTGACCATCCTGTCTAAATGAAAAAGGTCTAGATTCTTGGGGCAATCAGGTGCCAGCTTTACAAAATCACATTGTTTTACTTCTTCACAATGTTGATTCAGACCTTTTATGTTGATAAAAGACACCAACACAGAGCAGAAACATTACCTTCATTCCTTGACTGTATGTATACCCCCTATATCCACAACAACATATTAGCATGGCCTTAAATATTTTACATCCTGAACTGCCCACTAACATTAGATTTTGACAAACAGCAATCAAACATGCTTCTTGAATGCTTTACTCACTGTTACCATTAATTTAAAAACCTAAGAGTTTATTTGATATGACTCTCATTGGAGGGCTTGTCAGATTGTCATGCAGAGGTGATGCATCTGAGACAGATCTGACTTTATTGACACTGATCATGTACATGCTGAAGTCAATAGATTAGATTCAGATTCAGTAATCACAAAGTAATGAAGTTTCAAAGCAAACTGGATGTACAATGATTTCTCCTCATCTAATGTATCACAGAATGCGTATAGCAGTGGACTGGAATACAGATCATTGTACAGTTGCATAACAAGACATGGTCACAATCACACAACTTCATGATATGTTAATTTTACCACAGTGAGAACTGCATGCAATAATGAATCTGTGACATCATGCACTGCATGTGATTATCCTGCTATATTTGGCACTACATGCCATACATGCAATGTACATGATTATAATGCCACAATGTGCACTGCATACCACAATTATTTTGAAAAACTGTGCACTGCAAATGATTATTCTGCCACAATTACCACTGCATGTTGTGATTATTTTGTCAATATGACCACTCCATGCCATAATTATCCTGTGACATTGTGCACTGTATGATATGGTTATTTGGCCAGCACCATTCCCAACTGCCTGACATATAATTATTCTGTGATAAAGTGTACTGCAAGCCATAGTTATTCTGTGAAATTGTACATCCCATGACATAATTATTCCTTGACATTCTGGATAAAAATGGCCACACAAGAGTAAGACACCTTTTGCTGTATTAAGATATTATACAGTATCACCTGTCATGAACAACCATAAACATCTTTAGGATTGTTTATATATGCCTTGATGCTGCAACTCTCTTCACTTATCTGTATGTACATCTGTTCGCCCAATGTCCAGGTCTCCCTACAAATATACATTGTTGACATGATTATTTGTATAATATACAATCCCAAAATTCCAACAAACATTATCCAGATATCCTTGTTTTTCAAAACCATTAGCAAAGAAAATTCAATTTACATTGATAAATAACAATCAAACAACACCATTCTTGGCTATTGGCAAAACACACTCCTAGGTTTGTGCAGGGTGAAGTGAATCCTTGGAACAGCTTAAAGAAACATGCACATGATGGAAGCACCTAAAGCTCAATTTTATTATATTTTAAAAAAAGGATGGTATCTAAATACTGGATTTGAAAACACCTGCATCTGAAAGCGGACTATTATATTGCTGCATTTGACTAGTCATATATTTTCGAATGTAAATATTTACCTTCTCAGTTGCTATGAAACATTCATGGAATATTGAACATGACTATCACATACTGTATTATATATATGGTGATCACCATATCAATTCATAAACCACTTACCACACTTATAGCAATTTCCATACCCTCCATAGAAAGACCGTCTGCTTTGGGGACGGGGGTTGATCAGTTGAGTTCTCCTGGGCAACCTGGCCACACCATAGCTGGTTGTACTTCTGGTTGGTCTTGCCCTGCTTGTTGCAGGAATTGATGCTGTAGATGACGTGGAGCCCTGACTAGAGGCTGTACTGGTGGACTGATAACTGCTGTCAAGGTCAGTGAGTTGGCGGGTTCCCCTCCCACCATTGTCCACATCCTCATCATCTGACCTCATGTTTCTCCTCCTGTCATGGCCTTGTCTTCTGTTATTGCTCCTTTCTCTACTCCTGTTCCTATCTCTGTCATGGCTTTGACTATTCCTTCTTCTGGTATGTCTTTCTGTAGCAAGTCTATCATCCTCCAAATCACTGGCTTCACTGCTACTTTCTATTCTAGCTCTCCTTCTCTGTCCCCTGCGCCTTCTGTCTCTCCCATGTGAAGATTCTTCATCATGTGAGTCACTGCTGTCCTCATCACTATGTTCATCTGTGTGTTCTCTCCTCTCCTGTTCCCACCTACTTCTCCTCCTCATCCTCATCCCTTCACTCCTCCTTCGCCTTCTCCAATCCTCTCTTCTCCTAGAACTCATTGAGCTGTCACTATTGCTGTGTCTACCTCGACGATGCTGACGTCTCCTCCTCCTTTCCCGATGCCTCATATCCCTACGTCGTTGCCTTGAGCGAGGACTATGGTCACTGAAATCAGTAGCTGAACTGTCTGTTGAATACAATGAATCACTGTCTCTCCCTCTTATCTCAAAATTTCTATTTCTTGTCCTATATTCATCAGAATAATCTGAGTCTGTGAAAGAGGTAGAAGATGATGCATCATCACTGAGTTGCCAGGCAGGAGAAATATCATCATATTGAGGACGAGTTGGACTTGCAGTTCTTGTTTGTCCCTGTGTAGGACGTCTGTGTTGAGGATTTGCCTCATCAAATTTTGCTTGTTCATCTGAATATAATATACATTTTCATTATTACAATCATTGAAATAATTATGACATGCTCATCGCAACTAATGACATCATGCTCTGTACTCCAAGGGAGTTTATACTTTCTAATACTAACACATTTCCCCAAAGCCTAAAATACTAATGCTTCCAACTACCACACATCACACTCTGTAATGCTTACCAAGCAAGTACTGACCAACACAGTATGGTTTTCAGCTGTACTACCTAAACAGTGTCATGCCAATACTTACCAAACATCACACATTGTGCTGTACAGTCCATTTCTTAACAACATAACATATTATCCTCTATAGTCCTAAAAGTGATAAGCCAATTCTTATCAAACATCCACCCGTGAAGATCCAGGTTAGAATTGGTCTTCACTAACCCATGCTTGTCATAAGAGGTGACAAACGGGATCAGTTGGTCAGACTCACTGACTTGGTTGACACATGTCATCGTATCCCAATAGCATAGATTGATGTTCATGTTGTTGATCACTGGATTGTCTGGTCCAGACTCGATTATTTACAGACCATGGTCATATAGCTGGAATAATGCTGAGTGTGGCGTTAAACAACAAACCAACCAACCTTATCAAACACCGCTTATTTAGCCCTTTAGCACAATGCTGACAAAGTGACATGCCAACACTGGCCAAGCATCAGACATCAACTGTATCACATAAGAAAGTGTATTTCAAGAGAAGACAGAAGCACATGCTTACTTTTGCGCTCTTCTAGAAGAGCTTTCCTGTCTTCCCTCATGTCTTCCCCTAGCTGCTCACACATCTTATCAATGAAGCTATCCAGAACTAAGCTCCTGTTCTTGGATATGATCTTGGTCCTACACATAGGGCAATCTTTGCTTGTCTTCATCCATTGACTGATACAGAGGGCGCAGAATGCGTGGGCACAGTTTAAAGATGTTGCCTACACAGAGAGACAATGACTTTACTTTCAAAACTCCTTGTCGCATAGTGTCAGTACAAAAACATGTCTGTTGAAAACGAGAACTCTAAAGTAAAAGAAAACCATACCTTGTAGAGTTACCATAATTGCAGTAATAAACTTTCAAGGAGTGTTCATCAAAACCATATTCAGAAGTTCAATTTCTTGTACATGATCAAGTAGAAAAAACCCAACTTAGTTTAAATGTTGATGAAATAAAACCTTTGCACATGGTGCACAATTTTGGTAATCCACCATACATCATCTTATCATCTTATTAATATGATATCCATGTATTCTTATACACATTCTATCGCTTCATACTGAACAAAAGCCCAGCAGTATGTAATCATAAGAAAAAAGATATATCATAAGGACTTTTTGGATTATTACATTTGCTATGCTATTCGGTCTTGGTTACCTGTACAAAGAGCTCATTACAGATGCTGCACTGAAGTTCACTGTCCAGGGTATTCTTCACTAGCTCCAGGGACTGTTTTTGCTTCTGCAGCTCCTCCTCCATGTCCTTGCCAGAGTTCCTGTTCCCAGATGTCCCGGACATTGCCCCAGAACCTCCTGGAACATTCATGGAAATTTCTGCACCACCCCCAGACTGTGAACATGTGTCTGCTTCTTTGGTAATAGTAGTAATACCTGGATCTACAACTTGTATATCACAATTCTTGTCAAAAATGTCTTTTTCAGAATTTTGTTGACTTCTTTTGGTATTTGTCTCTGATGTTGATGTCTTTTCATTCTGATGGATCTTTTTCTGCTGTTGCCCCATACTGCCTGATGCATTACTATGGGATGAACTTGGTTTACACTGCACATTTTTTGGACTGCATGGCTTTGTTTTCACCCCGGATGTTGATGGTGGAGATGGTTGTTTTGAGTTTGGTGTACTAGTTTTAGACAATGAAGTAATAGTGCTTGAAGGTGAAAATTGTTTAGTCACTGTGTTTGCTTGTTGATAAGATGGTCCTTGCTGACCATGCATTACACCCACAGCTCTTTTCTCATACTGTGGATTGAGATTAAATGAGTCCTTTGGGAAATGACTCTCGGACCATGCAGATGCTGAGTTTGTTTGCGGCACCTGGAATGAATCCATGATCACAATCAGACATGTAACTTTCTTATATAAAATATACTCTGTAAAAGAGAAACGCAGAAGTAGAACAATAGGAATTGTAAACCAAACGTCAATGTGTTCTTTAATCTGATTGGTTGAAAAACGTGATCAAATGGTATTCGATTCCCGGAAATTCGCTGCGTATTAATACATACAAACATCGCTCACACCATTGTATTGTTACGTCGTCAGCTGTGATGACGTCATTAAAATCATATTGTGACGTAAAGTCCGAATGACGTCACAAATGAGCAGTTCCAGATGCTACCATTGGAGACAGCCGAAACGGCCGGCTGATGACATTTCACTGCTGTACCCGTACTCGATGTAAATGAGTGCAGACACAAAAGCGTGTGTGGACCTTTTGGTTTACTTTTGTGTTTACAATGTCGATAAACATCATTTTGAGTATTTGAAGCACGGGAATATTCCATTTGAAACCTCCGGCTGACGCCGTCGGTTCCAAATGAAATCCCGTGCTTCAAATACTCAATAACACCCGGAAATTGGCCAACACATGATGTTTATCTCCTAAATATCTGATGGAGTTTTGTTGCTACAAAATCATACAAAATGAATACAAAGTTAATCATGTCTGCCTGCATGCATTAGTGATTTGTGTGGGCAGAATGAAGTATGGCTAAAAAATACTGAAAAAGTGGGGGAAACGGAAAACTGCAACTATGTGGGAGCGTAGTGGTCAAACACACCACCATGATATTCATGCAGCATGAATTGTTGGGCTATGAAAACGATGGGTACTAAATTGTCTTTAAATAAAACATGCTGCATCTGTAGTCAGGTTTTTCCAGGTATCGCCAAGCACCATTACAAGACTATTGAACCTTCATTAGACGCGGTGTCACAAGTCAGCTGAGGATGGGTTCATACAGGTTCGTCACTTTAATGTAATTGATGCACCACAATGAACTCTACATCCACAGCAATACGTGTACTATGATTGTGTCAGATTTCAGCCCTGACAGTGAGGAACCGTCCATGCACTGCAGGTATTTAACCATGCAACCAGTTTGAGAATAATTTAACAGCACGTCACCCTCAAGATCTTGAGCTCTAAACCCCATCAAACATTTATGGAATGTTCTTTATCAACATCTGTGATCACGTCAGCACACAGAACCTCCAAAAGTTTGCATAATCACCGCAGGAAGAGTAGGTAAATATTCCCCAGGCCACAATTCATAATCTGATGGGTTCCATGGGGCCACCATGCCTAGCATTTCCACACTTTCATGGAAGCCATACAAGATACAGAGATGCCAACTAATTTAGCCCAATTAGTATTTTGGCCAAAAACTGATTAAAAATTTTGTATATGTTGGCCAAAATTAGTATTAACTTTTCCAAAGAATTTTCATATTAAATTAAAAAATATATATATATATAGTCTAAGACCTTGTTATTAATGTTATACTTAACTAAATCAGTAGTACGTATCCACATATAGCTTGATACTGAATATAATGTGATCGAAATTTATTGTGTATGGTACGTATGCTATTTAATAACTTAATCTAATGTATTTTTTTTTAAATCGTATATTTTTACTGCTATCGTAGTCGCGTATTTTGTGTTGTTTTTTCATAACGAATACAATAAAATCGTATGGGTTGGCATCTCGGGATCTAGTAAATGGGCCGAAGGACAAAAGGGCCGAGAAGTGCCAAGTCAAATGGGCAATGGAAAAAGTCAAATGGGCCATGACCAAATGTCAAAAGGGCCTTATTCTTAGTCATATGGGCCGAACAAACAAAGTTTACAAATGTTTTTCATTTTTTATTGACATATATAGCATTAAAACATAATATCATAACAATAATGAAATGATAATTGCCAAGCATGTCTTTGCATTTAATGGCAATACTTATACAGTAGTTGGCCATAAGCGAGTCATCATTAGTCAAATTTCCATAGACTTACATGGAATAATTTTCCGTAAATTGAGAAGTCATTTTATTTTAATATTTTGCAAACATCTTGGAAAACATCTTCAGCTACGTGTACATGAATTTCTTTAATCTTTCCGTTGATTAGTTATCGAATGGCTCCTGATTAAGCACCATAAGTACAACTTAATTTTAATCTATCCCATAGACAGCCATGTTAAACCTGATTGGTATGTCTAATATATGTTGTTTAAATAGTTGCAGTTTTCTTAATAATCATCGGAAAATTGAATGAAAAATATGTGTATGTAGCTGAGATGATTTCCCAGCTGGTAGATAAGTATTGAAAGCAATTCGACCGAAACTAAATTATGAAAATTATTCTTGCAAGAATTAATAAATTAACTACTATTTTACTATGTAGTTTATTCATATTTTTCGGCCCTTTTTTTTACTTTTGATTTCGGACCATTTGACTTTTTGCCTTGGCCCATTTGACTTTTTTTCCATCCCTTTTGTCCTTTGGCCCATTTGACTACAACCCGGCATCTCTGCATGATATTTGGAAAATTGTCACATAGTTGCATGCTGCTAAATATTAATAGCATCAAATATGGCAAATGAGCATTCTGTATTCTGTGGAAGCAGATTACATTAGACACACAGACAAAAGATTGGGCTAGCAGAAACCAAAGACTTTGACACAGACTGTTATTGAAACTCTAAGCCAATACTGAAAACAACTGACTGAATTTATTACTTGTAATGTGGTTGACGTACAAGTGTCCAAATGTTTTGTTGCTGGTTCTATCATTATATTGATACGTGATTGTTCAGGACATCATTTTGTATGCATCAGCTGTGACTCGATAATATAATTTGACCCCACCGAGGGTACGGTCTGACCCTAAATACTATAAATAGTCACATTTTCATTTTCATTTACAGCAACAGCTTGAGACTCGTCTGACGATGTACAGTTGTTTTATACTATACAAAATATTCCTCCATAGTCAAAGAGGTTGTGAATTATGTTGAATGGCACAAATATCATACTTTGTTGCTTCGCTGTCGGTCAGTCTGGGAGCTGTGCGAATGTGACGCGTCGAGCTGAAGCTGTTCTTCAACATCAGCGAGACTTTGTGACAAGAGCCAGTCATCATCGTCGTCCTCAGCAAAGAACACTTGCTCTGCATGATCTACTGCTTGTGCCAGTATATCGTCGTCATCATCGCCCCACGGGTCATCCATAATCGTGTGACGTTTCTTAGAGTCTGTCTGAATGAACACCTGTGTCAAATGATGAAACGAACGCAGGACGTAAACAAATGGATTACCTCCCGTGAAGTAAACACAGAGTTACCTTTCCTTAGATCACTCGGCTCCACTCGGCCAATTCCGTTCCCTCCACGGGACTGATTGTAAACGAAGTGTCCTTTTGCTAAAAATCACTGCAGCTTACAACGCAAAAACTAGCTTTATTACGGAAGCGCTGAAGGGACATAAGTAGGAGAATTTCATTTTTGTTATATCATGCACACGAGATACTAAAATGTGCGCACGATATAATATAGTGTGCGCACACTATGTAACAAAGTGTGCGCACGATATAATATAGTGTGCGCACGTTACATTGGCGGATCCAGGGGGGGAGTGTGTGTTCGAACCCCCCCCAAACCCCCTTTCAAAATTCCTGGATCCGCCCATGCGATATAATATAGTGTGCCCACGATATGTTATATCGTGCGCACGAAATAAATATAGACAGGATTTTAAATTAAATCATATATAGTGCGCATGAGATACTAAATTGTGCACACGATGTAATATAGTGTGCGCACGAAATACTATGCCGTGCGCATGAAAAGATGTGACACCTGTTTCGTGTCTCGTGTGCACGATATATCATTTTTAAATTCCTGTCTCTTCATTATGTGCGCTCGATATAACATATCGTGCGCACACTATATTATATCGTTCGCAAACTACTATGTTACATCGTGCGCATACTATATTACATCGTGCGCTCCTTTTAGTATCTCGTGTGCACGATATAAAAAATAAAATTCTTCTACTCATGTCCCTTCATCGCTTCTGTACTTTATACATGTATATGAAGGCAATATATTTCTATAAGAATTAACTTCACTATTTTTCGTGTTATTTCTTTAAAACATATATGTTTTACGCATTGTGGATTGGAAAAGGCAAAACGTGAGCACTCATTACAACTCAGTGTATGACAAAAGTGGTTTGATGTCAGTTCCTTTCAAACAGTGAGTGAGTGAGATTTACGACCTTTTTAGCAATATTCCAGCTATATCACGACGGGTGACACCAAAGTGAGTGAGTTAAGTTTTACGCAACACTAAGCAATATTCCAGCTATATGGCGGCTGTCTGTAAATAATCGAATCTGGACCAGACAATCAAGTGATCAAAATCATTAACATCGATCTACGCAATTGGGATACGATGACATGTGTCAACTAAGTCAGCGAGCCTGACCACCCGATCCCGTTAGATGCCTCTTACTACAAGCATGGGTTACTGAAGACCAATTCTAACCTGGATCTTCACAGGTCAGACACCAGAAATAGGTTAACAAAAATAACTTCACGGACGTCTTACTAAACCGTAACATAAAACTGTCATGCTCGTTTTGCATTGATGTCTGCAGTTGGGTGAGTTGGGGTTGGGTGTGTGTCATTTTTTCAGATTAAGAGGTACCAGGTTTTCTCTCCAAATGTACTTTCCAACCAAATTCTTTTCACTCACCTTAATGGTCAAATTACGCTTACTACTTTGTTTGTTTTTTGTTGATGGTGGTCTAATAGTTAAATAGTGCACACCCTTACACCCTTAAAAGAATTACGTTAGACACTGAAACATCATAAAAGAATAGGATGTTATGAATGAATGAATGTTGGAAATGTATAATGAATGAATGTTGGAAAAGTAATAGTGCTAAGGGACAGTTCATAATTTTAAAGGGGTGATGACAGTGTACGAAATAGCCACTGGCTCGCTAGCCCGTGGCTAATTAAAAAAATCCAGTAGGGCCAGTAAATCTCCACAGTCACTGGCCCGACTGGATAGTGAATTTTCATGGGGTCATTTGTAAAGATATCGCTCTCTCCGACTTGTTAAGTTATAGTACACTTTTAAATCATGCAAGATTATGGCCTGATAAAAATGTCCATCATAATAGCAGCTTAATGATGAAACCCGTGTCATGCAGACACTATTTTATTTCAGGCATAGCTATCTCGATTGGCTAGCAAAATTTGGAAATTGGTTCACTTACTTTATGCATAAATTTTAGACTTGATCATTCACATTATCAACTACAACAGTATACTGTGATCATGATAAAAGAAAATATACTAAATGGGTACGAATCATCTAAATTGGGGTACGCGTTGACCATAAAAAAGTACGAACACTCCCAAACAGGTACGAATATCAAGATAATTTTAGGTGCGAGTAGGTCATTATCATGGAGGATCATTTTTACACCAACCAAAATGTGTGTTTGCTGCTTGTCAACGTCAAAATCAGCAATAATCCAGCTACTCCCTGGCAGCCAGTAAATATTTAAGTTTGGACCAGACAAACCAGAGGTTGATATCCCACATCGTCAAGGCGCGATTATACTATCGAGCACGAGACATGCTTTTGAGTCAAATCCCATTTTACGTGTGTGTATAATACAGTGGGGCAGCATAGCGGTCAGAGTGATCACTCGTCACATCAAAGACGTTCGATCCCCACATGGGTCAGGTGTGTGATCTTAGCGTTAAGGTTATTGTAGCTGCGATACGTTAACATAGGATTAGGGCAGTATTAGCACTAAGGTTGTTCTGTACAACGGCACACTGACAGACAAATAGTTGGAAACACGAGGACAAGTTCAGGTCATCAGTACATGATGAGGACAGCTATCTCCCAGGTCCCTCAATCTGACCATCTGATCCATGTCAGTGGAGTTACTTGAGACCAGTTCAACCCCTTAACTCTGAAGGGGACAGTTATTCTGACAAGAGGTGAGATGAAATCAGGTGTAATGTCGGACTGAAGATTTATGCACTTATATAGCGACGTTTCTGTATGTGTCCCCATGTGTGTGTCATAAAAGTCAAAGCATATTGATATATCATGCTGCTCTTCAACATGTGTACCCACCAAACACACAGCATACTGAGGGGCAGTGGGGTAGGCTTGTGGTCAAAATGTGCACTCATCACGTACTGACCGTTCGATTCTCAACATAGGTACAACATGAAGCCTATTTTTGGTGTCCCCTGTCGTGATATTGCTAAAAACTGCACAATCACCATCTTCATGTCATCTCTTATGCATGGCATGGGTAGATAGATACCCTAACCGTCCCCAGATTCTCTGTCCATAATGTCACCGAACAAGTCTTTTCTGACCAGAATTAAAATTTCATACAAACAAAATCTCCAGTGTTTGATATCGATTTATTAAATGAAACTGGGTAACATTGTGTGAAACACAAAGACACACCCATCTGTACCTTGCAATATATGTAGGTCATGTTTGAGGCATAGATACAACAATTACATATGCAGAAATTGCAACTAATCAGATTCTAACCTGACAGAAAGCAACAAAAATGATTAGTTAAAAAACAAATCGTGTGCTGCATCCTCTGGCTAATACTTGATTCACAAAACGGTAATTTTCCTGCTAATTTCTTTTTCTCAGTCTTCGTTTTACGCTGCACTCAGCAATATTCCAGCTATATGGTGGTGGTCTGTAAATAATCGAGTCTGAACCAGACAATCCAGTGATCAACAGCATGAGCATCGATCTATGCAATTGGGATATGATGAACCTGTCAACCAAGTCAGGAGCCTGACCACCCGATCCCATTAGTCACAGCTTATGACAAGCATTGGTTACTGAAGATCAATTCCAACCCGGATCTTCACGGGTGCAAAAACTTGGAGTGAAATGGAGTTAAAGATCCCATTGAAGATTATTGCACTAACATAGCAATGCGCAAGCTTATGTGTTGAGTGTGTGACTACTTGTACTAGCCAGACTAAAGCTAAAGTGCTAACCTACTGAGATATCCCAGTCAGACATGGTACACTGATCTGGAGCCGACCAGTCCTTGTTATATCCCAAGGCAGGATAACAAGAAGCAGTCTGTAACTTTAGCCACTCCTCCGGAAGTCAGGTAAAATTCTGTTTGGTCAACTTATATCAGATAAGGATTTTCTATATTACAGCACTAAAATCAACTGAAAATGATGGTATTGGATGTCAAGGTTAGTACCATCTTTTAATGTCTTTTGGTATGACATGGACGGGGATTGAACCACTGACCTTCCACTGTCGGTGCAGGTGCTCTTTTCACTGGACAGTGGAGACAGGTCAATGAAACCTAGGATTTCATATATTAAAAATAACATATTGAAAATCCTCTAAAACACAATAGACATTTACAGAGAACCTTCTCTTCAGTTGATTCTTTTCTGAATCCTATTTACCAGGCAACAGATGATGTATCTGAATTCTTAAGTGACGCCTTACAGAAACAGAAAGTACGGATAACATTTACAATGACACAAAACCTTTAATAAGCCTTGTGGTTCTCAGATTCTTAATATTTGATGACTGTCTTTCATACAACTTGAAACCCTGACACATTCCAGGGTTGACATTCTTCCTAACACCTACAAATCTGGAAACAATTTTTTTTTATTCTCTAACAAACTAAAAGAGATAGTTGTTCACTAACCAATTGCATTCATTACAACCCATTTTAAAGTCGACAAAACCATCATTATCATGAACTATTCATTTTGAATAAGATACTTGAAGCAAAGAATCAGTTAATATCATAATAAATTCTATGAAAATATTGTTTAAGATAATTAATGAATGGTACAATCTATACCTAATGTCATCTGTTAGATGAACACATAAAAAAAGCTGATGTAATGGCATCAAATGGTAGTAAAACGTCTATCATTGCAGTGTCCATGAACAATATTCACACATTTGCAAGCTTATTCTAAAATGCTCTCAAACGCACAAACTCTAATGTGTAAATATATTAATATTCATGACATAATGGCCATACATTGACAACATTCAGACCACATTCTCGCCAAATAATAGATTAGAACCGAGATCCTGACAAAGTGACACAACTCTGCAAACTGAATTGCTTCACAATCAGTAAACACAAGATAAGATCTGGCACCACAACCTTGACAAATCTAAATGTCTTCTACAATGATACTACTGTATTTAAGAATAGTAATGTCTTTTTTACACACAAAAATGATTCAAGCTTCAGAACCTTATCATACTTGCATAAGCTACAATAAACCTGCATACAAAATTATATGCATTTGAAAGACACTCTCATCCTTGTTTCACATGAAGGACACATCTCTTCTCAACACTCTTATCAACCTGAACATCCTGGTGTCTTTTATCTATGATAAATGTCTGGGATAACAAAGGTAAAACAGATAGAATCAAGTTCCTGGTGTATTATTTTGCAGCTGATCACAAGGACTGGGTTATAAATATGATGCAAGGAAGTAAAGTAAACAATACAACAGGGTAGTTACTGCCACTGAATAGTTACAACCTATGTCATACTATCTCATTCATTTCAGTTTCATCTACAATTTCAGACTACAATTTTTATCAAATGTTTTATTTGGAACTGTATAGTTACCAGTGCCTGAATATTTTCCAGGTGTAAACATCTCAGAAACATGCAAACTTCACAGTCTTACATTTCCTAAACTTGCGACTAAGCCATTCATTATGTACTGATCTGTTCAATGTATCGGTTCTGTAATTTGTATTTAATTCATCCTATAATCATGGCATACAGCTTCCATTCATAAAGGGAACAGATGGCTGAATCTAAACATTTGCCACCATAACAACAAAGTAGCAGTCATACTTTTGGACACTTATCTGGAAATGTTAAAAGGTGATGTAATTAATGACTGGTTACCTTAACTTTCAGACAAGTGATCAAACAGATGATGATGATGATTTGGAAATTTTACACTTTCTGACATGATGCATATTTTGCACACAGAAACTTCATAAGGGACTATAATAACGGGTATACCTGTCATCATTACACAGATCCAGAAACCCTCTCTTTGTACGCATATTAAACAGTTACACAGACTAATTGGAAAATAACATCAATTTGTAACACCCGTATTAACTCATTTGTTGCAAGATACTACTCAACTTTGGATTGGTATATGTTTATGTTTTAATGATAGACAAAGCTCATTTTCATAACATATCAAGTGTATATTTTAAATGAATGACAAATCAAAGCTGAGTAGCATACCACACAATTACACAATTTCAGAATGTGATGACAAATAAAAAAATTGAACCCTCCAAAACATATCTATGTGATCACATAGAACAATATGTAACAATGCCTAAACCATCTACTCTTTGTAGATGTCTTGTATGTGCATATCCTTATCAGGCTTTAAATGCAAATATACGCAAATATTAGCTCAACATAGCAACACTCTCAGTAAGTACATTGTCAAAGTCAATACATTATTTGTCCAAGGGCAAACACAAAACAAACCGTAATCTGATCACCACCTAATGGATGCACAATGCTGTAAATGCCACTAGTTCCACAGTGTTAGCATTCAAGTCACCTCAACTGAATGCCTGTATTGAAGTGAGTACAGTCAGCTTAGCTAGATAAGTAGCGCTTCATCCCAAAGGACATGTCATCTCAGCTGCATCAACCCAAGAGCAAAGAGAGTATTTTCATCATCTTGACCATAAATATGCCCATCTTTCTGAAACCACTTCATCATAACACAGTCCAATGTCCTTGAAATGAATTGTCCCAGCTGAATGTCTTCATGACTTCAGTGAAGGATGTTGCGGTGGAGGCAGTAGTCCGTCTTGGAGAAGTCAAGTTCATGGGTTTGGGGTACTGGTACCAAGGGGTACTCAAGTGGATCAATCTGGATGTTAGCCCTCTGGACATCCACTGGCCCAGTGACCTCTTCTTCCTGTGAACAAAGCACATATCTGTGAACTCAACTGGGCAACAAATAATCCTAAATCTACTAATAATGAAAAATGTCTGTGACTATACACAATTTCTTATTTATCATATATTCCAAGCACTTGACTCACATCTTGTACTGTCAGCTTCAAAAGACTTATACTGGACTCTATCAAGTTTGAATAATATGATCTTATATGTTACATATAGACCGATTGATTACTTTTTAAGCTTTAATTCAAAATTTGAAAATGTATACACATCACTGTAATTTGCAATCTGTATGCATGTCATTCTTTGAGTATCAACAAAGCACACAACTTTGTGGATAACAACTTCTTGTTTATTGCAAAGATTAATTTAAATTTGGTTTGTTCAGGTAGACTCATTTCAAGCTGCAGATTACTAGAAAAACATCCAACTTGAAATCTGTATGCATGTCATTCTTTGAGTATCAACAAAGCACACAACTTTGTGGATAACCCAAAGATTAATTTAAATTTGGTTTGTTCAGGTAGAGATATCAATTCTCTCATGACATTCTGTACTAATTACATGATGGTACAAATGAAACAGAATTTCAAACTGAATTACACATTTTAATATCAGATTTACTTCTTACTTTCTTTATATGACAGAGGAAACGTACAAGGCAAACTAATGTGTTTATGTTGTTGCAAAACACAAACAAACAAAATTAGCCTAGTAAAATTATCAGAACTGCGGTTAACAGGTGTACAGGAAAGAAGGCATTCTTGACTTATATCTGCAGCCAGCATAGTTCCTCTGCCACCATGTGACAATTCACCACATTTTACTCAGTCCTTTCAAAACACTGTACATGTTTTTCATTTTTCATGAGCCTACATATCCTTTGTTTACATTGGTTGTTTTTATTTACATTGGGTGCCATCAAAACCCTATGGATAGCTAGCGGTACAGTCACTTTGTGTAGAAACATATGTTGTCATACACCTCACCTCATCACCTCACCTCACTGCAGCTGTAGTAATGCACCTGAAGCACCCACTGAAAAGCTTCAGGACAATCTCTTCTGTTAACTAACAAGCAGTTGGTTTGCAAACAACAAAAAGTCTGTCAAGCTGTGGCAGTAATGTTATGCTAAAGTCACTGTGAGGAGCTTGCCAGCGTTTAGTGTTAGACTTACCACAGGTGTAACATCTTCCGTATCCCCCATAGTAGGCCCCTCGCAATCCATCGTCAGATTCACTGGAATCCATCTCATCCTCAGCAGATGAAGAGCTGTCACTGTAGCTGTCACTGTCTATAACTATAAGTCTAGCTTTCTTCCGACCCCTGGATGGCCCAGCTGAGTCTGTCTCGTGGTCGGCATCCCACTTGGCTTGTTCAGCTGAAATACCAACATGAATATCAGGGTCAGCCAACATGAAGATCAGGGTCAGACAACATGAATATCAGGGTCAGCCAACATAAAGATCAGGGTCAGCCAACATGAAGATCAGGGTCAGCCAACATAAAGATCAGGGTCAGACAACATGAAGATCAGGGTCAGACAACATGAAGATCAGGGTCAGACAACATGAATATCAGGGTCAGACAACATGAAGATAAGGGTCAGCCAACATGAATATCAGAGTCAGCCAACATGAATATCAGGGTTAGCCAACATGAATATCAGGGTCAGGCAACATGAATATCAGGGTCAGACAACATGAAGATCAGGGTCAGCCAACATGAATATCAGGAATATCCAACATGAATATCAGGCTTAGTCCACAGGGCCAGCTAACATGAATATATCAGAAATAGCCAATACAAATATCAGGGTTAGTCCACAGGGCCAGCTAACATGAATATATCAGAAATAGCCAATAAAAATATCAGGGTTAGTCCACAAGGCCAGCCAACATGAATATCAAGGTTAACCAACATGAATATCAGGGTCAGACAACATGAATATATCAGGGTCAGCCAACATGAATATCAGGTTTAGTCCACAGGGCCAGACAACATGAATATATCAGGGTCAGCCAACATGAATATCAGGTTTAGTCCACAGGGCCAGCTAACATGAATATATCAGGGTCAGCCAACATGAATATCAGGTTTAGTCCACAGGGCCAGATAACATGAATATATCAGGGTCAGTCAACATGAATATGAGGGTTAGTCCACAGGGCCAGCTAACATGAATATATCAGGGTCAGCCAACATGAATATCAGGTTTAGTCCACAGGGCCAGCTAACATGAATATATCAGGGTCAGTCAACATGAATATGAGGGTTAGTCCACAGGGCCAGCTAACATGAATATATCAGGGTCAGCCAATACGAATATGAGGGTTAGTCCACAGGGCCAGCCAACATGAATATATCAGGGTCAGCCAATATGAATATGAGGGTCAGACAACATGAATATCAGGGTCAGCCAACATGAATATCAGAAATAGCCAATAAAAATATCAGGGTTAGTCCACAGGGCCAGCCAACATGAATATCACGGTTAGCCAACATGAATATCAACTAATAATCAAGGTTAGCCAACATCAATATCCTGGTCAACCAACATGAATATCAGGGTGAGCCTTTATGAACATCAGGGTCAACCAACATGAATATCAGGGTCAGCCAACATGAATATCAGGGTCAGCCAACATGAATATCCCAGTCAACCAACATGAATATCAGGGTCAACCAACATGAATATCAGGGTTAGTCCACAGGGCCAGCTAACATGAATATATCAGGAATAGCCAATATGAATATGAGGGTTAGTCCACAGGGCCAGCCAACATGAATATATCAAGAATAGCCAACATGAATATCAGGGTTAGTCCACAGGGCCAGCCAACATGAATATATCAGGATAACCAACATGAATATCAGGGTTAGTCCACAGGGCCAGCCAACATGAATATATCAGGGTCAGCCAACATGAATATGAGGGTTAGTCCACAGGGCCAGCTAACATGAATATATCAGGAATAGCCAATATGAATATGAGGGTTAGTTCACAGGGCCAGCCAACATGAACATATCAGGAATAGCCAATATGAATATGAGGGTTAGTCCACAGGGCCAGCCAACATGAATATATCAGGAATAGCCAATATGAATATGAGGGTTAGTCCACAGGGCCAGCTAACATGAATATATCAGGAATAGCCAATACGAATATGAGGGTTAGTGAACAGGGCAAGCCAACATGAATATATCAGGAATAGCCAACATGAATATCAGGGTTAGTCCACAGGGCCAGCCAACATGAATATATCAGGGTCAGCCAACATGAATATCAGGTTTAGTCCACAGGGCCAGCTAACATGGATATATCAGGGTCAGCCAACATGAATATGAGGGTTAGTCCACAGGGCCAGCTAACATGAATATATCAGGGTCAGCCAATATGAATATGAGGGTTAGTCCACAGGGCCAGCTAACATGAATATATCAGGGTCAGCCAATACGAATATGAGGGTTAGTCCACAGGGCCAGCCAACAAGAATACATCAGGGTCAGCCAATACGAATATGAGGGTTAGTCCACAGGGCCAGCTAACATGAATATATCAGAATAGCCAATACGAATATGAGGGTTAGTCCACAGGGCCAGCCAACATGAATATCAGGGTTAGTCCACAGGGCCAGCCAACATGAATATACCAGGGTCAGCCAACATGAATATCAGGGTTAGTCCACAGGGCCAGCTAACATGAATAGATCAGGGTCAGCCAACATGAATATGAGAGTTAGTCCACAGGGCCAGCTAACATGAATATATCAGGGTCAGCCAATACGAATATGAGGGTTAGTCCACAGGGCCAGCCAACATGAATATATCAGGAATAGCCAATATGAATATGAGGGTTAGTCCACAGGGCCAGCCAACATGAATATATCAGGAATAGCCAACATGAATATGAGGGTTAGTTCACAGGGCCAGCCAACATGAACATATCAGGAATAGCCAACATGAATATGAGGGTTAGTCCACAGGGCCAGCTTACATGAATATATCAGGAATAGCCAATATGAATATGAGGGTTAGTCCACAGGGCCAGCTAACATGAATATATCAGGAATAGCCAATACAAATATGAGGGTTAGTCCACAGGGCCAGCTAACATGAATATATCAGGAATAGCCAACATGAATATCAGGGTTAGTTCACAGGGCCAGCCAACATGAATATATCAGGGTCAGCCAACATGAATATCAGGTTTAGTCCACAGGGCCAGCCAACATGAATATATCAGGGTCAGCCAATACGAATATGAGGGTTAGTCCACAGGGCCGGCCAACAAGAATATATCAGGAATAGCCAATATGAATATGAGGGTTAGTCCACAGGGCCAGCCAACATGAATATATCAGAATAGCCAATACGAATATGAGGGTTAGTCCACAGGGCCAGCCAACATGAATATCAGGGTTAGCCAATACGAATATGAGGGTTAGTCCACAGGGCCAGCCAACATGAATATCAGGGTCAGCCAATACGAATATGAGGGTTAGTCCACAGGGCCAGCTAACATGAATATATCAGGAATAGCCAATACTGAATATGAGGGTTAGTCCACAGGGCCAGCCAACATGAATATATCAGGGTCAGCCAATATCTGAATATGAGGGTTAGTCCACAGGGCCAGCCAACATGAATATATCAGAATAGCCAATACTGAATATGAGGGTTAGTCCACAGGGCCAGCCAACATGAATATCAGGGTTAGCCAATACGAATATGAGGGTTAGTCCACAGGGCCAGCCAACAAGAATATATCAGGAATAGCCAATACGAATATGAGGGTTAGTCCACAGGGCCAGCCAACATGAATATATCAGGAATAGCCAATACAAATATGAGGGTTAGTCCACAGGGCCAGCTAACATGAATATATCAGGAATAGCCAACATGAATATCAGGGTTAGTTCACAGGGCCAGCCAACATGAATATATCAGGGTCAGCCAACATGAATATCAGGTTTAGTCCACAGGGCCAGCCAACATGAATATATCAGGGTCAGCCAATACGAATATGAGGGTTAGTCCACAGGGCCAGCCAACATGAATATCAGGGTTAGCCAATACGAATATGAGGGTTAGTCCACAGGGCCAGCCAACATGAATATCAGGGTTAGTATCTGAATATGAGGGTTAGTCCACAGGGCCAGCCAACATGAATATCAGGGTCAGCCAATCTGAATATGAGGGTTAGTCCACAGGGCCAGCTAACATGAATATATCAGGAATAGCCAATATCTGAATATGAGGGTTAGTCCACAGGGCCAGCCAACATGAATATATCAGGAATAGCCAATATGAATATGAGGGTTAGTCCACAGGGCCAGCCAACATGAATATATCAGGAATAGCCAACATGAATATGAGGGTTAGTCCACAGGGCCAGCCAACATGAACATATCAGGAATAGCCAACATGAATATGAGGGTTAGTCCACAGGGCCAGCTTACATGAATATATCAGGAATAGCCAATATGAATATGAGGGTTAGTCCACAGGGCCAGCTAACATGAATATATCAGGAATAGCCAATACAAATATGAGGGTCAGTCCACAGGGCCAGCTAACATGAATATATCAGGAATAGCCAACATGAATATCAGTGTTAGTTCACAGGGCCAGCCAACATGAATATATCAGGGTCAGCCAACATGAATATCAGGTTTAGTCCACAGGGCCAGCCAACATGAATATATCAGGGTCAGCCAATACACGAATATGAGGGTTAGTCCACAGGGCCGGCCAACAAGAATATATCAGGAATAGCCAATATGAATATGAGGGTTAGTCCACAGGGCCAGCCAACATGAATATATCAGAATAGCCAATACGAATATGAGGGTTAGTCCACAGGGCCAGCCAACATGAATATCAGGGTTAGCCAATACGAATATGAGGGTTAGTCCACAGGGCCAGCCAACATGAATATCAGGGTCAGCCAATACGAATATGAGGGTTAGTCCACAGGGCCAGCTAACATGAATATATCAGGAATAGCCAATACGAATATGAGGGTTAGTCCACAGGGCCAGCCAACATGAATATATCAGGGTCAGCCAATACGAATATGAGGGTTAGTCCACAGGGCCAGCCAACATGAATATATCAGGAATAGCCAATACGAATATGAGGGTTAGTCCACAGGGCCAGCCAACATGAATATCAGGGTTAGCCAATACGAATATGAGGGTTAGTCCACAGGGCCAGCCAACATGAATATATCAGGGTTAGCCAATACGAATATGAGGGTTAGTCCACAGGGCCAGCCAACATGAATATCAGGGTTAGCCAATCATTAAAACTAATCAAAACTCCAGAGTGCTTGTCACCTGAAAGCTTAAAACATCAATGGCTTGTGTTGATCTGGGGTCAATTTCTCTAAACCATGTGAACAATTCATATTTAAATTAAAAAAATAATAAAACCAGTTCTTATGAAACAAATTTTCATTGACACATGGCATTCTTAACTTTGTTTCATTTGCTTTTGCAAAATTTTGAGTAGGTCTGCCCATGAAGAGGCATGTTCGATGACCAGAGATTGCATACTGAAAAAATCCAATAAATGAATCTAAGATTATCGCAAGAGATTTGAATCTGTGTTACATGTTTCAAGTCTACATTTCTGGATTAGAAACGTTTTTGAACAAATATTCCAAAAACAGGTGAAACCCTGAGATTGAACATCTTGTCTGAACCCCAGAAATAATCGTGATGAAACAGAATGAGCCCCTGAGGATTGGTCTGTTTGATAAAAGCAAATGGATCCTATGTCATTGAGAACAGAAAGCTGGCAAAAAGACTTCTTTATTTTGTCCATGCAATGTTTCATTACAGATGCTACTACCATTAATCAAGAAAAGAATGACATTTAATGAAAAAAAGACGAACAGTTTAAGACAGTTTCTAAAAAGTCAATTAAAGATGTTATCTACAGTCATTGCTCACCGACCTTTCCGTGTCTTCACTAGCTCCTTCCTCCTCTCCTTCAGCTCGTCAGTGAGGTGTTCCACCATCTTGTCGATGTAGCTGTCCAGGACAATGGATCGATGTTGTCCAATGACAGGGGCTCGACACACAGGACAGTCCTTCTTCCTCTCAATCCACTGGTTGATGCACAGCGCACAGAATCCATGGGAACAGTTCAGAGATGTTGCCTTGTGAAGTAGGCAGAGATATTATTCAGATGTACACAGAAACGGACACTATGAGTCAGTAAGTTGAGTTTACACTGCTTTTAGCAACATCACAGCGGTGGACACCAGAAATAGGCTTCACACATTGTACCCACGTCGGGAATCGAACCCAGGTCTTCAGATTGATGAGTGGACGCTTTAACCACTCTGCTACTCCACCGCCCAGCTGTAACTATGAATCACTGGAAGTGGTATAACATATTGCTGCTAACACCAAATACAACCTAGTGGTCCCAATCATTACTTATTCTCAGACTGGTTCACTGTAATATGTCTGCATAAATACAGCTAATACAGGCAGATGCTACAATATTCAAATTATAATAATGATGATCCCCTAAAAACAATTTCGAAGATATTCTTAACATTAAAACAGTCTTCATCATAATAGTCTTGTGTAAGACATGACTGACTTATACTGTGGATTACCTGGACAAAGAGCTCGTTACAGATGCTGCACTGCAGCTCAGACTCCATGACATCGGTGAGATTGGAAAGGATATCCTCCCTGGTTTGGTACGTCGACTCCTTCTGCTTTTCATTCTCTGCCACTGTATCCTTCAGCTGACTCTCCAGCATCTTCTGCTTCAACTCCTTTTCCTCGATGACTTTCTCCAACTGATCCTAGGGACATGGCATCAATGCACATCAGACAGGAGCCATGACTGCATTCATTCACCACTACACATTTTAGAACCCATGACTAAATTCGACCCATGAAGATTCGGGTTAGAATTGATCTTCAGTAAGCGATGCTTGTCATGAGAGGCAACTAACAGGATCGGGTGGTTAGGCTTGCTCACTAGTGGTGGTCCGATTAATTGAAATAATTGAAGATTGGTCGCAGTGACTAAACGACCAAGCAATCGATCATAATTTCTCATAATCGAACACAAACAATTCTGGAACACTTGTTTTCATTAACAATATTTTTCACATGGTTGGTTTTGCCTGTTATATTTTGTAAGCACTACAAGCCCGTTTCAAGTCATGATTGAATTTATCTTAAAGATTCCAGAAAATTTATGTTCCTAACATACTAGTCATCCTTTAAAGATAAGAATTTTGCCAAAACACCCCAAAAGAACTATATGGTTTTTTCCTTATTTTTAGCGCATTTACAAATTTCATGAATGTCGCTAACCAATTATTTTCGATGGTTGATCGGTAGTCATGAACCAATCATCAATTATGAGATTTTAACCAATTCCCAACACTATTCCTCACTTGGTTGACTCATGTCATTGAATCCCAATTATGTAGATCAATGCTCATGCTGTTGATCACTGGTACAGACTCATTCATTTACAGACCACCGCCACAAAGCTGGAATATTACTGAGTGTGGCGTAAAACTAACTCACTCACTAACCATGACTGAATTCATTCACCACTACACATCAGACAGGAGCTAATGACATGACACTATAGCTAATCTCATGGACAACAACATGAGTTGCTTGAACTGTCTAACATTAAAGTAAGGTGTTTGCCAAGAAACACTGTGTCTGTGCATTGCTGAGCACTTATTGGCCTGAATCTTTGCTTGCTTCCCTCTCTTCAACCAGACCATTGTTCAGTTGATTGGCATGGCAGGTGATGAAAGTGATGGCAGACATTTCGTTTCTTATTATCTCCTTTTAACATTCCATGACAGCATTATTCCATACCATACAATATACAAATCTAACATGGGCTGGGGGATCTGTGTCTCCAATACTTTTTATCAAATCAAAGATGGAAATAGAATAACATTCCTGAAAAATGTACTGATTTCAATGTAAAAAATGTAATTTTCTGATTAAAATTGATAATTTATACTTATCCTGACTCAGTCTTGTGAATGATAGTGGAACACTTGAAATCCCTTGAAGTTACTTCTAAAAAGCGGATGTAAAATCATCACTCACCCACGAGTAGTCTCCCTTGCCTCCTTTGGCGTCCTTTTCGGTCACATGGCTAGCCATGCTTGTCACTCTCTCCGATTATACGCCCGACACCCGGATTTACAGGGAAATCCAGAGTGCCCTGAGAGGGGAGGTTGGGAGGGCTGACCTCATGAGTCAGGATAAGTATAAAATATCAATTTTAATCAGAAAATTACATATTTTTCCTTATCCTGACTCATGCTAAATGCTTGCAGAATCCGTCGGAATCAGTGGTTGGTCAGGCCACTTCCTGGATTCACTGGCTGTTGTTTTACGTCCTGTATTACCCCCCATGGGAACTTATGACATAACTGCTGATGATGATCCTGTTCTTCCAACTTCCATCTGATGAGTCGGGGGGGGGAACCACAACTTGTCAGATTTCTTCCAAAACTTCTCCTGACATTTTCGTGTGGATTTTAAATATACTTCATGGTGATAACTGTGCTGAGAGTAGCCAGGTACGCGTTGAGAGTGTTGAACCTTTTAAGTGTCTCGTCTGTCACAAATGACACAAGTATTCCGCCACTTGAGGATGGGTTGCTTTTACCACTGTAAAGCCTTTCAGCGTTGCGTACTGTACAAATCTCTGCCACTCGTCATACACGTTGCAAGTTGATCTGCGTAGAGCTAGTGTTACTACTTTCGCTGCTCTGGCGGAGTACCCTCTTTTCTTTAGGCAAGCTTTGATACGGTCCATGCGTGTAGCTGGAACAATGCTGGATTCCCGTGAGCTTGCTTGGTGTGTGGATGGACGAGCCGGTTCGAATACTCAGGTAGTTTCAGGGTTGGACTTCCGAGTTCCTGTATGAGGACGGGAATCCATACCCTCGCTGGCCAGTAGGGCGCGTCCAAAATCAGTTGCAACGTTGTCGTCTGCTTGATTTTCTGTATTATTTGTGGTAATAGTGCTGGAGGTGGAAACGCGTAAGCATTTAGTCCTTCCAATGAGATGCTTACAGCATGCCTGAGGATCTGGAATCGGTGAGACGAATGTTGGTAGTTGTTTGTTGAACTTTGTTGCAAACAGGTCTATCAGCGGAGATCCTATTGTCTCTTTCGATGAACCGGAATACTTCTGGATGCAACATCCATTCCATCGGGGGTTGTAGTGGACGAGATAGGGCGTCTGCTATGACATTCTTTGCTCCTGGAATGTGACATGCCTTTATGTAGATGTTCAGGTCGTCGACGATGCTGAACAGGAGAAAGCTGAGCTTTAGCAGACTTGTTGATCTTGTTGATCCTTGTTTGTTGATGTAGGACGCTACTGTGGAGTTGTCCGTGTGGACCGTGAGCCTTGCGTTCCTTAGTACGCTGGACCAGTGTTGTAAAGCGTTGATCACTGCTTTCATCTCCAACAGGTTGATGTTCAGAAGTTGATCCTGACTCGACCACTTTCCTGCTGCCACTTCGTTGTTGAGGTGAGCACCCCATCCTTGTAGTGATGCATCCACGTAGAGATGAGTGTTGCAAACCGGCTCTGACAAAAAGGTTCCTCCGCAAACATTCGACTTCTGAGTCCACCATAGGAGGAATGGTTTCAGACTGTCAGGTAGTATCAGTGGATCCAAACTGTTGAGTTGGGCATTCACAAATATTTGCAGTGGGCGCAACTGTAATCTCCCTCTGCGAGTCATGTCTTGAGCTGAGGTGAGTAGACCGAGGATGCTTTGCCAAGCACAGAGTGTCAACGGAGAGAGCATTGCTTGAGATATCATATGTTGTATCTTGACCCAACGATCCTCTGGGATGACTATGCGATTCAACGGCGTGATGAGTCGTATTCCTAGAAATTGAAGATCCTGTTTCGGCTCCAGTTCCGACTTGAGGAGATTTACCAGCCATCCTAACTGCGTGAGTAGCCTGATGGTGAAGTCTAGTTGCACTTTGAGTTGACTGGCTTCTTGATGAACTTGAATTCCGTCGTCCAGGTAAAAGGCACTGCGTAGACCTCGACGATGTAGATATGTAACGATGGGCTTGGTCACTCGAGTAAACAACCAGGGGTCCGACGATATTCCAAACGGTAGAACCCTCCACTGGAAATGCCCGTTGAAAAGAAATCTTAGGTATTTCCTTGAGTCTGGATGTATCGGGATGTGTAGATAAGCATCTTGTAGATCTATGCTGGCAAGGTAGTCTGATGGACGAACGAGATGTCGGAGCTGAAGAAGATGTATCATCTTGAATTTTGCTGGTCTGCGAAGATACTCCTGGTTGAACTTCCTCATGTTGTAGATGAGACGAAATTTTTCCTTGGAATTCTTCTTTGGTACTATGAAACTTCGGGAGTAAAAACCAGGTGTGATGTGGTCTTGATTTATCTCTTCGACTGCATCTTTGTCGAGTAGAGTCTTGATTGCGTCATCCCGTTTCTCTGTCTGGTCGGCTGCGTAGTTGAAAGCAAGTGGGTTGCTTGTAAGCGGCGGAGTGGCTTCCAACTGTATCTTGTACACTCTGCGTAGTATCTGGGATAAGTAATCGTCCTGTAGTATTCCCCAATTCTCCCAGTACCGTTGTAGACGTCCACTCACTGTCGAAGGTTGTATGGGAACGGCTGGGGGTGGAAGACTCCAGTCGTTCCAAACCTGGCCTTCAGCACTTGGTTCCCCTGGCACCTCTGGGTGCTCAGCCTCTTCCGGGGTTGCTCCTGGGGGCTCCGGTTGGACGATGAAAAGAACCTCTTCCGCCTCTCGGGTTGGAATATTTCCTTTCTCTGGCCTTCTGGACTCCTGCAAACTTGGATTTGTTTGAGTAGCGCTGGGACGTCTGTCGAATCACATTTGCCAAGGTATCTATGTACTTAATCATCATGACCTCCCTTGATTCGTGTGTAACATCTTTGGAGACTTCTTCGATTCCTCCTCCGAAGATGGATGATGCTGACCATGGGGCTCTGTATTAGGATTTGGTGAACCGCTCACTCCAGGTGCACGCCGACAATAATCCTTGTCTCCTCATGAGAGTCAACCCCGCTGATGTGGATGCTAGATGCTCCGACATAAACTGGTGGTCCTTTTTCTGAGTCAGCTGAGCAGAATATATCATCCGGTCGTCTTTGGCGGTTGAGTTCTTGAACTTCGAGATGAGCGCTTCGTTGATAGCCCTAGACCTTGCTAGTCCGAAAAAGGTACGTCTGGTATTCGTATCCAGTTGCGCTAACTTCTTGTCCTCTATCTTGTAAGTTCTATAGCGGGAGTCGTTGATGATCTTGTAGTCCTCATCAATCTCTGGTGCCTTCAGGAAGGGTTCCATGTGATGTAAAGGGAATCTCCTGGCATTGAACGTCAGGATATGTTGACTCTGGAACTTGGTAGCCTTATCAAAGGCTGAGCTTGGACTGTCCGGTACTTTGGAGATCGGGTCGATAGGCGGAAAGGTGAGTGTGTCGAAATCCTCGTTGGACATCTTGTAGGTAAACGCTTTGTTTGTGTCCTTGGAAGGTGATGCTAGGTCCAGACCATTTGCAATCCATGAGGTTACTTCCGCATCGGTGAATATGACTTCACCTTCTTCATCCGATTTAGACATCTCCCGATCCGACGATCCATGAAGACGTGAGTCTCTGTATGTAGATCTGTACGCAGAGCTGCGCGCAGGTGAATGATCCCGATGTGACCGTGTATCCCTCCTGGAGTCTTGAGATGTCTTTCTAGGCCTTCGTGAAGGTTGATTCTTTGACGTAATCTCCCCTCTGTGAGACGTGGAGTGCCTGCGTGCAGGTTCCCGATGTGAGTCTGAGTCCAACGGTGATTACGATCCATATCTACGACGTCTGTAGGGTTCTGGAGAACGCTTCGATCTGCTTCTGAGTGGAGAATTCTTAAAACCGTATACAGCTGTAATTTAGATGTAAAAGGTCCAAAAGAGAAAAGGATATGTGCCGTATAGGGACCCAGATGCTCTCACACCTGTCCTTAAGGGCGAAGAAGGAGAGAGTGACAAGCATGGCTGGTCATGTGACCGAAAAGGGCGCCAAAGGAGGCAAGGGAGACTACTCGTGGGTGAGTGATGATTTTACGTCCGCTTTTTAGAAGGGAACTTCAAGGGATTTCAAGTGTTCCACTATCATTCGCAAGAGGAAGGAGACAAGCATTTAGCATGAGTCAGGATAAGGAAAAATACTAACATTCAAATACAAAGAGACAAAAAAGACAACATTGAACAGACCGATAGCTACCATCCAGCTAATGCCAAGTGACAATCTTTGTACCTTCTGCTTGATGAGTTGCTCCTCGAGAAGTTTGTCCTTCTCCTCCAGAGCCTTATCCATCTCCTGCTGCAGTTGTTCCTGAACTCGCCCCTTCTCCTCAAGGAGACAGTTTCGCTGGTTTGTCAGGTACTCTGTCAACCGCGCCTCTCGCTCCTTCAACTGGGCCTCCAGCTCAGCCTTCATCTTCTCCTCAATTGCCTGCTTCTCTCTCTCCAAAGCTTCCTACACAAAACACCAATATGCTTCACAACATACAGTGATAAACGTGGTTTCAATGGGTGCCATTCATATGATGAGGTTGACCAATTTACAGAAAAACCCCAAAGTTGTTTACTTAACATGTTTTTTAGGCCCCTGTTAATTGATAAGTTCCTAAGTTCAATCTGATACAAAGTGTTCCCCTTCCTGTGTTCCCCTTCCTACTGTGTAGTTCCTTATGTCATTCTGACACAATGTGTACTGCTGTTTACTGAGAAGTCCCTACTTCACAAACCCAAAATGTTCCCCTTACCTGTTTGCTGAGTATTTCCTCCTTCATCTTCTCCTCCTTGTACTTAAGCTGGTCCAGGGCTGCAGCCTGATAGACACGCTCCTGCTTCTCCTGCTCCAGCTGTTCTCGCATGAGTTCCTGTTCTTGTTCCTTGGCCTTCAGCTTCCGCTGCATCTCCTCTAGCTGAGCCTTGAACATGCCCGCAGCAGCATCCTTCTCTTTCTGGTGGGCCTCCAGCTTCAGTTTGTACGCCTTATAGGGAGAATCTGACAACCAAAAGCATCTAAAAGTAGGATTCAACAACACAAATGATGACATGGGGTGAAACAGTATGCTCTTACCATGATACGGTACGTATTGCAATACAAGGCCTTCAGTTCGGTACAGGAGAACTTACTTTCGGGAAAATAGCGGCCATCTAGCAAAGAATTGCATAGATTTTGACAAAATAATTTGATTTCTAGACATTTTAGAAAAGGATTAAAAAAGTTAATAAAATGATTGTACGAAAACCGAAAATAACGAATTTTTGGATTGCATTATGGTATACCGAACCGAAAGCAAAAAAACATGTTTCTAGTAATACTTCAGTATACCGCTTCACACCTAATGATGACCCACTGATCCTGGAACTACACAAGTCATGAAACTACCAGGGTCCAAAGAATCCACTTTGAGGCGAATATGATACGAGCATCAGGTAACGAATATGAATATTGGGTAACAAATACAACAAGTGTTTGCCACTGATATGGCAATGTGGGGCGGTGGGGTAGCCTAGTGGTTAAAGCGTTGGCTCATCACGCTGAAGACCCGGGTTCGAATCCCCACATGGGTACAATGTGTGAAACCCATTTCTGGTGTCCCCCGCCGTGATGTTGCTGGAATATTGCTAAAAGCGGCGTAAAAACAAAACTCAGTCAGTCAGTGATATGGCAACGTCCCCCGCCGCTAAAGAATGGAATATCTATATTTACTACTTTTTATTTTTGGGTCACATACAAGATGCCTGAAATGACTGGTGTCTGCATAATCACCCAATGTAGGCTGTCAACATACTTGAAAACATTGGGTGCAATGTTTTATGAGATATCGCCTTTAAAAAGCGGTCAAAGTATCGTGGTGACCTTGAAGATAAGGTCAAGGTCACCCAAATAAACTGGTGTCTGTGTAATACCCCGATGTAAACTGTCACCAAATTTGAAGACATTGGGTACAACAGTCCATGAGATATCGCGTTAACAAGAGTTAAAAGTGTGAAAAGTGTCGTGGTGACCTTAAAGATAAGGTCAAGGTCACCCAAGATCAACTGGTGTCTGTGTAATCCCCAAATGTATGCTGTCACCAAATTTGAAGACATTGGGTACAACAGTCCATGAGATGCCATGTTAAGAAGAGTTTGAAAAGTGTTCAAAGTGTCGTGGTGACCTTGAAAATAAGGTCAAGGTCACCTAAATAAACTGGTGTCTGCATAATCCCCTAATGTAGGCTGTCACCAAATTTCATGACATTGGGTACAACAGTCCATGAAATATCGCATTAACAAGAGTTAAAGCATGCAATGTGTCATGGTGACCTTGAAGATAAGGCCAAGGTCACCAAAATATACTGGTGTCTGCATAATCCCCCAATGTAGGCTGTCACCAAATTTGAAGACACTGGGTACAACAGTGCAGTTTGAAAAGTGGTCAGTGTCGTGGTGACCATGAAAATAAAGTCAAGGTCACCCAAATCGACTGGTGTCTGCATAATCTCCTAATGTAGGCTGTCACCATATTTCAAGACATTGGGTACAAAGGTTCATGAGATATCACACTAACAAGAGTTTGAAAAGTGGTTAAAGTGTCATGGTGACCTTGAAAATAAGGTCAAGCGTCACCCAAATCGATATGAGAGACACTAGGGTTTAACAGTGCATGAGATATCATGTTAACAACAGTTTGAAAAGTGGTCAGTGTCGTGGTGACCATGAAAATAAAGTCAAGGTCACCCAAATCGACTGGTGTCTGCATAATCCCCTAATGTAGGCTGTCACCAAATTTCAAGACATTGGGTACAAAGGTTCATGAGATATCACACTAACAAGAGTTTGAAAAGTGGTCAAAGTGTCATGGTGACCTTGAAAATAAGGTCAACGTCACCCAAATCGACTGGTGTCTGCGTAATCCCCTAATGTAGGCTGTCACCAAATTTCAAGACATTGGGTACAACAGTTCATGGATATCACACTAACAAGAGTTTGAAAAGTGGTCATAGTGTCGTGGTGACCTTGAAAATAAGGTCACGGTCACCCAATGTAGGCTGTCACCAAATTTCAAGACATTGGGTACAATAGTTCATGAGATATCGCGTTAACAAGAATCGGGACTTACGTACGTACGCCGCTGAATACATAGTCCCCCGTTCCGCGTTGTGTCGAGGGACAATAACAAGCCAGCAGTTGATGAATTATTTAAGATATTCGGTGAAACAATAACAAAATATATTCTTTGACATGTTTTGACCATGCTGGCTGCTATCACAACAACGACCAGTGACCACATTGCTGCCAAATTAAACTACTATCCTGCCTGGCTAGGATACATTTGATTTTGCATAAACACAATATTTTGCCTTCGATCATTTAATCAATGAAGAAATCTAATTCATTAGTCACAAACCTGGCATACATCCTTGTGTGTTGGAGATTCTTTCACCTCTACTGTCTTGTGGACAGTTTTCATCTTTGGTGGTTGTTTCATGCACCTTAAGTCTCTTTTTGGCTGGGTTATTGTCGTCTGCAGAATCTTTTCTGGTTCTCTTGACTTTTAAGGAAGCATGAAACTGGAAGATGAACTCTGCTGGCTGTCCTGACTTCACTGGGATACCCAGCTGTACCCGGTCCCCATCCTTCAACACGTGGGGGATTTGAGCAGTCAACTTCTTATCATTTACATACACACCATTCAGGCTCTGAAAACCATTATCAATTGCAACATGGAGTTTTTGAAAGGCATTTAGAAGTTGGACAAATATGAATACATCACACGTTTTTATGGATAACAACTTCATTTTATTCTTTATATGTTTCAGAGCTAATACTTGCACCTTCATCAGGTTCATAAAGAGTAAAAAGAAGTTGTTATCCATAAAAACATTTCCTGTAGTCATGCAACATGAAGTGTTAAAATTAAGGATGAAAGTCAAGGGAGTTGACATAACCCTAATGTTGACAATTACAGAAATCTCAGTATTTCACATATCTGCCCTAATTTCATCATGATATGACAGGATAGGCATAGTTTTCAACCATAATGTACAATAACACCACAATAATAACATATCACAATGCACAAGAATAACACTCATATCACACAGTACAACACAAGCCTATAAATCTTTATACAGTGATAATACTTATATCACTTACAATAATACTGTTTATTTTGAGTTGTACTATAATACTGCTGTACCTTGTTGTCTGTGATGCTCCATGAACCATCAGCCAGTTTCTTTAACACTGCGTGACATCTGGATACCATTACCGACAGCAGACAGTGAGTGACTTCAGGAGAACGACCAATAGTAACCTAGGAACATAAACAATGATACCAGTTGTTGCAAACATATGATGAAGTAAATATAAGATACTTAGATTGATAGAGGATCTATAAAATGTTATTAAAGACAACCGACAAGTTAAATTACAGGAAAAAAAACATGTCAACTTAGAATTCATTCTTGTCTTAGACGATGTAGTGTGACTTTCCCAGGAGAACAGGGGGGTTTTAACTAAAGTCCAAAATCAACACCCTGCTGAATCAGAATATCTCAACATACTTAACTTTGTACAGGTTTTGTTTATCAATGCTGAAACAGCTTTTCAGTTACATACCTGTGTGTCAGTTTGGTATGAAAGGAATACATTATGTAACACAGGTCTATTCCCCACAACAAAAGTAGAGAAACATACTGGTAACTGGATTGATTACTGGTTTCTACATATCACTCATAGGCTACAGTCTAGGACTTTCCTAAAGTCTTAAGTGCCAACAAGACAAAATTCAGCAGCATAACAAGCCAGTGGTAATACGACTGCTTCAATTGAAATAAATAAACTGCAAGATATTTTTTAAAACAAGTATCATGTTACATTTTGTGGCTAGTTCTTTATACACAAAAATTTCTGGAGGGTGAAAGGTTTCATACTAATTACTGGATAACACTTTTACTGAAGTTGAAAGATGCTAAATGAATACAGAATTATGACAAAGAGAACTAATCCACAATATATTACAAAATTTAATCACTGCCATTGTAAGAAGGATCTGGAAGTGTGTAAAGTTTAAACTGTCTAAATTTCAAATCAGTAAATGGTGCTTAGCAAATAAATAAGGGAATGCTGTCTTAATCTACAGTGAGTATCAAATCAAAATCTCAGGGACATATTGTTTTTAATCTTGTCTGGGGAAGACACCCATTACTCAATGACTGACACATAATACTTGGGACCTGTAGGCCTGTCGTGTCAAATTATAACCGAGAAACTTTTTGCTATGGTAGTATTGCACTCTTGATCAATTATTTCAGTCTGCGAAATAGGTCCCTATAGTTAATGACAATCGTTCAAAACATCAGGAATGTAATGTGCAATAGTTTGTCCTGTGAAGAGATCTTACGATTTGATGACGATAAACATCCGAATATTGGTTAAGCGTTAGCAAATTTACCTGGTCTTTCTCTAACAGCAAGTATTTGTATTTCTTAATGTTATCTCCTTGTCTCACTAAACATGGGAGGTGTTGTGCCATTGTTAACTAGACTTTAATCATCAGAGAGGCTTGTAGTCAGCTTGCATAAAAGCAGTAACAAGCAACTTAGCGACCCCGCTCAAGTTATCCGAACATTCATTTCCTTCCATACTACGTCATCAAATCATGTGCTCTGTAATCCCTGGCTTTCAGAGACTGTGTGCGTGTTGTTCTTTTATCGACTAACGAGTCATCAGGGGAGATAATTCATAGCAAAATGGCCGATTCGCGTATAATATTACAATCTATTTATAGTCAACCAGCTTGTTAAAACACTGTTTTGTGGATGACATCAGTTTTCCAATATTATATGAATAAGCGTAATATCATCTGTTGAGTGATCTTGTTTATCAGATGTGGCGGGCGTGACAGGGGCGGATACAGCTTTTTGAGAAAGGGGGCATGCACAGTTCATTTTCACCCATTTTCACGAGAGTTTCAATGGTCATTTAATAAACTTTAAGGACAGACGGTAAAATTTGTGGCACATTAATAGGTTAAGACAGTATCAAAAGTCATTCCAATTTAGCGAACAAAGCACAGCCAATTTTAGTACATGGATCTTTGGTTTGTTTTTATGTTTCAGAAGGGTTTCTTTTCAAACTTAACAGCAACTGAATTACTCAGTTCTGATATCTTGATTTTGTCTGATATTTCGCTAGTCTCTCGATTCTTTACATTTCTGTCTCGAACGCCTCTAACTATGGGGAAACAACTTCCAATGACACTTTACGCTACCTTAAAAGTGTATGTGGTGTGACAGGAATGGTCTTCGGGTCTCGGAAATGAAACAATAAAGCGTCGTTCGAAGCGATAGTCGGTTAGTCTTCCCTGGCACAATGCTTTATCTAAATTAGCTATATGTTTCCGTCTTTTCCTTCCTTCATCTTTCTTGGCCTGTGTAAAATATAAACCGTAAGCAATATAAGACAAATGTCCTTCTTTTTGTGTCTACCAATCACAGCTATCTTTCAACATAGATTTCAATCAGCCATTCTTGTTCACTACCTGTTTGATCAAAACATTCAAGGACTCAGTAAAGCTATCAAAACGTTTTTATGATAGTCATGTCCAAATATTCCAGTGGCAAACTTGATGTCAGATGCTATTCTTAATTTTCTCTTGTACTATAGACTTGTGAAGATCCGGGTTAGAATTTGTCTCCAGCAACCCATGCTTGTCGTAAGAGGAGACTAACGGGATCGGCTGGTCAGGCTCGCTGACTTGGTTGACACTTATCATCGTATCACAGTTGCGTAGAACGATGTTCATGCTGTTGATCACTGGATTGTCTGGTTCAGCCTCGATTATTTACAGACCGAAGCCATAAAGCTGGAATATTGCTGAGTGCGGCGTTAAGCCGGCAATTAATCAATCTCTTGTATTATATTCTCCCGTGACTTTCAAGTGAACTATTTACATGCCTTTCCGACGGATGACACAACATCTTCGCGAACACCTGCAGCTGGTATCTTGAGGTCATGCTTTCTGCTTTGTGTAAATCGCCCATTGATAAGTGTGCCTAAATGTGATACCTTTGTGTGACTAGATACGCGAATCAACCAGTTTATATATACCAATCAATACTAAGCGTTAGTGTGCAATATCACCTTTTCGTATGGAAAACACAGGGTCTCTTTGACACGCAGCCTGGCTCCACGGTACAGCTTTGGTGTTTTCCCGACATACAGTTCAGCATGGGGTTTTTCTTCCTGTAATAATTAGTTGTAACCGAATAATACCTATCCTTAAAACAACGCGAAACGACATATTTACAACGTAAATACCATAAGATATGATTAGATCTAAACGTTGAATCTATAACTGAATACATTGTTCCCTATACAAAATTACCTCCAACCACTTGAGATAAAAAGATATGTATTTAAGGCAATAATATGTCATTTATTAGATATTCACCCACGTCTGTCACAATATGAAACACCCTTCCTGACAACAATGTTTTGTCACCATGTACCTACACACGGATATCTGCTTTCTTTGTCTAATGAAATACATGCCAATGTCCCTTTAAACGTCCATCCTTCAAGCGTTTCTGCATTTTGACTTTGATTAGGGTACATTTCTGTATACAGAAACGTACCTGGGGTACACATATGTGTAGTAAGGCCAGAAATGCTTGGAAAATGCTTTTGGCAATTATTTGATAATGGTTGATATTTCAGATTCAAAACATTTAACTCATATATAATCATTTATACCACCTCGACCTAATATGGCATATGAGTAATCACGATGTACCATTTCCTAATCATAATGATTACTCGTAAAATATCGAAAAACTTAGAAAAAGTTCCATGGTAGAAACACTTCTAAGAAACAAACAATACTGTGACCCACCTGGCAGGCAGACAGGGTGACAGCGTTCATGTAACGCACGGGCAGCACATGTTAGGCACCGTCTCAAAATATCAAGTGTCAGTATCACTGCTGGTCGAGAACTCTAGCGGAATTACAACAGGTGCAACTCGGCTGACGTTAACGCCGTCCCGCAGACGGTATTCGTCCTCGATTTTGAGAACACGGTCTTCAGCCTTTTGCCACACTTCTGGGGTAATTCTCGCAAAAGAAGCATACACAAGCTCTTTAACGTCTGAAAGCTTGAATGTGGTATTATTGCGAGCAATAAAATTCTTACAGTTACCCCAGATCAGCTCGATGGGATTGAGCTCACAGTGCCGTACTGGTGTACGCAGAACTATGTGGCCTTGTTTTGCAGCTAGTTCGTCAGTGATGTACTGGATTGGCTTTTTGTGCTGCCGGATTTTTTTCCATGAGCTGGGGCTTTGTTTCTGATTGCCTGTAAGGCACGTTACAGGAAGTGAGTCAATCCTGCACTGAGCCTTGAGATTGCTCATGGTGGGTGTGATGGTACCAGGGACACGCAGGTTATGGTAACTGGCGTTATCCAAAATGATAACGCTTGGTTCGTCCAGCTGCGGTAAAAGCTGATGTTCGAACCAATCCAAAAATACCTGCCCATTCATTTCGCTATGGTAATATCACCATCAGATTTCTTGGCCTCAAAAACAAAGTCACAACCCCCAATCAGTCCCTTGCTACGGGTACCAACATGCAAGATGATCAGGCGTCTACCTTTGCCTGATGGTAACACTGGTGCCTTAGAACAATCTGAAAGAAGCCACACCCGATCGGTTGAGTGATTTTTATTACACCAGGTTTCATCAAGGTATATAATTTGAAACCCCAAATTGCGGTATTCTTCAACTGTTCTGAGATAAGCTGATCGCATGGACAGGATTGAGTACTTTTCTCTAGACACAGCTCTGTCATCTCCCCTTTTGGTGTACCTGAACCCCATTTCTACCAGAGCTACAATAAGTGTTGTTTTCGAGACATTTATTGTATCTTTGATCTCATCTTGTATTTTAGCACACGTCGGTGGGATTTTGCGTTCATACAGTTTATAAACTGCACGGCGTATGACACCCTTATCAAAGCTATCCAGTTTGTGTTTCCTACCTGGTTTTGATTTTGACACGACCCCTGAGGTAAATGATTTGTTTACAACTTTGTACACCTGACTATATATCAAATTAAGAGCTTTGCACATTCTATAGTAAACCCTGTCATAGCTGACGAGAGGTTCCCCCCTTTGTTTCTCCAGTATGAAATACTGGTATAAATTTGAAATGAATTGTTCTGCAGATATATCAAGTCGCATGTTGCCAGTTCAGTGCTCGTACACGAAGTGAAACTTCTATGGGTGAACAAGATTATCTATGCGATTTGAATTAAGACTTTTTTACGTAATTACTTTAAATATAACTACTACAACAGTTCCATCTTAATCACATATAGATGTTAAAAAAAAAAAAACTTTTTCCAATCATTTATGTAATTTATGTAGCTTTACAATAGGTTTCTTTGGCAAGCACAATATCTTCGTAGTTTTTAAACTCCTGGACATATTCGAAACTGAAAAGAAAATGTTGATGTTTGATTTGAATAAATTTTATTTTATTCATAAGATCACGGATGCAGAAAAGACTATAGGTATATGTTCATAAATTTAATGTTAATAATTGCTGATTCCTATTATCAGAGAAACAGCGAAATTCGTTAAAGTTCATCATTGTTCATACATCACCCTTTCAGAAATCTTAAGCTCGAATGACTTACTTGTATTCCATCCTCAAAATATAGCATACAGATCAGCTAGGTGAAACGTATGTAGTTCCCGTTGAAAGTCCCAGGTGGAACTGGTCTGCTGGGTAAACCCGTCACAGTCTGGCTTTATCATCCTTATTGAGTTATAATGAAGGAGATAATGTGGCCCCGAACATGAATCTGTTATCGTAATATCTCATTGGCCACCATGTGCGATCGTTGGCTATCACGTTTCATTAGGTTAAGTTCATGAATACAAGAGTTGTCTTTTTTAGTTTGGGTCCAGTACTGTCTCGCAGACATTGAAGAAGCAAGTCTAGATTTCCTAAGATTCTCTCCCGTCTGACTGCACGGGGCTACTTTTTAATTCAAATGGAATTATTTGTTTCTGTCAAAATAATATATATACACATGTATTCAGAGACTGATCGTCAGTGTATTCAGAAACTAAGCGCTAGTCTACAAAACTTAGCAACACAGTTGTCCAGCTGGACAAACGCTTAGCCTATGAAAACATATAATTTTAATAGAAGCACACCTATACAAATTGAAAAGGACCCTTCGAGGTATGGGAGAAGTGAAATATATCTATAAAACAAACATGTGCTCTGTCACCTTTTCAGGTTCAAGTCATTTACTTGGCGAAATTGTTTACATCTCTCTCTTACGTTCAGTTCTCGCCAAATCTCGACCATATATTATCTCAAGGAAGGGCATCGCCTCATAACATAAGAAATGATGATAAAAGTGTGTATGCGTGTGCGTGCATGTGTGTGCATGTTGTGAGGCAACGGTTGTTCAAAGGTTCTGAGAGCACAAACGACATATGGGTTACTGCGCAAAAGACACTTTTCAAATTTCCTGTTTTGTACAATCGTTATTATTACATTGTCTGTTTGCATGGTAAATAAATGTATAAAGTAAACTTGAAGTATGAATTGTCGGGTATGCGATGGTGTGAGAAAAATAAAGTAGGCGTAGATCAGGAAATATAGCTGAAGGGGTCGTTGTCGGCACAGGTACTACAGATATGTACCCCAGGTACGTTTCTGTATACAGTAATGTACCCTAAACAATGTCAAAATACAGAAACGTACCTGGCACCTTACACGGACGACGAGTCCATATTTCGCAACCCAAAACCGAAACTGTATGTAGTTGTTCCCGTTCAATTGATTGCAAATGGTATTGTGCTCCGCGAAATATTCGTTACCGTGTATGGTCGTTTCTTATAGAACGCAATCAAATGCATCTAATTCAACTGTATGACAGTTCCAACCAAGTAAACAACACACTGCGGAATGGAATCGTCCAAGGGTACGTTTCTGTATTCCGATTTTGGCTAGGGTACTTTTCTGTATACAGAAACGTACCTGGGGTACACATCTGTAGTACCCGTGCCGACAACGAACCCTTCTGCGGAAATATATTTTGCATGGTGAAGCATTTCATGAAAATAATAAACAGTGACAAGTGAACAAACTGCTAATTGCTCCCAGATGACGGTTGCCCGAGTGAAGGCCATAAACCCGGACTATGCCGAAAGTGTCATGGCGCCTGAGAGGTATAAACGTGTAATCACCGTGTGTTCTCGGCTCTCCCCGGACAGTCTGTCAATAAATCCAATGTGATAAAATCTGTTAGTTAACCCACGGACAGATGACATATTCTTCTCTCTCTGACTCGCCATGTGCGTTCATGGCCCCCTCTCAGATTTGCAGGTCCTCTTCCCAGAGAAGAATGTGGTGAATAAACATGATGCCATTCTACATTACGATCATGTAATTTTTCTCTATGTGTTTGTGCGTGTATGTGTAGGGATATGTGAGTGTATCCAGAGTCTATTTTGTTGTCTTTGTCGATTAAGCATATGAAGTTATTAATCAGATGAACAAAGTCTGACATGTTCGAACATCATATCTATCTTGGAGCATAAGCAATGCTCAATCCATATTTCTAATACAAGTTTAAAACTTGCGCCATGCCAAATCTCACTCATACCCATTTTGTCACAAAATACATTGTGTACAAAGCAAAGTAAAGGAAAACTCAAGATACTTTCTCAGATTGAACAATATAGACTTGCATGAGTCTCTTAAGTAATAATTAATAGTTTAAATAATAATTTCTATAAATAACAGACTGGGGTCCTTAAATTGTACTGTCCGCTTTAAAGGATAGGATTACTTTTTTATACATGCATGGGCTTAGCACTCAGTACAGCCCTGGAGCAAGGCTAGAAAACATATTATGATATAGTTTCTGACACACTGTAAACATGTGTTTAGTGCCTATTACAATCTTTCAGAAGCCATGTCAGCTTCCCAGTTGATGTTCTACATTCTTCTGCCACATACAATTACAGATAAGGGGCCTTTAGCCTCCGAGTTGGTGACGGTACAACTCTAAGCTCCAAAGCAGGGGAATAAATAGACTAACAACTTGTCTCTGAAATGAACATATTTTACTGAAAAAAGTTCATAGTAAAAAAATATATATATAATGAAAAGGAGCCCTGAGACTTTCTTCATTTTCCTGAAGCTGAGGAAATCTAGACTTGCCACATTTTCTAGACTTGTGTGGGCTTTCTTGAATATATTTCCTTCAGGGTCTGTACGAGAGACTAGGGAATAAATAAACGCTCATTTCTTTCTATTTCTGTACTGGGGGTTATAAGGCATTGGCTAGAGCACCGTGTATCACTACTTTTATTGTCATTATTAAAACAATTGAAACATAAACAAACAAATCTCACATTGAAGTTATGTTCGTGTATGGTTTACATTACCATGGTGTATGATAATAAAGGTGTGTATCTGCAGTATCAGTGTTATGTTAACACATTTGTATAGAAAAGAACTTATGCCATTGTCAATATAGTAGTATAGGGTAGGTTGGTTTGTTGTTTAACGCCGCACTCAGTAATATCCCATCTATATGGCGGCGATTTGCAAATATTCGAGTCTGGACCAGACAATCAAGCGATCAACATCAAGAGCATAGATGACATATGTCAACCAAGTCAGCGAGCCCGACCACCCTTACTACAAGCATGGGTTGCTGAAAACCAATTCTAACCCGAATCTTCACGGGTTTAGTAGTTTAGAGATATATAACGCAATAACAACGACTCTCTGTAACAAAGTTTGGGAAAGTTTTTAACTCCTAGGAGTGGAACATACCAGCCTGTGTTAACAAAATGCCAGAGTGGGTGGTGATGGGGAGTATTTTGTCTCTAGACAGATAATGCCAGAGTGGGTGTTGACACTGGTGCGTTAAAAATATCCAAACACGATAGATGAGCTTTACACATAACACAACCCTTATTTGTCTCTCTCGGGTGTATATTATGTATATATTTATTTATGGATATTCTTTGTATAGTTGTGTTTTGGGAAAATTCACAATTTGAAAAGGAGAAAACAGTAACCAAATTCTTGATATCTTGTATTTGATAATAGCAATACGGTATCCTTATCACTAGTGCTTGTTTCGTTTATATAAAGATTGTAATTGGCACCACAAGGGCACGGATTTTTGTGTGCCACAAAGACAGGCCTTCAGTTTCTTGCCGTTGGACGGTTTAAATGTTAAATACAAGCCTTAGCTTTACTTATTACATAGTTCATTACGTGATTAGTGTCCAGCTGACTGTCGCAGACTCAGGAGAGAGAGAGAGAGAGAGAGAGAGAGAGAGAGAGAGAGAGAGAGAGAGAGAGAGAGAGAGAGAGAGAGAGAGAGAGAGAGAGAGAGAGAGAGAGAGAGAGAGAGAGAGAGAGAGAGAGAGAGAGAGCTATACTGAATACATATAGTTTTGATAGTAGCAAATAAACCCAATTAAATTGAAAATAAGTCCCAGTGAGGGCCTGGCATTATGGATAAAAAAGTGGTTTAGGTACTGTGAGACACTGAGGCACAGCGAACTTGGATATGTAAGAACAACCCAACTGAGATACACGCGCGATACGAAGATTTGTACCACTCGATAAAAAGCGCTCATCCAACGTTGTCTCGAAAACTGTGAAAAGTAACGAGAACAAATTCATGACTCTGCTTTTCGTTCGTTCCTGCAAAATATTTGGCTTGGACGATTGAGAAAGAGCAGCGATACCAGGCGGAGGATCCAGGGAACCAGTCTATATTGACAACGGCTCAACTTATCGTCGACATTTCATATCCTAATACGTCATGAAATCATGTGCACTTTAATCCCAGGGTACAACTGTTTGGGCAACTTCCGGTCTTTTCAGCCATCTTGGCATTTCATAAGCACGTGTAAGTATAATCAGCGTTATAAATTGACTGTTATCATAGTTATTTAGGGCATACCCGACAAACAACAAGTCAGAACTGTTGTGAAATACTTGACGCGCAAACTGGTACCCTCCAATACAGACAGGTAACGCAGAATGTTGTTAACCTGTGATTTTTAAATGGGAGATGCTGTGTTTTGAACGCGGAATTCGCATGCCACAAGCAATTTCCACATTTCTCAATATCCCCGTGATTTTATAGGATAGTAGTCAGATCTGCTTGTTCGCAGTGTGTGGTTTTCGTTCAGCAGATACGGATCTATAACCGATTAAATTTACTCAGAGTACATGTCAAACTGATAATTTGTACGTCAACTCCATGCAGGTAGACTGCAATGAAATGTTGACGTTTCCAGAATATGTTATGAATTCGGATACTTGACAGACGTCAGGTTATTTGGTAAAGTCCTCAATTAAATAGTATATCATGAGATCTCATTGCTAATTGTCACACTTACAGGTCAACCTGAATCTAGGTGTGTCATTGGTGTGGAAAGTTCAGGCCTAGTCTTATAGTCCAAGCTAGTTTATGCAATGTGAGAGGTATCAAAAAAGACCTGTTTGTCAGTGTCCTTGAATGATAACTCTCAGAATGCAGGTTAAATGTTTCAACACAATGTTATTTACGACAAAAATGCTCATGGTGTTTTTACATTTCTACGTTCTTGCTATTGAACATGTGTTTACTCTACAGCGTAAGCATTGTGTGGTCTAGTTATTAAAATACCACCATTTTTTCAATTTCAGAAATTCCTAAAGATGCAGATCTTTGTGCGTTGCTCATTGACCCACACCGTTGAGGTGTCCGGGAACCGAGACTGTTCAAGATGTCAAGGTTGGTAGAAAACAAACGTTGCTTCTGAGTATGTTTCTGTTACAATTACCTCCACTGCAACTTAAACCGCAAACTTACACACATCAGCAGATTCAAATGGCCCAGTGATAAAATATACTACAATTTCACTTTGCACTGTTGAATCCCGAAGTAGTGCTTGGTAAGGCTGTTACGATTCACTCGCATATTCAGTGAATCGGACCGTAGCCCTTCATGAATTCAATTTGTTATTCGTGGCCACCAGAACCGAATATTCATGAATATTTACAATTTTTTTAAAGGTGTCCGTTTTACTTGAACCCTTATGTCCGTTTTCAAAATGAGATATGCAAGAATGAAATATGTACTAGCCTTGTAGTACCGCAAGTCATGTTAGTTTTCCAAGGCCGCACATGTTACTGTCAGCTATAACTATTAGATACCAAATTTGAGTGTCATGAGATCACTGGTTATTGCTGTGACAAATTAACACTGTCAACATGGGCATTCAATATTGTGCATCAATCACTTAACTTCAATATTGTATTCATGAATAATTATTTGTATTCGTTACCCAATATTCGTGATACGTATCATATTCGCCACATAGTGTATTTGTTACAGCCCTAGTGCTTGGGTTCACTGGTTCTGGGTATGAATCCCAAAATTGCTGCCATGCGTTCACTTGTCTTACATCATTGTCAAGGTTGGCATCCATTAAGAAACCACATTAATGGTTCCACCTTGTTTTCATTACTGAAAAGCAGTTCAAAGCGTTAAAACTAACATCAATCAGATTGTAACATTAATTTGTTTGATCATGTGATGAAAATAATTCTTTTGTCTCCAGACTGTCATCAACGAGAGGGAGGGTTTCTCTGCCAGTGACCTTATAGTGCTGTCTGCTGGTCGTCCTCTGGAAGATACTGAGCTTCTCTCTGGCTTGAATGATCTGTCCACTCTTGATGTGGAGGTCCGCATGCTTGGAGGTAGGAATGTATTATATGTCATGGTGTTGGGATAACAGTAATATTTATGTCAATGGTGGATGTATAATTGATGAGATTCACTATCTCGGAAACAAATTGCATTTCTTTAGAATAACATTAACATGGACAATGAGAGGGCATTACATTCCATTTTAAACAGTTGATGGATCAGCCTAGTTCATAATCAGCGTTGAAATGAAGGTCTACAGAAATTATCATATTTATCGATACAGATACAGAATAATTAATGTTGTCATTTGTTAGTATGTCTTGATACACCTCTTTGCTCTTAATCCCCATTTACATTTTATGGAAAGTTCCAAGGCTACAATAATACTGATATAAACATTACAGTGTCAAGTTTGTAATTATTACATTTGAGTCAATTACTGCTTTCTGATAACAATAATGTTGACACATGCTTCTAATGTGTGTTCATCTTTATGAATAGTTGGGAAGATAGGGGTCCATCATAACCATTTGTCTTGTACCTAATGTACTATTCATGCCAAGCGTGTTTGTTTTTCTTCAGGTAAAGTTCACGGTTCCCTGGCTCGTGCTGGCAAAGTCCGTGGACAGACCCCCAAGGTGAGTTCTTGATGACAACTTCTAACAAGATGAATATGCTGGAGACAGTAACTCCATTAATTCACCTTGGAAGTTAAGGTCAAGATTAACATTTTTCTACTTTGTGAGACTTATGATTGGCTTGGCATGACTTTGATGTTAATATAAAGGTGACACGTTCGAGGCTCCATTTTACTAAGAAAAACCCCAAACAAAACAAAAACACACACACACACACAAAACCCGACATGCTTGTCAGTGATCACTCCTCACTACTGGGGATAATTGCATGGTTGACAGGATATCATCTTGGAAGTCATCTCCGGGTATAGGATGTGTGCAAAACAGTGATAGTACCATGTCCGCTAGAAGATGTCCAATTTGAAGACTGTAAGATATAGCTGTACAGTTGCTAACTTTGACATATAAATAGAGCTTTGACATATAAATAGACCTTTGACTCTGCATCGTGCGGGACAGTGGGGTAGCCTAGTGGTCACGTCCAAGAGCCAAGTGCAATTCCCCTACAATGTGTGAAGCCCATTTCTGGTGTTCCCTGCCGTGATATTGCTGAAATATTGCTTAAAGCGGTGTAAAACCTACCACAATCACTCACTCAATGCATCTTGACTCCAATCTTGCCCCTCTGTGTTCCAGGTTGAGAAGCAGGAAAAGAAGAAGTCCAAGACAGGCCGTGCCAAGAGGAGGATGCAGTACAACCGACGCTTCGTCAATGTTGTCGCCACCTTCGGCAGGAGGAAGGGACCCAACGCTCGCTCTTAGATCATTTCCTATGTATAATAAGTCTCTGTTCCTACAAAGAGGAAAATAAATGTGACAAGGGCACGAGTTGTTTTATTATGCATTGTTTACATGGCTGGAGATGTAATGGTTTATATCCCTAACCATGATCAGGGCGTCTGTCCCTCCAAATTCAATGAGGAGACGTCTTTTTGGAAACAGTTATATGGATACAAGAGTGGCATTTGTATATTTCATTCAGGGATAAATGTGTTTACAATTTTGAAGAGTTTGAATACTAAGTTTCGAAAAAAAGTACACACCTTAGTTGACTTGGGTACCTGATTACCCTCAGGTCTGCCTGATTGAGGGGCGGTGGGGTAGCCTAGTGGTTAAAGTGTTTGCTCATCACACTGAAGACCTGGGTTTGATTCCCTACATGGGTACAATGTGTGAAGCCCATTTATGGTGTGTCCCCATGATATTTCTGGAACATTGCTAAAAGTGGCATAAAACCAAACTCATTCTGAGTTACAGCTCAAAGTTACTGCTAGTTATATCGTTATCACAATTTGCATATTCCCATAATTTGAGTTTGGTACTTGCATGCTGGGTATGATAATTCTAGTAAACATTATTTACGTGAGAAATAGGGGGACAGAGCCCTTGCTATGATCACTGAAAATCTGTTTTACGCTTCCAACAATATCATTTCCATTTTTTTTATCCTGTTTATCCTTGTTATTAGATCTTCAGTCTACCTATACTGAGAACTACTTGACAAAATTAGACCACTGGTTATTGAGACACATCTGGGTGAAAAAACATCTTTCAGCTGAAAACCTCTTTTGGTCCTTGGATAGATAGTAGAGTGAGTGACTTTAGTTTTATGCCGCACTCAGCAGTATTCCAGCTATGTGGCAACGGTCTGTAAATAATCAAGTCTGGACCAGACAATCCAGTGATCAACAGCATGAGCATCGATCTACACAATTAGGATATGATGGCATGAGTCCACAAAGTCAGCGAGCCTGACCACCCCTCCTGTTAGTTGCCTTTTACGACAAGCATGGGTTAGTGAAGATCAATTCTATCACGAGTTGTTGATACATAGTAGAACGAGGTCACAGGGTCTGTATGCGTTAATAGTTGAAATATCAAAAAAATGATTCTGTCTTTCACTGGTGGTGGTATCGCTGTCTATACTGTTAAGAGTTTGTGTTTCAAGCTTTGCCTGGAAGGGGTGGACACTTCCTACCCGACATTTTCAGATATGATGACTTTGCGAGAAGATACCTAACATCAAAGATCTCAATGAACATGGGCAAATCTTGTATGCAATGTGAATTCTGAAGTACATAAGAATAAGAACAAAATAAGACCGGCACCAGGTGTAGCTAACACATACCAAGTTTGATAGTTATTGAAGTCGTTGAGGAGCAGGTGAGGTGAAATGGGGTTTATGGTGGCACTTAAGAATATTTCGCTCATATGACAACATGCATGTCTGTGTATGTGTGGCTGCTTGTACTAGCCCAGACTTTAGCAGGTTTTATAGTGTTAACTCACTGAGATACCATGCCACAGTTAAGTATGAATACCCCACTCAGACACATTATACTGACTCTGAGCCGACCAGTCGTTGTACACATTAATGCCGAGGCAGCCAGGGACCAACAAGTACCATATTTTAACGCTTTTTAGTATGACGCGGCCGGGGATCGAACCCGCGACCTTCCACTCTCCTGGCAGACGCTCTAACCAGGCGGTCTTAAGGAGAAACTAAATTGGGTACACAAATGTTGACGCCCGATAGTCAGTAGTCCTTGTTTTCTGGCTTACTCGGAATAGCGGACTAGCCCGAAATGCGAAATCATCTTTAGACAAGGCAGATTGTCTGTTGTGAAACAGGATTTCGAATCCTGGTTCTGCTTTCGTTTCATATGTGCAATACGTGTTTTGCAAATACCAAACACTGAATGATTTTGCTGGGATCACAGGGGCGGAGCTACCATTATAAAAAAAGCCCGGACTTACAAATGATTGTGGCTAAAAAGGTTGGGCAAGTCCTCAATACTGTCTATATGAATAAAAAGCTTTGCAACCTACCGGGCTTACACGAAAAAATTGGCTTGCTACGCGCCTGGATCATAGTTATGTGCGAATTTCATGATATGCCATAAACAGTTAAGGTCCCCAGATTCTGTCAATCGCATTATGGTACAAAAACAGAACAGCAAGTGAAAACATAAGCTTAGCTTCTTAAATGATGATAATGTGCACCTTCCTGCATTTGAGTTAACTGCTTTCAAGAGGACACCATGTTGTGTAGAGTTTGCTTCATAACTTTCCTTCAGAAAATGGAGGGGTGGTGGGATAGCCTAGTGGTTAAAGCGTTCGCTGGTCACGCTGAAGGCCAGGTTTCGATGTGTGAAGCCCGTTTCTGGTGTCCCCCGCCTTGTTATGGCTTGAATATTGCTAAAAGGGGCGTAAAACCATAATCACTCAGGCACTCGAACATACTATCATAACAAGAGGGACTTCCTATTTTCCACTTTCTGCAATGGACATATATATTAATATTAGGTCTCCAAATTATTGATGCCAAGAGTACACTCAATTGTCGTATGATTATCTATCACAAGTCACACATTTTGTATTGATTGCAATCAATAGTTCCAACAATGAGAAAACACCATGTTCCTTTTGTTTTATTACGTTACAGTCTTTATTGTTATTTGTGCAGAGTTATGGAAGGTCCTCCATTTAGTGCATTTGTTGTCAGAACAGGTACGTCAGGCGTTACGTCTAGCAGCTGATCTGTGTCACGGTCTTACACAATGAATACACAGGTTATTACATTTATGTGTGTTAGAAGTATATATTGTCTGAGAGTAAGATAAATGATTTCTTTTATTTATTTAGATGGATTCTCACCAAATGAATATGTTCCATCCATGCTCATATTTAGTAGGTCAAAACAGAACAGTAAAACTTGAAAAACCCCGATAGATACACATTATTACGGAAAACCATTTACGATTTCGCAACTATCCGTTTCGTACTTCAACACCCTAAATCTATTTTGTACTCTGGTTCTCCTTTCATGACGATTGACTCCATACCAATATTGTTTTGTTGTCACTGTCTGTCTCAAAGGTTTCCTTTCATAGAACAGGATGAAATTGTATTTTAAATGGAGAACATTAATATTTACTTCTCTCATTTTCATCTGATTCCCTGTACTAAGAATAGCCTACACTGCTCTACTTGTGGTTTCATATTCAAGCATAACACGTGTCATTTCAGGTTTCAAGGATTATATAGATTAGATTCAAATAATAAACAACACACAGCCATGTTACCTATTTTCTGCAGATGAAAGCATTTCAACGATTTTGATTGAAACTGCGGCTACTTAGTCTAAGGGGAAAGTTAATTGTTTATGCCACATAGTTAATTATTAAGAAATACTTATGATGTCCGAAATTAGGTGGTGTCACTTTGACAATTTTGCTTTCCCGTGTTGGAAAATGGCAAAGTCACCAGCGTTTTTCGCCGAGCGATGTGCGAAAAATGGTTAATGGTCAAAGGGAGACAACCCAAATTTTCAGTTTTAAGCACGCATATCCGTTTTTAGTAATTTTTGGATCACGGATGTAGTTGAATTGATCGAGGACTGACGATTTACTTCTTATGTGGTTCATGATTATTGTTATTACGTTACCTACTTACTACATCCAAGAGTGATTTAAAGATTCACCAGATACGATGTGACAAGTCGTGCCGTGGATGGTCAAAGGGAAGTAACTGTACCTGATTTATTATTTGCAACAAGATTTACCTCCCTTTGCATCAAGGGGCATAACTCCTATATTTATGTACGATTACCTCCCTTTGATGACAGCTACACGCAGTGGGTGAAGTTTTGAAGAGAGACACTGGGAGGAGTTTAAGACAAGGGAGTTAACTCTTGTACAAATACGGTTATCTCCCTTTGACCATAAACGTCTCTTTAGTTTCGCGGGGAAGGGTATTGTTCTGGGAAAAAGTTAAAGGGAGAGAACTCGATCAACTACTTGTACAGACATTAATGTTTTTCGCAGTAAGCTGAATATACCCTGAGTCGGTCCGGTTATGGTTTCATAGGTCGAATATTGACAACTTCAGTACCTACATGCTATATCGATGGCTGGATGGATTTGGTATGTCGTACAAACGCAAGTACAAACACGATTACCTCCCTTTGACCATAAACAAAAATAAGCGCGCCTCCAAATCTGTCATGTGATGTTATCATGTCCCGTAAGATGACAACCCCATAAACTGTAATTTAACTTTTCAGGGATTCATGGGGTCACATTTTCATCATTGCTTATAAGTATTTCCTAAGAACTGTATTTCAAAAATATACTTTGATAATTGCTTAAAGTTGAATTAATCTTGATTTGTGAACCTGATAGTAGATTTAACTATCTTGAGACCCAAGAAGGTCTGGCCGAGCACTGGGAGCACTGATTTACGCAGTCGGGCTACCATGACACACTATCTACCAAGTATCAAGCCACCGAACCTGACCCGCGATCAGTGTCGTCGCCACTTGTCTATTCTGCCAATAACATATCAGATGGAATATTAATTCTGCAAAAAGTACAGAAACGGTTTGCAGATGTAGCTGTTACATGCCGGGATATATGATATGTATGTCATCACTGAAATGTGAGTTCAGTCGGGATCTGTGTGACTGACACGGGTCATGGAAGGCAGGACAGCATACGCGAAAGGAGGCCGGTACGTTATCTCCGAGGTTCTACATCTGCGCTTGAAGTGAATGTTGCTTTAGAGATCAATGTTGCAACGTAAAGTTACACGTACATAACTCATCCAGAGAACAAATAATCTCGAGTTGCATGTCTGAATTGCATTTGGAGTAAAACACGCTAGACTGAAGTGCCAGATGGCCTTTTGTGGTAGATGAATGTACGGCTGTTACTGTAGATGCTGTATTGATTATCATGGTATAGGAGTGTTCAGCAGCAAACATGCATAGATCTACACATAAGCATTATTAGTAATTAAGCACCACCTGAATCCGAGGACAATGTATGAGTTTTGGTCCAGTCAGGCGACCATACATTGCACACACAATAGCATACCGGAATGCACATGTGAAGCACATGCTTCACACAATATCTCAAAAGCTCTGGGTCGCATGTTCAAGTGCTGCGAGGGAGCTAAGCACATTGGCATACACTATTAGTACATTTCAAAACTGCAATGTTTTCATTACAGGTTAAGGAACAGTATTAAAAGACTGGTTTAGAAAATACACGATGGCAAATTACTGGCATGTATGACACGGGGATGTCCAGTCGCAAGATCGGTGCTAACCTGAACATAAACCACACAGCTATTACTTGACTTGTGAGGAAGCACGTTGCCACCGTTGAAGAAAAGGATCGCCCAAGACGTGGAAGGCCGAGGAAGACTAATGAATCTGATGACCGTGTCCTAATTCGACTGGTATAAGACGTCCCAGGAACTGTGCCGGCAATGGAGAGTGGGAGTTCGACTCTCCACCAGTACCTTGAAGAGGCTGCGGGCTGCTGGCCGGAGGGAACCTCGTCCGATCAGACGTCTCTTCTTCACAAATAGACACCGACATGAATGTCTGGCGTGGTTCAGACTCCGAGAAAACCGCAACTTGAGGACATGGCATTGGATTCATTGGTCTGAATAAAGTCGATATTTTCTATTCGTTACCGACAGTTGTTGTCGCTAATGGAGACGTCGTAATGACGCATGTCACCAGGTGATGATCTAGATGCAGCTGAACCCTTTGGTGGTGGCTCAGTGATGGTGTGGGATTGTGTTTAGTAAAACTGCAAGTTGTGCCTGGGACAAGAAAAGGTCAATGTCATCACCAGTAAGTACAAGATACCACCTTCGTGCCACATTTTGTTTACCATCCCTTTGCAAGTCGTCCTATATTCATGGATGACAATGCTTGGCCTCGCCGTTCTCCAGCCCTCATCGCCCAATTGCAGAACAACGCCATCGAAACATTCCATGGCCTGTAAAGATCCCCGACATGAACCACATCAAACATCTTTGGGACTCCAAGGAACGCTAGAGAACCTAGTGTTCAAAATCTGCAGGAACTGACGCATTCACTCCATGCCGATGCTGAGAATTCCACGCTTCTTTGCCAGTGTGAGAAATATACTTTCCCCCTCTGGTTACAAGTAAATTGTGACCATATTTTAATTCAGTTTTGTTTGGAGTAAAACACGTTACAGTTTCTGTTTTAATACGCGGAATTTAGTTTTCAAAGCAAATACAATATGTAATGTTTTATACATAATTTAAAAGGGAGTGCTTGATTAATTCTAAAGTGTATGCACTCCAAGACGACACAAAGTCGTAAGTCCCAAGATAAAGATGTCGCTGTCCCTGGTATTTCCATTTATATTAGTAGCCTATACATCTATTCCAGTGTTCTGGGTTTAGGAGTAACTGCGGGTGAGGTAGTACCTGTGCTGAGGAAGACGGTCTGGTTGCTGTTTGCTGTGGCAAGATCGTGACAAGTTGTGGCCATATTTGAGAACAGAAAATTTAATTATTTCTATAGCGCTGTATTACTCAAACCATCATGAAAATGAACTTAAGTTGGAAAATATCCGAAAACAAACGCAAAATATCAAAGAATGCACAACAAGAGGCGCCAGTTCATTTTTGTGAAATATTTTACAATATTGAAATATTTATAGGTCAATTGCCGGAAGTGAAAACCTTCCATTATTTGAGCATATATCTTACGTATTGCCATGGAGACAAAAACAATAAAATAATACCCCAAGAGAAGCCAGCAACATCGAACCCCGCTCTCACTCACCCTTCTACAGTCACTGATGCTTACGTAAAGGATCTCCTTTGATTTCTTTTTTATTTCATTTTGCAAAATGTTACTGTGCGTATATACGGCATTGTTGCAACTGAATTCATTTCTAAAACATTTTTCACGTTGTAATATATAGACACGCTTAGAACAAACTGACAGTGCGTGTGTTTCCTATTCATTTATTTTAAGCCCCATTGCCTACAACTGTCTTCACCAAAGAGTAACACAACAAGAACACTTCATTAAGTTCAGATCAACACCGAGTACGACAACGGGTCAATCTTCCAGGTTCTACACACATTCTTTCTAACCCTCTTCTTTGCTACTTTCTTTGTGCAAGACGGCATATGCATAAAAATGGTATGAGAAGCTATACCGAAACGTCGCTACTGTGAAAATGAGTTGATCGTCCATAAAGTGTTTTCACCACTATACCACCAACTTCTTGAATGCCACTGAAACGGAATATTTCTGCAGGCATCAAATTCGCTCCGGTAAAGTAACCATTTGCCTCTAATTGAAAAGGACCATCTGCCACAGCCCAAAACCTTCAACTAACAACACTGAGGAAAATGTTGATAAACATAGGTATGCTTGTGGATGATATATGATTCGATCATTTAACCAATAAAGAAGACATCTTTCATTTGTTAAGATCACTCAAAGCTTTGTTCACTCAATATTACAGCTATATGGTGTCGGTCTGTAAATAATCGAGTTTGGACCAGACAATCCAGTGATTAACATGGTGAGCATCGATCTGCGTGATTGGGATACGATGACATGTCAACCAAGTCAAGTCCAAGCATGTTAAAAGGTTTGAGCATGAAAGGTTCATCTACAGACTCCCAATAACGAACGTTCCTAGTTCCTTATCTCGTGTGAGAATTTAGGTCGTTTAGAAGCAGGTACACCTGATTCTGTTGAGCGATTTGTAACCAGGGATGAGTCTTGGGTTGCAGTCAGTTGGCAAGATAAGTGCTTGGGTCATCTGTGTTTCCAAAGTAATCCTACGAGTGGACTACGTCAAGAAGGATCACTTATTTTACAGACACTATTGTGTCAATCTGCCGAGCTGCGCAAGACATGAAAAACACCAGGAATGGTGTGCTACCAGGACAACAGTCCTACACACGTCTGTTATCATCATGGGCCGACTCTGGCTTTGAACCCATCATATTCATCCCATCTGGCACCTTTACATTCTACCTATTTTCAAAGAACCACCTGATAAGCCGTGTACAAATTATGTCTGATTTGTTGCAGATAATTTTTTGCAACCTCGGGAGCAAGACTTCAAAAAGTAGGATCCAGGCACTCAGACATCCTTGGCAGACGTGTCGATGACATTAGTGGGCATTATGTTGAAAACTATTTTGAAGTCATCTCCAGCAAGGCAATCCATCAAAGTTATTCTCAGAACTCTTCAGCCCTTCATCACAGCATGTGTTTACATGAACATCTGCAAAATTAATCTTACAAATTATCCTGGAGAGGAATTGGTTGACCTGTTTGAAAGGTTCCAATGTTCACTTGGGGCTCAGATGACGGCAAATATATAAACCAGCACCAGCTGCACATAAGGGAAAATACTTAGCAGAGAATCTTTGAAGTTCATTGTCCCAAATCTGGCCATACATTTACTTGGCAGTGTGTTCTTTACTGCCAATTGCAAATTAACATAAACATGTTTCATTTACAAGCTTGTCACATATTCCAAACAGATAAAGGGAGAGAGAAGAACACATTATTTCTAAGCAAAGGTTTTTCCCGCTGAAACTTTCCATTTAACTTTGTTTCTCGTTCATCTGGCCAAATCAGCCATGATCATGTTCGTTTGACTGGCCATGAAGAATGTCTGCCTGGACTCACTTGGTATAACTTGTTCCACCCTTCATGGCTGTTCACACCCAAAGTAGCGATTCAAGATGACATACTACATGTTAAAGCAGTATTGTGTGTTGATATTGCTTCAACATGCCAGCCATATGCCCTGTGAACAATCGACAAGACCAGCCAGTGAGTACAAGCCATCTTGGAAGGCCGTCATGCAAAGGCCTATATCTATATGTCTATACATACAAGGACAGGGTGCTTTGGACATATTCTTGGCCCAAATCCCCACCAGGTTACACAATATCATATTCACTGCAATCACACTCAATGCAACATTAAGTGTAGAAGAATAAAAGGTTCATAAACCACACAACTCAATTCCTTAAACAAAGTTTATTTTGATTGTATCTGTGTGACTGAAATGTGTTTTCAATAAAGTACACACCCACCTATGAAACATGGATAAAACATCTTTGGCAGCACCTTATGAAGCAATGAGACAACACAGCGTGACTTCTTGTAGGAATAATATACTGTCAATAAGCTTGACATATCACTAGAGATTCATCATCGGTACATAAAACAGACAACAGTGAAACCTGGCTCAACCAACTGCTACCATTCAAAATGAATTCTATCAGCCTAACAAAAATCTTGATTAAAGAATTAAGGAAATAAAGTAATTTTCCTTTGAATAAATGAAATTCTTATGAGGTTATTCCAGAGAGTTGGGTTTGAGGACGACCAAGATTATGAGCTGGTTTCACCATATGCCGTACATATATTGACTTCGTTTTGCATATTGAATATAATATAGGAATACAATCAAACAAGGTGAAGTTCTACTCTTGTGACATATCAATTTGTACATCTGCATTGATACAACAGTCACAGTGAGCTGGTACATTAATGTTTTCACCAGGAAATGTTTTACAGAACACAAATTGTAGACGAACAAAGATGCAGTTACAATCTGGTTTCCCTGTAAAAAGAACCTCTTAGCCTAAAAAAACCTATATATACTGGCCTAGGTGTCCTGGGTCTTGTCTCCTGTCCAAATATTGAATTTTTTTGTTACCTGTGAATGTATTTATAGGTTTACCAGGACTGCTTAATTTCCTTACATAGTCCTGATGACGATAAAAAACACAAGATAGATACATTGTACTTTATGGATGACAAACTTCCTTATTCTGCTTAGACGCCACATTTTGGTATAGATCCTCCTACTGTTGTCAAGCATACAATGAATATTCCTTCCAATCATTAAACTAAAGAAGCTGTGTATGTAACAATGTTATATTCTGAGTGGAATATGGAATTCAAGAAACATGGAATGTGAAGTGTACCGGTATATATAGGAGGACACTCCTGATGGGACAAATTATTTGAAAGTATAATGAATAGATTGTCTGAATGACTGAATGAATAAACATTAAAAAAGATCATCTAACATAAATGAATTCATGTTCTGTGGAAAAGAATTTTGTATAAATATAAATATGTTTAACAATTCATAAATAAATACAATCTAAACAATAGAACTGTGCACAAAGTAATGATGAACCTTTGAATAATATTTACTTCAAATTAGAGAGATTAAGTGTCCACCCTGTAAATCTGTAACTCAAATCACTGGTCAAGTTTCAATTATTTGATAAGGCCAGGCTAAACTGATTGGTCTTAATTTGTTATACTGACAAATAATACTTGATTTTACATCCAACTTTCACACATTCATGCTTTTGATTGCTACGATGCTGTATTAAAGACTGCATCAAGTACTTAGAGAAACAATGGACCCCCAAATGATCTCTGCTGTTCATTAGTGTTAACAAATGCATTCTCCTCTTCCATTTGCTGTACATGTTTAAAGCCCAGGTCTGAACATAATGTTCAGTAAACAAACAGTTTAAATACAGTTTCATACTGACTAGCATTGATCTATGATCTGTATTCAATAATGTAATTTTTTAAGTAAAATTGATATTTTATACTTATCCTGACTCATGATCTTTTGTTTATCTCCCTTTCCCTTTCGAATGGTAGTGGAACACTTGAATCCTTTGAAGTTCCCGAAGCGGACGTATAAATACACTCACCCACGAGTTACCTCCCATGCCCTTTCCTGCACAAACATATCATGTGACGTGCCCATACTTTTCACTCTCTCCCTTTTCGCTTGTAGCTCATATACAAAATCTAATTTTGACCATGGTACCATTTGGTGAATCAGCTAAATCATTTATTTCAAGGACTTCAACTGCTTGTATGAATACTTTTGATTGGACAAAAATACTACTGTTTGCAATCAATTCAAAATCCATGATCAGCGTTCATTTAGAGGTAGAAACTTGATGATCATCTTTCGATCAGCGTTCATTTAGAGGTAGAAACTTGATGATCATCTTTCGATCAGCGTTCATTTAGAGGTAGAAACTTGATGATCATCTTTCGATCAGTTTTCATTTAGAGGTGGAGGACTGATGATCAACTTTCCATCAGTTTTCATTTTGTACTGATACTATCAGTGATGGCCAGTGCTCAACAGCTGTTCTTTAACTCCAGCTCAGCTGTCTACATCCTACCACTGATAATCATAAGCAGTTTGTGATGCATTATTGACACAGATATGTCATTTACCGACTGACCAGATCATCCGCTGCACAATAACTAATTACAAACATAACTATCAATTCTTAAACTGTAAAACATATTCGAAATTCAGTGGGTATAAAGTTGCCATAAAGTAATTATTCAAAATGTGAAAATAGTTTGATATGTACGCATAGATAGCTCCATTTATTATATGGTTTTGATTAAGGTGGAAATGAATTATTAAACGGTGGTGTCAGGAGTGTTTACACTGAATGTCAGGTATTGAAGGGTTAAAGACGGTGGGTGTCAGGTATTGGAGTTTTGAATTGAATGTCAGGTATTGAAGGGTTAAAGATGGTGTGTTTCAGTTATTGGAGTGTTTAAACTGAATGTCAGGTATTGAAGGGTTAAAGATGGTGTGTTTCAGTTATTGGAGTGTTTAAACTGAATATCAGGTACTGAAGGCTTAAAGACGGTGGGTTTCAGCTCTTGGAGTGTTTACATTAAATATCTGGTACTGAAGGCTTAAAGATGGTGGGTTTCAGCTATTGGAGTGTTTGAACTGAATGTCAGGTAGTGAAGGGTTAAAGTAAGTGTTAGGTATTACAGAGTAAAAGTGAATGTCAAGCATTAGATTAAAAGTGAGTGACAAGTATTGGAATGTATAAATGAGTGTCAAGTATTAGAGTGCAAAAGTTGGTTGTCAGATATTGCAGTGTAAAGTTGGTTGTCAGGTGTCTGAGTCTGAAGAGTAACTATGAAGAACTCAATGCAAACGTAACAATCTCGACATCAAACACCCATGGACCTTAGACTCAATATTCGGAGCAACCATGGAAGGTATGTGTTGGAACAATTACTAAATTTGTTGCATACAGTAACTATATGATGAGGGTGTGGTAGCTGTGAATGGATCATAGAAGGTTCGCACAGCAGCAATAGCTCATTGGAGCCTGCAGACCTAACAATAATGTATACAGACCAATGGGAACCTTAAATGTAGTTTTGGCTAAAGTCTTGGGGGAGATTCCAAGACAAGGCTGGATCAACCAGTTACATCAACCTTCATTTCTCTCACAAAGTGTAAAAGTGTATTATCATATCAACACAAATACCTATTTACATGAGTTGGCATTGGCTTGTCTACTCAAAGCTAGAGCAAAAAAATACTTTTCAATGTGATATGGCTGTAAACATAAGGTCATTTTCAGTCTCAAAGCTCAAAGCATGGTGCCCAAGACCAAAATAGTAAACATGACTTCAAGGTGAGTTTCAAAATTGACTCTTGTGAACTCTATATATCTGTTCATCTCAGGAGCAGTTCTTCAAGTAAACATGGAAATGACTCTAAGGAGGCACTACATGTCTACACTAACTGACCAATAAAGAGACTTAAACATTCATAGGTAGAGTAAGGCAAGCATTTCAAGGCAAACATTGAGATTGCATAGCAAGATAATGGATGTAAAGTATCCATGCAAAAATAAATATCTACTGTAGTGAACATCAGATTGCACTGTAGTGCAAGCATACACACATATATACAACTTTATCATTTATCAACTTCATTATTAGCTCATTATCAATTTCATATCAGGTCTCAGTTTATTTTTCTATCAGCGTTTTACCTATCCCTTACCACTTACTATCAATGTCTACACAATGTTAGAAATTAAGATTGAAAGTCAAGGGGTCCTTTTTCATAAAACAACTGGTGAGTGTGTAGATGCAAATATCAACACCACAAAGACTCCAAGACTCAGCTTAATTTAAAACACAGCTGCAAGGGTTTCACATGGCACAGGAATATGCATCCACAAACATATGGAATGGATGCAGTACAGTGAGTCCTGTGGGAAAATATCAAGTCTACCAACTGGCAGAACTGCATCACCTTAGACTGGAATCATTGTGGAATAGTTAGAAGTTTCAAAGGCTTTGTGGTTTCAGGTGAGATGCCACAAAATAAAAACGTTAGACAGTTGAATTCTGAGAATGCACAATACTATGAGTGTAAAGTCCCGATGAGCTAAACACATGAAAGTTTGTGGCTTGTGGTGGGAGACAACTGACAACTTCCCCATCACAAGACCTCCCTTCCACAGAGAGCCAGGTGAGTTCAGTCTGTATAATCTGTTAACAGACAACTTGATTCGTCATCTGTGTGACAATATTAATATCTGGAATGTGAATTTCACTTAGTTCCATCACATTTTAAAACTTGAATAAATAATTTTCTGTGCCCATCTAATCAGTGCAAAAAGTTGACAGCAAACTCTTACAACACATAATAGATATTCTTATATGTGATAAATGTGTCAAATTACAGGTACATTATACACCATACAAACATGCCTTACTCATTCTTGCTGATATCAGCTCAAACATTACTATGGCACATGAAGAAATTCAAATCAACAATCAAAGCTAACATAACCAGGTTACAGAATCATTCAACTGCAATATTTAGTTTTTCATCTTTGTAATCAATCCATATCATTTCAATATTATAAAGCACAGGGTTAATCATCTTATCTGTACTTAATTATATTATACTCCAATTTTCTTCATCACACTTCAAACTTTAATCCATTATTATATTAAAAATGTCATTTAACATATCTATGGGGAATATCGTCCGGGATAGAATTAAATACAACCTGTCAATCTATTTATGTTGCACTTGCTTGATCACACATCCATGCAACCGTATTACCAGTTTAAGAGCAGTGACCCCTTGGTAAAGCTGAACCCTGTAAGTCCTACAAACTGTGAACAGTTCTGGAGAGTCTAAAGTGAAATGAGAGACACAATAACCTTCCGTTTAATTTGATAATAAGATTATTTCAGCACCAGTTTACATAATATTTGATATACACAATAATATTAATTTCTTTTCTTCTAAGAACTATCCCATTCTTCCTGGTTTGAGAGAAACCTTGTTTTGAATATATTCTACAACACACACTGAAGCTACAGAAACGGCTGGAACAAGTCAGGAAGAGAAGCTGGGGTAAATGCAAATTAAGTACCCTCACTCATCTCCAGCACAATGGCACACTTTATACAGAACAGACTCAGACTGAAATTCAGTCACAGTTCAAGCCTATACAGCTTGGTTTTGTTTTCCTATAACAAAATGCTCAATGACTGTCATGTTTCTATCATCTCACACAAACATATGTGGCCCACTAATTACAGATCAACACAGCTTTCCCCGTGACGATTGACTGCAGTCATGCCAACCTTGACCTTGCAAACACTATCTTACATGCAGCTGTTTATGTACAGCACACTCAGTGCCTGACAGTTCAATTTGTTACAGTTTCAGACATATTTGACACAACTGGAAGCAACCTATAATTGGAAGAGATATAATTTTATCATATAATGGATGTTACTACTAATGTAGTACAGAAAAGCAATCTGATAAACTTGGTGTCACAATCCAGTATCAGGAAATAAGCAAATGAGCACAAATATGTTAACTGGCACAAATAATTTTAGTTTGCCTACTTATCAATGTGATGAGTCCTTGCTTAAAAATGTCTCATAAATCAGGTTCTTCAAATAATCTGACAGTGATTTCCCCATGTGTGAGTGCTCATGTAAAAAACATGGCAGAAAACCATTTGGCACTATTTCATAAACGGGGCAGTTCACTCAGGTTTTGTATTAGTGCACTTCTAAAATTACTAGTTAATAGAAATATGTCGTTCTGTAAGCCTTTTCAAGACTAGAGACTAGAAGACAAAAAGTGGCATCAACATTTCTGACAGACATAAAACAATTTGCAATAACAAAATGATTACTTATTCATCCAAATCATTGTTTTTAAATTACATGTATTTGTTCAGGATCAGATAACTATATTTAACCACTACATGACATGGGATTAGTCCTTACATAAAAAATAAAAGTACCCTACAAGGTGTATTCAAATATATTGTAAATTTTGCAAAACTGCTGATCTGTGCGGATTTCCATATACTTAATGTACTTAATCCATGAGTTACTATATGTCTTCCAGCATCTAAAGAAGACTATCTCCAACTCCCTACTATATTTAAAATGTGTGGGTTGATATAAATCAGATATAAATCAGTCTTTATAATGGAAGAAAAATATATGAAATCTATAATCACATCAATTCATTACATCAGATATTCTGACAGAAAAAAAACTTACTAATGCAAAGAAAAAATCACCAAATCTTTACATCTTCGCCAACATGCAAAGAACTGTCAGCGATGTCATTAAGGGGGAATAATCTGAAGAACAAATAATGTCGCCGATAGCTGCATATCTTTACACTAAGTATATGACACATGAATCTGTGCAAACAGGTCAGAGTAATTCACTCCTTAGTTATTTTGTTAAACTGTTAAGCATGACATTTTTCTTAAGATACATTTTATGGGGCTTGTTATGCTTAATCAGCACTGCGTTTTGAGTGACATTCCCACTGTTCTATGTGGCACTGCTAACAAGAAGTCAGAGAGTCTGTCTGTCTGTCTGTCTATCTGCTAACAAGAAGTCAGAGAGACATCTGTCTGTCTGTCTGTAACAAGAAGTGTCTGTCTGTCTGTCTATCTATCTGATGATAACAAGAAGTTAACTTGTTTGAGTGGCAACAAGAAGTTGTTGTTATAAACCAGTTTGCATTCAACTGTCATGACTAGTTAATTTCAGCTTGTTCTAATATTATGCAATAAGGTTAAGCTTTTGGTTTCATCAAAGTAAAGTAAAGTTACACAGATGCATAGCTAGGTATAGAGTGTATCAGGGGTTTACCCTTACTGTACTTATACATGGATAAACACCTTTTACTAGCATCATTGTACAATGGAATGAACTGTTATGTATCCTCAGTTATCAAGTCTGTTCTATTGTTTTCTATACCCTCAGCCCATAATGTCATGTCACTTGAACCAGGTTCAAAATGTGTGTACAGTGCTGTGAGATTCCTATATGTATCATATGATTGAGGATCAATGTAATGTCACAGTGAGAAAACACAGAGCAAAATTAGATACCTTTTTCTTTAAATTTAGCTGTTCATAAGCACCTTAATTTCTGTAAAGAAATAAGATAAAAACTTAAATTCAACCTGACTGGAATGATTTTTAGTGTCATCAATTGTTTTCATTTTCCAGCCCTACCTTTTACTGTATGCCATTTACTGTTATGCTTACAATATGGTACAACAAGAACACTGTAGACTGTTTACAATATACTACAGCATGCCCACTTGCTGTAGATTGGTCGAACCACCTTATCTTCATCATCGTCATCCTCTTCCGATGTGATCAGTTGTGATGTGTCAGAGTTATTCCTGCCAGTCATGGACTTGTCTATCACAATCGCTGAGTTGTCATCTTCATGGATTGAATAGCTAGAGTTCTTCTGATCCTGTGTGCTTAATATCTGCCTGCACATTTCATAGAAGGGCTGAAACAGACATTTTGATAGAAGAATACTTGCTCTGAATTGCACTGACATACAGAGTATATACTGAAAACAAGTGTATATGTTTCACCCCACCAGGATGACTTCAGGGCAAACTGGTTCTCTAGTATAGTCCAGATCTTTCCTCTTGATTTCATTCATCTTAACTTTGGGGCAGTGGGGTAGCCTAGTGGTTAAAGCGTTCACTCGTCACACCGAAGACTTGGGTTCGATTCCCCACATGGGTACAATGTGTGAAGCCCATTTCTGGTATCCCCTGCCGTGATATTGCTGGAATATTACTAAAAGCGGCGTACCTCAATAGCATCACCTAATGAAAAGGACAATGCTGACTTTTAAACACTGATCACCGAGTTTAGTTTTATGCCGCTTTTAGCAATATTCCAGCAATATCACGGCGGGGAACACCAGAAATGGGCTCCACACATTGTACCCATGTGGAGCATGGACCAAGGTCTCTGGCATGAAAAGCGAATACCGTATCCACTAGGCTACCCCACCACTGATCATTCTTTACAATTAAGAACACTTACAACTTCCAAATTTTCTCTCCGTTTGGCGTTAACTTCAAAGAACTGGCAGTTATTATTCTCTGCAAACTGCAACAAAATAAAAAGTAATCACCTTTAAGGAGGAAAACACACATTTATGTAGTATGTCATCTGCCATATAGTTTTATCATCACAGCAAACTGCAAATATTTTTCATAATCATGTTTTTTTGTTGCTCTGAACATCTTCCCTTGGCAGTTCCTGTCTCTGAACTAAAGGAAATGCTCACGCTTAGTTAAGGAGCTGCACTAAAAGAAATAGCCATGACCCAAATATGATCTTCCAAAATTGAAAGGAACACTGGGGCTGGTCAAAAGTTCATGGAATTAGTGACACTGCATTCAGCAATATTTCAGCTAAATATTTATGTAAATCTTTGAGTGATAAGGAAGATGTTGAATGAAAAGAAAGCATCTCTTAGTTGCAGGAGATTATATACATTATGTCTGATTTTCACAAACCGTTTCTGCCTCTTCAGTATCAACTCTTCTAGAGTCAACTTCGTCCTTTTTATTGCCCATCACCATTATCACTGTGTCTTCCTTTGCAAACTGGAAAATAGTTTCAAGCAAATATTCTTCATCACACACGCCAACATTCATTTGTCAATAAATAAGTGATTTTGTGGAATTTGATTGGCTTAACAATCAATTTTGTGTTTGTTTGTTGTTTAATGCCACACAATATTCCAGCTATATGGCAGCGGTCGAAAAATATTTCAGTCTTGACTAGACAATCTAGTGATCAACATCATGAGCTTCGATCTGTACAGTTGGGATACAATGACATGTGTCAACCAAGTCAGTGAGCCAGACCACCCGATACCGTTAGTCACCCAAAATGACAGGCCTGGGTTGCTGTAAGAATGTACACCGAAATGTCGCTCTATGCAATTAACAAGAAGTTGTTATCCATAAAGTTGTATGCTTGATTGTAGACTAATTCTAACTCAGCTCTTCACTGGTAGCAGTTTTGTGTGAGTGAATGTTTACATAAACCTAGGCTCCTGTTCTGTTTCTACTTCTGGACTAGTTTTTCCTGATTGGCTGAAAACAGAGCGTGCAGTATTGCAATGCTTTTTATCCTTATTATTTATCAAATGGGCAGTTTCTGAAGTTACTATTCTTAACTAAACCATTTATAACAATTTACCTCAATATATTACTTCTTTGTTTATGGAAGATATAATCATAATGATCAGCATGCACACTTTGTATGGGGGTGGTGGAGTAGCCAAGTGGTTTGCTCGTCACGCCGAAGACCTGAGTTCGATTCCCCAGATGGGTAAAATGTGTGAAGCCTATTTCTGGTGTCCCTTGCCATGATATTGCTGAAATAGTGCTAAAAGGTGTAAAACTAAACTCACTCACTCACACTTGGCATGAATCTTCCCAAATGCAAAAAATTACAGAAGTCAATAGCTTAATTTCCTTCATATCTCTCTGCCATAAATAGCAAGCCATAGAGTTCAACAGTTCTACTAATCAGTGTGTTAATCAGTTCCTCTTTATAAGTTACTAAACCGTGAAGTAATAGGGCACCACTGTGTCCCATTATCAAGATATCATACATCACGAGAATAACTTTTCACCTGCACAACACACCTACCCTTTGCGACAGGGATTAGAATGCTCATAGCAAGTTTAACAAGAAAACAGAAATATCCATTACAGAGGGACGGCTTTTAGGACAGATGTTTTCTTTTTTTGACTTACATATTTTTGGGGCAAAAAGCATCAGGTCAGCAGGAAAAAAAAGGACATAAATTTCAACTGAAAATATATCATTTCATATTTCCTCTTACAATTTGTTGTTTTATCAATTTTGTAAGATAATTTTCAATGGGTTTAATATAATTTATTTATATTGATAGTAAGGATAAACAACTGCTGTCTTGTTTACATTACACTTTATTCTGGTCAGTGAATTAACACTGCTTTTCATTGACATTTTATTCAAATTAAATTTTTGGGAGTCATCAGGCATGAAAACCATATATAGAATGAAGTGTGGCCTTGTCTTTCAAACTATCAGACCTTTATCAAGTATCCTTCTTCATGTAGAGGGCAATCAAATTATAAATAAACATAAGTCCTACAGGATAAAAACTAGATTTCTTCTGGTTCGAAAAAAACATATTGTATATATAGAATACAACAGATATCAAGTATATTAAGTGTATCAAACACACACATTGGGTAACGAATACAATATTATAATAAGTCAGCAGTTGATGTACTGTTCATTATATGAGTGAGTGAGTGAGTGAGTGAGTGAGTGAGTGAGTGAGTGAGTGAGTGAGTGAGTGAGTGAGTGAGTGAGTGAGTGAGTGAGTGAGTGAGTGAGTGAGTGAGTGAGTGAGTGAGTGAGTGAGGAGTGAGTGAGTGAGTGAGTGAGTGAGAGTGAGTGAGTGAGTGAGTGAGTGAGTGAGTGAGTGAGTGAGGTGGAGGAGGAGTGAGTGATGGAGTGAGTGGAGTGAGTGAGTGAGGAGGAGGAGGAGTGAGTGAGTGAGTGAGTGAGTGAGTGTGGTTTTAAGCCGCTTTTAGCAATATTCCAGCAATATCACGGCGGGGGACACCAGAAATGGGCTTCACACATTGTACCCATATATTGGTGAAACAGTGATTTGACATGTCTTGACCATGCTGATAGTGACAATCATGACAATGACCAGTGATCATATTACTATCAAATTAAATATATAAGACTGTTGACTATTATCCTGCCTGGCTTGGATATATTCCATGTTACATATCTTGCTTTGAGAAATAACAACCAAAGTCAGGAAAAAAAACACGCCTTTTTAAGAAATTCATGAATATTCCATTTTCGTGATCATGCATGACGAATAAATTCATGAAAACGTTATGGTTCGATTCAATGAATATATCTTTTATTCAAGCATAAAACACATCAGTTTTTAACACCTGAATCCAAAGGATATGTCCTATCCTAAGGATGAGCCTTTTAAATCTCATAAAAACGTGAAGGTAAGTATTTTATCTAACTTAAACCTGGAAACTAGAGTAACACATTATATTTGGGTTTACACTTTTTCAGTAGAGTACAGATTCTAGTACTTTTGTTAGGTTGAATCCCTAACAAAAGAAGGCTTTGTTGATAGGGTCCAAGGTTGGTACATGCTTAAGACCAGTCACCTGCCTCTTTGAGCCTTCTTTCTACATTAAGCTGACGTACCCGATATTACTCACAAATTGTTCAAGGTGGTATAAACACAAGTCAGTATGAAGTGGTAGCTCTTATACCAGGATGGCAACAGGAAAATATATTTTCAGCGGAAAACTTAATATTGTGTCATCGAGTTAAGGGTTTCTCAATGGATTGAGACGATTCACAATTGAACAATTTGAAATAAAATTTGAAATCCGCAGATCAGCGGAAAATTGCCATCCCTGTAATACTGACCTGTCTGACATAGGAAATCCACTTTGGTAGAGACTCGTAGGAACTCCGGCTGCATATATCATACACAACCATCACCCCCTTGAGAGACATGGGATATAAAACACATCAGCTATACTTCAAGAAGACTGGTCAATGTTATTAATTATCAATAGTATTCATGAACACTCTGTGACACAGCCTGACCAGTTATTCTGAAATTATTGCTATGGAAACATACTGCATAGGATGGTAAATCAGATGAATATTCAACACAAAGTTAATATCAATGACAAAGGCAGACTAACATCTAAAATTTGAGCTGAACATATTTTATAGAAATTATATTCATAATAATAAAAAGGAGTCCAGAGACTTTCTTCATTTCCAGAAACTACACTTGCCACATATTCTAGACTTGCATGGGCTGCATTGGGTATATGTGTTTCAGGGTCTGTATGACAGACTTCTGCATTGGGTATATGTGTTTCAGGGTCTGTATGACAGACTTCTGCATTGGGTATATGTGTTTCAGGGTCTGTATGACAGACTTCTGCATTGGGTGACATACTGCATTGTATATGTGTTTCAGGGTCTATATAGACATACTGCATTGGGTATATGTGTTTCAGGGTCTGTATGACAGACTTCTGCATTGGGTATATGTGTTTCAGGGTCTGTATGACAGACTTCTGCATTGGGTATATGTGTTTCAGGGTCTATATGACATACTGCATTGGGTATATGTGTTTCAGGGTCTGTATGACATACTGCATTGGGTATATGTGTTTCAGGGTCTGTATGACAGACTTCTGCATTGGGTATATGTGTTTCAGGGTCTGTATGACAGACTCTGCATTGGGTATATGTGTTTCAGGGTCTGACAGATGCATGACATGACTATATGACATCTGCATTGGGTATATGTGTTTCAGGGTCTATATGACATACTGCATTGGGTATATGTGTTTCAGGGTCTGTATGACATACTGCATTGGGTATATGTGTTTCAGGGTCTGTATGACAGACTTCTGCATTGGGTATATGTGTTTCAGGGTCTGCATGACAGACTTCTGCATTGGGTATATGTGTTTCAGGGTCTATATGACAGACTTCTGCATTGGGTATATGTGTTTCAGGGTCTGTATGACATGACATACTGCATTGGGTATATGTGTTTCAGGGTCTATATGACATACTGCATTGGGTATATGTGTTTCAGGGTCTATATGACATACTACTGCATTGGGTATATGTGTTTCAGGGTCTGTATGACAGACTTCTGCATTGGGTATATGTGTTTCAGGGTCTGTATGACAGACTTCTGCATTGGGTATATGTGTTTCAGGGTCTGTATGACAGACTACTGCATTGGGTATATGTGTTTCAGGGGGTCTTGGTATATATGACTATATGACATACTGCATTTGGTATATGTGTTTCAGGGTCTATATGACATACTGCATTTGGTATATGTGTTTCAGGGTCTGTATGACATACTGCATTGGGTATGTGTTTCAGGGTCTGTATGACAGACTTCTGCATTGGGTATATGTGTTTCAGGGTCTGTATGACAGACTTCTGCATTGGGTATATGTGTTTCAGGGTCTGTATGACAGACTTCTGCATTGGGTATATGTGTTTCAGGGTCTGTATGACAGACTTCTGCATTGGGTATATGTGTTTCAGGGTCTGTATGACAGACTTCTGCATTGGGTATATGTGTTTCAGGGTCTGTATGACAGACTTCTGCATTGGGTATATGTGTTTCCAGGTCTGTATGACAGACTTCTGCATTTGGTATATGTGTTTCAGGGTCTGTATGACAGACTTCTGCATTGGGTATATGTGTTTCAGGGTCTGTATGACAGACTTCTGCATTGGGTATATGTGTTTCAGGGTCTGCATGACAGACTACGAGAAATCCAGTTCTCTACTATACCTGAGCCCTCCTATAAAACTGTTTGGTGATGGCTTCAAATCTTTCCTGGCCCGCTGTATCCCTGAAAGAATGAAACTTGAGTGTGAGGACTATCATAACATTACTGACCTCCATAATGTTCACCCTAACATGGGTCACTAGTCTTATAGTTTTCTATACTATTGTAACATGACATGTAGCAAATAAATATGAATATTGTACTTTTCACTGTTCGTATTCTTACAATAATTCCTGCCATTCAAGTCAGGAAACAGTTCAACAAGACAAAGTAAAACATACCATATCTGCATCTTCACCATTTGCCCATTCACTTCTATGGTTTTGACTTTAAAGTCAACTCCTGCAAAAAACCAGAACTGACATAAACTGGGGTGGGAAATCAACACAATCACAGCAAACAATACCAAACACATCTATCTCCAAAATCTCTAAAACAAACTTGAAAAGGAATAAAAGGTGGTTCTTTACCTTGAACTTGTACCTGTGCAAAATTTCAAATGGTAAATTACAACCTGCATTTTCTAAATTGCAATATTACTTATCTGTTTATGTTATTCCATGTAGTATTTGGAGTACATCTGAGTAAACATGAAAAACTTACATATGTCTGACACTTCATGAGAATAAGCATGATCAAAACAGATTGTCCAAATACCTCCAAAAATAGATTATGTTGTAACAATGGTATGTAAAGTGCAGTGCTGCCTATAATATCTGTTTGACAGGATGACTGGATGTATTTGAATGTAACATGAAAAAGAATATAGAGCAAGTGAATTAACAATCATCACTCAAAATATGTAAAACATATGTCATTAAAATACACTAAATTCTGACCAGTAAGTAGCACTAATTGCAATAATCATCATCTTACACAACTTTCAAAATAAAAGCTAATTTGCCTATCTGCAGGATAAACCTTTTTAATTTTGAAGAGTGCCACAGGGCACTCATGAGGCTGTTCAGGTGATATACTTTGCTAGTGGCACTCTACCCCAAGGAGTTTTGCACCATGATATACTATCAGCCTAACACATTTCCATATGTTACTTGGGTAATAGACAATGGTATTCTATGGTCTTCTATCCATAAAATTCACAACAAAATAGTAACTTTGGGAGGTGTTAATGCAAAATAACATGTGACAATGAAGATGGTTTAAATTTATTGATTTTCCTACCACTGATGCATCACCAAAACTAGTTCTAAGGCAATAACTCCCATGAATTTTAAAAAAACATATAATTTTTTAACACCATTCCAGGTCATCCATTACCCATACAAAATTATCCTGGTACACGTATACAATTATTTTGTGATCATATCCATACTCATGGTGTATTATTTCAACACAGCAGTCAATCATAATCATTTAGATGATCAATACGAAGCTACTGCTATGTCAGGTAAATAGATCCATCCCAGTCCGTCACTCCCCTGTACCGAAGAGCATGGGTTTAGCCTCCTGGGTATTTGTGGGCTCCACCAGGGACAGGACATATTTACCCAAACCAACACACCTGACCCGGTAGCCTTGACAAAGTCAGGTCATGCCTGTGTGTCATGGAGCATACCGCAGGTCAAACTCGCTGTCAGCGTTGTCGAAGACAAGAATCGGGTCTACAACATCCATGTGTAAACATCACCTTCACCTGTACCCTCGGTGACAAATGTCTACAAGCGGCACTGTTTGGCTACAGTTAATACACTTAAAATGGTTACAAATAAGACTTCCAGTCTGTAAGGACCATGGATTCTTATGATGAAATGGCCACGTCAAGTCTGAGCCCAGCAGCCTTATATTTACCCCTTTACATGTATTATCTAAAAATGGGTATTTTACCTGAACTATCATTTTCAGTTGTTTGTAGTAAATGTTAGCAGATCAGAAGCAAAGATACACTGACCCTAATTATACAATGTTACCAGTACATTCATTGTTGTCCAGTCTAACAAATGGGCTACTGAGCTACATTTATCAATAGTTGTCAATGCCAATGATTGGCTTTTCTAAAGCTTGACAAGAGGGAATTTTCTTAAAATTTGATTTTGAAAAGCTTTTGACATTAACACAAAAGGAGGCAGAATTTTTGGTCAGTTGCCACGTACAGTTTTATTAAAATCTCATCTTTGCATTAAAAATCAATTCCATAGAAATATCTTCATCATTACAAACCAATTGCCACCCAGGTAAACCATTCTGGTCTTGTCATTATGTGAGTGAGTTAGTTGGGTATTACGCTGCTTGTAGGAATATTATAGCAGTATCACGGTGGGGACTCCAGAAATGGGCTTCACACAATGTACCCATGTGGGTCTTCAGCATGACGAGCAAAGGCTTTAACCACTAGGCTACCCAACCGCCCCCTCTTGTCATTAACTTATATTCGCTTATATTAACTTCGCTTTCATATTAAGTGTAAAAACAAGGATATCCTGAAAGACTATCAGCATGATGCAATTGTACAGTAATAATCATAAAAATGTAACATCATGATTCGCAGACTGTTATTTTCACAGATATGCAAATGAACGAATCAAATATGTCCTCTGATACCAGTTCTCAGTTATAGAGTAATTCAACAAGAGGAAAAAACAGATAATACTGGCAATGTCAAGGAACCCCCTAAAATATCCTAATTCCTTATCTCTACATCATCCAACAGTCCAAATGCCTGTGTTTATATGGACATTGATCCATTTTCATTCAGCTGAGGTAATATCTCTCGTGTTTCCTTCATTTTTAGATAATGGACGTCTATATATATGGCCATACAAAGTCAGTGTGGCGTTACATTCAATATATTAACATGCTGTATACATGATACCACATCAATAGATGTTTGTATCGTCAGGTTACACTCGAAAGGTTATGCTGGTGGCATTCTTCTCAGCTAGGCCCACAACAGTGCCTATATTTGGATCAGACACAATGTGGTTGCATAATCAAAACAAAATATGATTCAACACATTCTGTAATATTGGTTTGTTATTGGTTTTCTTTAGTCATGCATATGACCACAGCTGCTGACAGAATTACATAATATTAAAGCCCTGTAAACACAGCAGCAAATACCCCTGAGTTGCAGCAAGAGGACAATCAGGATACTAAGACCTTGAAATAATATATTTCTTTTAACTATTTTGCATTCCACATGTTGTAGGTTCTATCGGTTATATTCTCATCAAATTGCTTCCTATAATCATGATAATAATTTTGTTTTATTTACAAATTTTGTAGTTCTGTAGACAAACAACTTTTCATTATCTTTATCATGTTTATTGAAAAGGTTAATCCTGAGAATAGGTTTTCTATTAAAGTTGCCTCCCCTACCTATGTATTCTCACAGTAAAACTTTGTTTGTCGGTCCTATAATGGTAGCATTTACAGAGAAACTTCAATTAGCATGCCTGAACATTAGTCATAAAAAATAATAAAATAAAATAAATAAAGATTACATTAGACTACTGAACATGCTGAAAGTCTGACTGGCCATTATGTCATACTAACATCTTGTCCTTTTATGATTATTTAATTATTGACAAAGCAATAAACAAAACCTTCCAGCTAAGTATTTATTGACAAATCGTAAATATTATCATTAATTGAATCCTTCCTGCTTTTAATTGCATCTAAAACAGAACTGTTTACAGTGGCTGTCACAGATCACAGAACAAACAAAGCACACAATTCAATATTTAACCTTGCAAGGGATCTCCAGTTAACAGTTTATTGCTGATCACAGCCAGATACCACCTGGGCATACCTGGCAACTCACCTTGAGCATGCACCAGTGTGTGGATACAGGCATATGATAAATGCCCATCATTATTAACTCCATCTCCTAATATGGGCAGTGGGGTAGTTTAGTGGTTAAAGCATTTGCTTGTCAGGCCGAAGACCCAGGTTCTATTCCCCACATGGGTACAATGTGTGAAGCCCTTTTCTAGTGTCCCCCACCAGGGCTCGAATTAATGCTTTGTTACTTGCTCTGGTGCAACCCAATACTACTAAGTGCAACCTAGTTATTAGTCTAACTTGCACCAGGTGCAAGTCCATTTTTGCGACTTCAGCTGGAAAGCAGAATGATGAGGAACTGACTTGGAAGCGTGACTCTGATGACTGTATGAGCAGTGACTGAAGGACTATCTGTTCATGAAATTGTAGCAAGTAAGATAACTAATCTTATCAGTCCCAGATTTCTTTTGTTATCATGTTCTAAACTATCATTACCAAAAGTCAAGCATCATATTTTATACAAGATTTAATATTTAGCAGCAGGCGCAACCTGTTTTTATCTGATGCAACAAGGTTTCTACCTAAGGTTGCACTTTAAATCGAGCCCTGCCCACCATGATATTGCAGGAAAATTGCTAAAAGCGGCGTACAACTAAAAACTCACTCACTCACCATCTCCTAATGACATACATTGGGGATGCTGATCATCAGACTGACAACGATTCCAAGTCTTATTGATTGCAACACCCCCCCAGTTGTGTGGCAATGTTATCTTCTTAACCCATTAACTGAGGTGGAAATTTAAGGATGTCATGTTCAGTAAAATGATCAACATGTTTCAGAGTATACTCCTGTCATTAGATATATGCCTCCTAGCTTTCATTCACCTGATGAAGGATTAGGAAAATAGTAAGAATATACTCTGGAACATCATGTTACTTATATTACAGAAGTTGACATCCATAAATTTCCCCTTTTATGTGTATCACTTCTAAAGTCTATTCAAAGACTTCACTATCTGACATTTTGTGTGTTCCTATTCAGCAATGATGAGACAATTCAGTAGCTGTTTAAATTTTTGGAAAGAGATCCTTATGTACCCCCTGCCTATTTTATAAGGTACTTTTCATTACTTGTATATCTTTGTATTTTTTTAAAAAATTAAGTGGGGGGTACGTAAGAAACTCTTACCAAATTTTTTTCTCATCAAGCCAACTTGGGTTCCATTCCCTACTTGGGTCAATATGAGATTCCTGGTGACATTTGCCTGGATATGGTTAAAAAAATTTATTAGCCCCAGCTAGTATGGTAATACACTGCTCATTAATGGATAATAGAGACTTTTTCCAGCACGGACAGTAACAAAATTCATATAAACCTAGACTTGACATCATAAATCTTGCCACTCCTGTCCAGCTGAACACTATATCTTTACCTATAACCAGTGTATAAAATATAGCCCGTCCCATCGTCCTTGATGGTCTTTTTTTGTGAAGGACAGTCTATTAAGTAAGTAAGGCGGTCCTTTGGTTGGGGAAATATTTGAAAAAAGTAAACTTTACTTGGTTTGAACTTCATCTTAGCAATCATGTTCTTTCTCGTTTTCGTTTCAACATTTGTTGATTTGTTATTGTTTTAGTTTTTGGGACTTGCTGTGTTTGTTCAGGACTATTCACCTTTTTTAACTGGCCACATTTAACAACTATTTTATACACTGATATAAATTATAATGTCAAATTATATATTCCATTTAATGTCGTAAGAGAGTTAAAGTGTCATTTCTTGTATTCATGGTTTCAACATATAAGATCATATTGAGTAGACACAGTACATTAGAGGAAATTACACATCCTATCAGCCCATGACTCATACTGCATCCTCTCACTCCACAGATTTCACAAAGGATTGAGGGTAAGGTCATGCCCACAGCTGGAATAATATATAGTGAATTGAATTTTGATTCATGATTTCGAATATATATAGAATAAATTACAACAGTTACATATGAAACCTGAGTGAGTGAGTGAGTTTAGTTTTACGCTTACGTTTTATTGCAATATCACAGCGGGGACGCCAGAAAAGGGCTTCTTACATTACGAACGCTTTAACCACTAGGCTACCCCCCGCCCCTATAAAACCTGAAATAGGTATAAGAGTGCCATCTCATCACTTTATACCTACCCAGAATATTATTATTAATGATCACTGATAAAGAATAAACATGTTGAAACCAACATGCTAATAATATATCGCCCACTTCTGACACAATAAATCATTCTATTTCTTCCCTGCATAAGGTACAGATTTACTAAACAAAAACAAATACAGGTCTTTTCTGAACATTGATTTATGTATTGTTTATGTATTGTGAGGCAATAAGATTTAACAGGTATTACAGTTACATTACTATAAATATTATCATCAAGACACACAACATACATGATGTATACACAATTCACTAAAGTTCCTTTTGTGTACACTTTACTGAGACAGACATTATCACTAGTCTATTTATAGCAAGCATAAGAAATGTTAATACAACCTTATCTGAATACAAATACGCAGTATCTGGTATTTGGTTTGGTTTCCTTACAAGATTAAAAGTGAGTGAGAAATGAATATTGTTAAATGCAGCAATTTCTTCAGCAGTTTTGGAGCAATTTATACTGTTACCAGACTTGGGGTGAAAATTGTCTGAGATACGGGTACTCAATAGTTTTCTTTGTTGTCTGCCTCATCTTATATCAAGGTTCCAGATGTTTGTTTTTTCACAGTACTGTCGATGTTTTGATCCATTCATGTGTATTTGTATTAAAGTAACCCCAAAATAATTGGATTATGGTGATTTATTGCACTTATATATACAAAAACAGAGTACCTGGAGCTCTTTCACAACACAAAATTAACTCACTCATAGAGTTTAATTAATTCACAGCTTTATTGTAAGCATAATAACCTAGTTACTTTGCATACTTGGTATTGAAGAATCAAAACATGGCATAATATGGGGACATAAGACATCAAAGTACCCCATTTCCACTAATCAAACTCTGGCCCCTCATTAACTTGAACTATGTCAAGACATGCAGGATCCCCCCAAAACAATCTTAGCACTACTGACTAATCTAATTAAAACATTGGAGTTACAAATGTCAGAGCTCTAAGGCTGCTTTGCACAGATGGATCTAGATGGTCAATATATAAGACGACATGTCTTACTGGAGCCACAGTCCTTGCCACATTCATATAGTGTAGGGACATTACCAAGTATGTTGAAAATGTCCTTACATTCACATGTAATGCAGAGAAATCATTAGCTGTAACTGGACTTAACTCTGCTTATTGGATGGCACTGACCCAGTCTTAACAGAAAATGTCACTTAATAAATAATGAATCTTCTACTCTTTTTCACCTGTAACCATTACAAGGGCATATATGTTATATACACATACCCATGACATATTTCTTTTTACAAATCCTCTAATGTACTTGTTTTTCCATCTGACAAGCATCCCAACAATTCAATTTTATGATGCCCTGGGGCTAAATATGTTAAATGCCATAGTGTCAAGTCAGCATGTTAGCAGACTCTCCTGTAAACTGAAGATTTGTACAAATGCTAGTGAAAACAACAGTAGAATCTTACCAATAGTTGATATGTGAGTATTGCAGTACTCATGTTTAGTGTACTGGCAAATGAGGCAGGTCTTCCCAACTCCAGTCTCTCCCACTAGGAGAAGACGTAATAAATGGTCATATCTTTTTGACATCTTTGTTGTAAGCACTGCTTGTGAATAAAGCTATCCGGACTGAGTAATCCAATGTTTACATTACAAACACTGTACTATGTGTGTATTATGCAACAGAGCCAAAATCTGGACACGAGACAAGATCAGATACAGGGATTCAAGCACAGTATCGGATCACGACATGGACACTGTGTCAATACTCCGACCACCATTGCAAAGCCTGTTTAAAATATCTTGAGACACCGTCACAGCTCCACCTTGTCTGCGCTATTCCCTGGAAAGGTTGAGTTACCGAGGCCTGCCATGTCACCAGGCTACAGAGGAGTCATTTCCGATATGAACACAACTCAACACTACGGAATGTCGTGCCCTGCTGCTGGTCAATTATGACTGATTGGTGTTGTCATTATGAACACTATCATTACGTTTGTGAACCAAACCTCAGATATACGTGACAACATTAATCATTCATATATCAGTCATTGGGAGAGGCCTAGGTCACTTGATAAGGGCTGATTATCCTCGGACCTTTACGTAATCTGTCGTAATCCCCGTGCTGTTAAACGACAAGTCACGTCTCGATGAGAGACCGGCAAGTGCGCCTAAAGAAAACTCGGCACGTTCTGAAATCCCCGTTTGATTGTAACTGACTAGATTAGAAACATTCTGTGAAGCAGGCGTCAATAGAAGAGCTCTCCTTTGGGCAGGGAATGTTATTCTTTCACGTTCCTCAAACTTTGCTGACTTGTGACCCATTCAAAACAAAGAAATTTAAACACGTCATGTCGTCTGCATTTAGAACACGGAAGTAGACTGTGACATCTAGTGGTGGTTTAGGTTATCTCCCTTTGACCTGTGGGCAATGTTGATTTGATTTAGAAAACTATGCACATTTATTTTTTGGGTTCGTAGTTGTGTTTAAAGGCCATGCTCTGTAATGTGACTGCAACCAGTGGTAAATATGCGACAGACACCTTTAGGGAACGATGACTCGGATTCAACAGGTGACTTAATTACTCTAGACTATAATTACTCTTTCACACTCGGCTGTAAACCTTTATCTGCATGAAGTTATTGAAAAGCATTATTTTTGGAAGTTGGACGAACATGAATACATGAGACATTTTAAGGATAACAACTCCTTTTTCTATTCTTTTTCACGCCGTTTCAGAGCTCATTCTTGCTCTTTCATAAGCTGTTATCCATAAAACGTGTCATGGGTTGCTGGAGACCTATTCTAACACGGAATCCATCAATATTTTGGTTGCAACTTCTGAATACAATAGGTTTAATAAGATTGAATATACCGTTCTAAAAGTACAATTGGCGAGAAGTAGTGAATGAAATCCAAATTGCCATACCAATCTCTCCCGCACCACTACTGATAACCATACTGGTGAGTTCAAGTCTACGATTTGTCATGATTATTATCGCTGCATGGGTTGTCAGTATTAACCTGTAGCTGTGGGTCACCAAAGCGGTAAACTCTTATCTATATGACCTAGCACCTGTCCAGTAGCAAGAAAATATTGCACGTACGCAACAACGCACAATTCTTATATTGCCTTATCAAGCTAATTTTTTTCAGAAACCCCTGGGAATGTTTTTAAACTTTCTTTTGCTGCGCATGCAGGGACTACTCATATGAGTTTAGTTTGGTTTGGTTGTTGTTTAACGCCGCACTCAGCAATATTCCAGCTATATGGCGGCGGTCTGTAAATAATCGAGTCTGGACCAGACAATCCAGTGATCAACTGCTTGAGCATCGATCTACGCAATTGGGATTCGATGACATGTGTCAACCAAGTCAGCTAGCCTGTCCATACCAGTTTAGTAAAATACCTTCGAGTGAGTGAGTGAGTTGGGTTTTACGCCGCACTCAGCAAAATTCCAGCTATTTGGCGGCGCTCTGTAAATAATCGAGTCTGGACCAGACAATCCTGTGATCAACAGTATAAGCATCGATCTACGCAATTTAGAGCCGATGACATGTGTCAACCAAGGCAGCGAGCCTGACCACCCGATCCCGTTAGTCGCCTCTTCCGACAAGCATGGGTTACTGAAGACCACTTCTAACCCGGATCTTCTCTGCATTTGGACTCGTAACGCCATTGTCATGGACATGAAGGGATTTGATTATCACCCTGATCTTCACGGGTCAAAATGCCTGCGAAGCAACACGCGGACTCTGCATGGAAGTCGTGTGAATTACCTCCGTAGCTAGGCAGGTACTCCACATATACGTGTTGTAAGACACATGCGTAGCTACGCGCTGACTTAGCGGTTCCTCAGAACTTGTGCGTATCATGCTTGAATATTGGCGCGAAACTTCTTGCCCATTTGATGGGAATGATTAGTTTTCTGAATACATTGGTAAAGGAACTGTAAATGTTACTTCCGAAACAGGATTATATGATTCTATGAGTGAGTGACTGAGTATAGTTTTACGCCACTTTTAGCAATATCCCAACAACATCGCGACGGGAAACACCGGAAATCGGCTTCACACATATGTAGGAAATCGAACCTGGGTCTTCAGCGTGACGGACGCTTTATAACCAATAGGATACCCCCACTGCCCATATGATATTAGGAAGCAGAGGAAGCAAATCCTGGAAGGGAACTCGAATAGCCATTGCCATAAAACAGTTATTAGATATCGATTTCTGTATTTCAACATTATTATCCAACATAGCGTGCAAAAATATGTTTCCTCAAAAAACAGTAAACCATGTTTTATTGAAACATTCAGAACTTGTTCCCAAAAAGTTGTATACGGCAAGTTCTAGTCTTGGTGGTCATGATACCTACTGTCAGCCAAACATTTGTAATTGACATCTTGATTCTTTAATTGTATACTTTCCGCGTCCCTTGTAGTAACAATAAACAAAAAAGAACACAAGGACGTTGCAATGAGATCAGCAAATTCTTGACGTCTTTGATGTCAATTCGGTGCCGTTACTTGTATGACTTTTTACTGGTACAAATTCCCAAAATATGGAGGACAGAGTCCTCACCCTTGGGGCATTCTATTCTATTTTCGTTTCATTCGTGGCTCCTCAGCGGCAGAAACTCCCTACTCGCACAGTTCTTCACTTGTCTTCTGGCACGTGCTTGTTACAGCATTGCAAGAACATACCGAGAAACCAGGAAGCTGGGAAATCGATATCTTAAAAAATCGTTTAATTTGTCCCCACCAAGTAACTCTGACATTAACAAAAGAGTCAGAAGAGAAACGGACTATTACAACTAAACAGGAAAATGCATGTTCTCAGAGAACCAATTTATGCCTAGTAAACTGGTTACTTTCACTCACCCTAGAAAGCCTCTATATCTCCTCTGATTTTAGAAACCGACTTCTACTAAGTGAATGAGTATGGTTTTACGCCGTTCAGTAATATTGCAGCAACGAAACGGCAAAAATGAGCTTTACACGTTGTACCGATATTGGAAATCGAATTCGATTTTTTCGAATGCTGAACGAGCGAACGTTTTAACATCCTGGCTACCCGCGTAGGCCTTGACTTTCATGTGGGACGGGTCGAAGGTTACGGTTTTGAAATAGTAGATGACCTTTGAAGAAGGTCGGGTGAACTAGAGCTATAGTCTGTTTGCAGTGGAAACGTACCAATGAATTTCACTTTAAACCAGAAAGCAAATCAAATAAAGTGAAATCTCGATTGCGAATCCTCATAACTTTACCTTGCCAAATGCACATTAAAATCTCAGAATTTTATTCAACTAAGGATAAAAGTTGTTTAACAAACGATCATAGTGTCAAATCGCTATTATTTGTTTGTATTACAGGGGGGTATGCACATTAAATGAAACCCCGAGAACAAGAAGGGTTGGTTGGTAAGTTAATGCTCATCACGTACCGCACTTGCATTTGTTTAACTGTTCCAACTACTGCGCGTACCCCCTTGTAATATAATGATTTCTTACCATTTCATTTTAATATCATCAAGTTTATTTATTTGATCGCATCACTCATCACCCACGGTATCTAAACATGCATAACAAGGGCAGATACACTATTTTCAACTCGAAAAGAAAAGTAGCGTTAGTGTTTGTTGTTTAACGCCGCACTCAACTATATTCCAGCTATATGGCGCTGGTCGGTAAATAATCGATCACACGTGTCAACCAAGTCAGCGAATCTGACCACCCTATTCACGTTTGTCACTTCTTACGACAAGCATGGGTTGCTGAAGACCAATTCTAACACACGGGTAACTGGCGTTAGTGAATGCTGAGGGTACTAAATAGAGAAATACCATAACCATACCTTGCTGCTGCAAAAAATAGTATATCTGTGTCGAAGGAATTACATTAATATCTCTTGGACCTTTTGTCCACAACTTGTGCCATTAGAATATGTATGTCATGAAAAGAAGAGATGCAGGATAAGGACCTTTGGCCCGCTTGATCTGCATAATATATTACATGAGTAAACTCTACGAAAGTTTTCAAATTTCGTCATATGAATGTGAACTCAACCTCACCGATCTGGCAACACTAAATGTACAATACCAATACGGATTTTTTTCTCTCCAGGAAGCTGACATATAATATTTAAACACAGCAAGTCTCTGACCAAAGCTACATGCACATATAATAGTGTCGTCCGATGGGCATACTATTTGAGTTCTCTTGAAGTTTTGTGATGAAAGCAAGACATTGTGATTTTATATTCAACAGACATTATGGTTAAAAATTCAGTTTGGTTTCAGACTGAAATATTGTGAAAATGGTGGTTTTGAACATTTACAAAGTGTTTGTGAAAAAGGCTGCTAAAACAGCCAGTAGGTCATACATGGAAAATAAGTTCTTTAAGTTTGGCGTTACTAACTTTACAGAAATGTGGGTTTGGGTTTTTTTATGGATGTTTTTAGAAACAACTTAAAATAGAAATAACTCTTTCCTACAATGGTGTGTAGCACAACACAATTTGAGAAGTAGTAAGCTTTGTGCGTTTTATAAGCTTGACTGTAAACACAATGCAATGCAAGTTATTAACATACGTGACAGAACAATTAACCAAATGTATGTATTTTCAGCCAAAACAATTCACAAACTGCGATGTTTTCTTCTGTCCTTATTTCAAAATGTGCTTTGACAATATCAAACTGATGTTTTATGGAATTGTTTTATCATTTGTTAAAATTTGAACGCGAAATTCAGATATCTTTGAAAATATATAAGAATACATCGAAATGAAGGGGAGAAAACACTCTTTCCTGCTTAACACTGCCTCAATTATATCCCTCGATCCCTTAATGTCCATGACATTGACGTTATGAGTCCAAACGTGGGTTAATGCTTGAGCAACAATAGCGTAACTAAATAATGGGTATACCCACCGTGAGAAGTGAGAACAGCAGTGAATCGCCGATACAAAGAGCCTATCAAGAGGGCATGGAAGGCTTGTGGAATTGCTTGCCACATTCTCCGTATCTCTCCCACCAGCATAATGCCGTTAGAAGAAAACGGAAGTGCCACTGGTCCTCCAGCAGAACCGAGGTGGACGGACATGATTTGGGCACCACCTTAGACGGCTTTCTCGATGTCGCTGCGTCAGGATAGTTTGTATGACAGAACAACTTGTTCGTATTCTGTAATGACTTACGCGGTTCCTGACCGTGTCGGGGGTGACTCTTTACTTTTCTTGGCCTCCTTTCACAAAACGCTAAGGTGATCGTAAGTCACTAAGGTAACCTTAGTGCAATGTTAAAGAATGGGAGTTAAGGTTAACCTTGGTAAAGGTTGCTTCGTGAAAGGACCCCCTGGCGACCGATATAGCCAACC